CAGGAGTAGGTGCGTTAGGAGGGCTCGTTAGGGTCTTAATAGGTTGTGGTTCGTTAAGACCTTGATGAGGTGCTGCTAAGGGCGTAACTGATGGTGAAGGAGGTTGAGACGGATGGGGATTAGTGGAAGCATTTGATCCTAGTAATGCTGTCTGCCTCCTGAAGGCAGCAGTCCTCTCATCAAACACCATCTCCGTAAACTCCTGCTCTGGCCAGGTTTGTGGGTTCTCGATAGTTTGTAATATGAGAAATTGTGTTGCGAATTTCCCCTTTGTGAACCTGTGTAGATACCTCTTTTCCTTAGTAGTTTCCTGAGGGCTCTCTTGTATTCATTCGGGCGCGGTCCCATGTGTCTTCGGTCCATTCTTCAAAATGCTGTTGGAAGTAACCAAGGAGGTCGTATCCTTGATCACTGCCAGATTGAACGATGAATATGAACTTTGCCACATATGTCGTTACTGCGATCTTGTCCTTTTCGTCGTGTGTGATATCGTTGTCCCAAAGGTCGATATTAATTTGTCGGAATGCGGATGCTTGGATGTCTAGTGCCTGCATCTGGTCGCATATTTCTTCGAGCTGGGCTTCTGGGGACATAGCTCGGGCGGTCGGGGCTATCGTGATCAAATGAATGAGACGATGTGGGGTTCGTATTGGTCTCTTCGTATACGAGTTGTCGCTAATAGGAGGTCGAGCGTCGCGTACTAAGTAGGTCGTTCGCGGCCAGACTGAACTGACGGGGATCTTGCTACTTAACGTCAAGGGTCGAACGTTCTTACTAGTTGTTTGCGATGTGGTCGCCTGTCGATTCCGGTGCTCACGGCTAGGCAAACTAGCGGGCGATCGTAATCAACAGTTGGAAGGACTCTCGCGCGGCTGGGCAAACCAGCGGGAGATTCCTTGTTCTTAGCACAAATAACCTTCTTCTGAGCGCTACTCAGGGCCACAGTAAAGTGACGCGGACTATAGCACCTTCGAAGGTTGAGGAATTTGTCTCTTCTACTTAGCTGTCTGTGACGGGCGTGGGCCGTCACTGATCAGTGTGGGTAGGCACCTGCGGCAGCTGCTGCAATGAGACGGTACTAGGGTTAACCTGTGATGTTGTATTCGTCTTGATTCTCTATCTAAGGAGGCAGAGGCCAGCGTGGAGAAAGGGGGCACGCTGCCCTCAGCCGCACACGTGACCGTACGGGTCACGTGCCAACCATGGTTGGTCACACCACTAGATAGATACATTCCTACACTATCCATTGATTGCCTTCAAGATGATGTGGCATTTCTTGAGCAAATGTTAACGACATGTAACTATCGAGGGTTATATCATCCGAACGAGAAAATCCAGAACATTCGAGCGGCACTACATTTAAATCATGTGCATTATAAAATGGCACTGTTCATGAGCTTCATGGTGTTTTTTAATACTCCGTATAGGGTGGCAAGATTGCTGAAACGGTGGCGTATCAGGCACTGTTAGGGTCGTTATACCACAATATATGGACGCCCTAACTGCCGTCCTTCGCCTCGATTTCCCAGCGACGCCCCGCCAGACGCGGGCGGCGCGGGACTAGGATTTTGCCAGTGGAGTGTGGACGGTGGAATCCAACTGAAACACGCACAACAGACTTTTAAATACGCAGAGCGTCATCACAAGCGCGGCCGAACTCGAAGTTACCGTGTCCGCGCGGGCAAACCCTAATGATGGGGTCAAAGCAGCTTGTTTATTGATGTGTATGTGAGCCTGCCGAGGAAGAACAGGAAGAGGCCCTTGGTGGGTGGCTTCGGGTATTGACCCTTTCCTCCTGTATGTCCCTTGGCCGCGAAGCGGTGATAATTTTTTCGCCTTACGTTTCGACCATATCGCCATTCATTCACAATTTTTATGAATGAATTGAATGAAGACTCCTGATTTTTGATTCGTCGAATTTGAAGACCTTACCCGATTCGGCTTCATTCAATTCAAGGGTCCCGAGGCCGATTCGACTTCAAAATCTTCAAATATCAGCCCTAAAAGGACGCATATCACCGACTCCGGATTCGCGAAGGGGACGAGTGGAAAACAGCATTTAGGTGCCACTATGGCCATTACGAATACCAGGTGATGCCATTTGGGCTGGTCAATGCTCCCGCCTCGTTCCAGCAATATATCAACGATGCACTAGAAGGCCTGGTTGACATCATCTGTGTTGTCTATTGTAACGGGCTGAGCCCGTGAGGGTCTCGGCTCCGCTCTCGACAAGACCCACCGGAGCTCCGCTTATAAGCTCGTGCCATCTTCGAGAGCTTTCCTTTCTTTTCTTTTCTTCTTCTTTTCTCCTTAGCTTTAGGATACTCGTCGCAGTCGCTCAGCTAGTTGTCAACACACTCAGTTGAGACCGTTACATTATCCTAAAGCTCCCTTTCATCGTTAAAGCCTTTGATCACAATCAATTGGCAGCGCTGTTCAGTTCCCTTTGTGGGTACGCGGAGTGGCAGTAGCTTGGGCAATCCTGTGTGGAACGCCCGCGACGAAAGTGCGTGTGTGTACGGCGCCAAAGCCAGCTTGGCTCGCGTCGCGTAGCTCTCATCTCCCGAGCAAAGGACGTGGAGCGTCAATCTGCTCTCCGTACGGCGTGCGGTTGAGCGAGAAGTACGTGATTGCTGCTTGGCTCCCAGTGTGGACGGCAGCAGCTGGACTAGAAGCCCTGTGCAGAACGTCCAGCCGTGTAGGAAGGAGCCTTCGAGGCGTTGATAGCGTTCGACCGTTGTCGAGATATCCCTTCCGTATCAGACTTGCTGTGTGATCAAGTCGCCCTCAGTCCTGAGAGACGAGGAAAATCTTCAGTCATGGAGGCAATCGATTCCCAGCAAGGTTCTTTTGAGCCTCAATCGATGATGCAAGCCCTGGCTGCAGTGATGGACAAACTAGAAAGTGTGTGTGCAAGCCAAGAGGCCGAACGCGAAGAGATGCGATCGCAGATCCGAATCCTCCAAACAGCCGTCTCAACTCCGACTCCGGCAAATGAACCAGTCGCTCCTATCGAACCGATGTCCGACAACACGCCTCAATCGATCGAGACATCCGAAAGAATCCCATCAAAGAGGGTAAAACCAACCTTGCCTGATCCGCCGAAATTCGATGGAACCAGGAAAAACTTCCGTCCCTGGTTCTTAGAGATGAAAGCGAAATTGGCTGTGGACCGACAGGCATTCGACAATAAAGAAGCACTCTTCGCCTATGTGTACTCCCGGTTGGCGGGAACAGCCCAGAACATGGCCGCTGCTTATTACGAACAGGGCGGTATCGATGGTGCTCGCTCCCCAGATCTGTTTCTCGACTACTTGAACCGTCGGTACGGGGACCCGAACGCAAAGGCACGAGCACTGGATCGACTTCGATCGTTGAAGCAGAAGCCTGATGAGAGTTTCGCCAGTTTCTTCCCAAAGTTCGAGAAAGAGCTTGCCGATAGTGGCGGTGGCGAGTGGGCCGACGTGGTGCAAATCAATTACTTGGAAGGAGCAATTAATAATAGGCTCAAGTCGAGTCTCGTCAGTGCCGTCAGTCTCCCGAAGGATTTCAACAGCTACGCCGAGCTACTCTTGACGATTGGCTCGCGCCTAGATAGCCTCAATTTCCACCAACGACAACAAGGCCGCGAGCAGAGGTCAAGAAAGGAGTATGGTCGTTTATCCGAACCGCTCGAGTCCCGACAAAAGCCCCCGTCACCCGGATCGCCAACCACGTCGTCCCCCCCGTCCGATGATCAGATGGATTGGGAACCCGTGAAAGCAAATCGGTTGATAAACGGCAGGAGGGCCCCGGAGGAAAAGCAATTTGTTCCGTTGGAGGAGCGCAAATGTTACGAGTGCGGAAGCTTGGCCATCTTGCGGCCAAGTGTCCCGGGAAGGAGCGGCGGCAGCAGAGAGTCAAGGTCCGTGTCGAAGAGAAGACAAGAAGCTCGAGAGCAAAGCACCAGAGCCCGCGGAGAGTTCTAGCGGGGATACCTCCGATGACCATTCGGAAAACGAGTAGCTCCTGACGAAAATCGCCGTCAGGAGCGCGCAAAGGCTGAGGCGGAATGGGCAACTCAGAAGGACGAGATGGACTGTGAAGGCCTCTACGTAAATTTCGGTATCAATCGAGTATTTCATCACGGCCTTCGTTGACTGTGGTTGCCTGTGTTATGGGACCATCAGTGAGCGCCTTGCCCGCAAGCTTCACCTGCCGCGTATTCCGATTAAACCTCGAACGTTGGAGCAGGTCAACACATTCTCACCCGAGGCCATCTGTGCCGTGACCTACTTCGACTTCGATATCGACGGGTACCAGAAGAAAGAGCTTTTTCTACGTTGTGCGAGACCAGACCGACCCTGTGATTCTGGGCAAGAAGTGGTTGAACCAGGAGGATGTCACCTTGCGATTATCGCAGAACCTCTTGCATATCGGGACGCACGACCATTGGGTGAAAGGCCGAGACCCGAAGGAGGAGGAACGGTGCAACATACGAGGACAGGCGGCGTTCGTGTTCGCCGGAATGGTTCGCCGAGCAAGAAAGTTCAAGCATCGAGACGATGGAGTGCGGATCTTCGCCGCAAGCCTGAAAGACATTGAGAAGGCATTGACTCCGAGGAAGAAGTCAGACCCGAGAGAAGCTGCCCCGTCACTACCACGAGTACCTATCCGTCTTCGACCGCGACCAAGCGGACCAACTCCACCGCGTCGTCCGGGGTGTGATCACAAGATTCAGTTAGAGAGGTCCTGATGACAAGGAGAAAGAACCGCCGTGGGGACCATTGTACGGCATGTCACGAGAAGAGCTCATTGTTCTGCGAAAGACTCTCACTGAGCTACTCGACAAGGGTTTCATTCGAGCAAGTAGTTCTCCAGCGTCAGCACCAGTTTTGTTCGTGAGGAAGCCCGGTGGTGGTCTGCGCTTTTGCGTGGACTATCGAGGATTGAATGCGATCACCAAGAAAGACCGATATCCCTTGCCGTTGATCGAGGAAACTTTGCGGTCGCTGTCAGGAATGGCTTGTCACGCCGTTCGGGTTGACGGGTGCTCCGCAACGTTTCAGCGTTACATAAACCACACGTTGCGAGATTTCCTCGACGAGTTCTGTTCCGCTTACATTGACGACATCTTGATCTACTCGAGCGGTTCGCTCGCAGATCATCGCAACAAAGTCAGGCAGGTCCTTGCTCGACTGCGAGATGCAGGCCTGCAGATTGATATCGACAAGTGTGACTTTGAGGCAAAGAGTGTCAAGTACCTGGGCTTCATCGTCGAAGCCGGGAAAGGTATCCGCGTGGACCCGGAGAAGGTGCAGGCAATTCAGCAGTGGCAGCGACCCCGTTCTGTCAAAGGCGTCAGAAGTTTTCTGGGGTTTGCCAACTATTACCGGCAATTCATTCCCAGATTCTCCAACATCGCCGCGCCTCTAACGGCGTTAACAAAGAAGGATGCGGTGTTTGCGTGGTCGAAGGAGTGCGACAAGGCCTTCGAGGAGTTGAAGGCTCTTCTGACCAGTGCGCCGGTCCTTGCGCAATGGGATCCGGATAGAGACGATTGTGGAGACGGATTCATCCGGTTATGTCACAGGAGGGGCGCTCTCGCAAAAGGGCGATGACGGCATCATGCGGCCTGTGGCCTTCTTCTCAAAGAAAAACGCACCGGCGGAGTGCAACTACCCAATCCACGATAAAGAGCTGCTGGCGATCATTCGCTGCCTTGAGCATTGGGACGCCGAATTGAGGAGTGTGAAGTCCTTTACCGTTTTGACGGATCATCTCAACCTCCGTTACTTCACCAAGAAGCAGCAACTGAGTGAACGTCAGGCGCGATGGGCTGAGACGCTATCGCGGTACAGCTTCACCATCAAGCATCGACCGGGCAAAGAAGCCGTCGTACCGGACACGCTGTCGCGACGAGAACAGGACATGCCGCACAGCGCCGAAGATGATCGGTTGCAAGGACGACGTGTTCAGCTGCTGCAACGTAACAAGGGTGGCCTGGTGACAAAAGTCAAGAGCGGTTATGTCACCAAGGGCGACACGGATCAACCCGATGACGCAACAACTGACCAAGACGACTCAATCGAAAACCCTTTCTCGGACCCGGAACTGCAGAAGTTATGGGACGAAGGTGTCAAGCACAATCGTTATTGGCTCATCCGAAAGGCCGTACAGCAAGGCGAGAGGCGTCTGCCGTCGCATTGGGGAGTGCCCGTGATGCTCTCGGAATGCTCGATTGACGATGGACAGCGGCTCTGCTGGCGAGCGAATTTGGGTGCCGAACCACGAACCCTGCGCACGCGGCTTATGCAGGAGACGCATGACTCAACGCTTGCAGGACACCCCGGACGGGACATGCTGAAGTCCTTGTTGAGCCGCAAGTTTTATTGGCCAGGCCTCGATTCAGACGTGCGTCAATTTGTGAGAAATTGTGATGTGTGTGGCCGAAGCAACATTTGGCGAGAGAAGCGTCGCGGTTTATTGAAGCCGCTACCTATTCCAGACAGGATCTGGTCGGAGCTGTCAATTGACTTTGTGACAGACCTGCCACCAACCAAGTCGAACGGTTCGACCAACCTTATGGTCGTGACGGACAGACTGTCCAAAAGTGTCGTTCTTGAGTCATTGAAGGACATCACGGCCGAGACGACGGCCAGAGCATTGCTACGGAACGTGGTGCAACACCATGGCGTGCCGCGCGCGATCGTCACTGACCGTGGCACGCAATTCACCAGTAGACTATGGCAGAGGCTCTGCGAGCTGCTACGCGTGAAGCAAAGATTGTCTACGGCGTGGCATCCCGAGACTGACGGTGCAACAGAAAGGGCGAATCAGGAAGTCGAGAGATATCTGAGGATCTTTGCTGCTTATGCTCAGGATAACTGGGAAGAGCTGTTGCCAGCGGCCATGATGGCCATCAACAATCACAACTCGACGTCGACAGGCCTGAGCCCGTTCTTTATCACGCATGGGTATCATGTTGACCCGATACAAGTCAAGGAGAAGTTACGGACGGACGGAAGGTCCCCAGTGGCCAGGGCTGAAAGCATTGTGCAACGATTTCGAGAGGCAACGGAATGGGCCCAGGCGGCAATTGCGTCAGCGCAAGAGCAGCAAGAGAAGAACGCCAATTCGCGAAGACAGCCGTCAGACCAGTTCAAGCCTGGAGACAAGGTATGGCTGCGACTTCGCAACATCCGATCCAATCGGCCATCCAAGAAGCTCGATTGGCTGTCGGCCAAGTACACCGTCCTGGAGACCATTGGGTCACACGCGTGCAGGCTGGACACGCCTCCGGGAATACACAACGTGTTCCACGTGTCGCTCTTACGCTTAGCAGCGGACGATCCGCTACCGTCACAGACGTCGGATGACTACCGCCCACCGGCCATTTTGACGGACGATGGCGAGCTGTGGGAAGTGGAAGAGATTCTGGACAGGAAGAAAGTCGGGAGAGAGTGGAAAGTGTTGGTGAAATGGGTCGGATGGATAGGTCCGACGTGGGAGCCAGTCAAGTACGTCGCAGACACAATAGCACTGGCTAGGTATGAAGAAGTTCATGGGAAAGTTGGATCGAAACCACCCCAATCGAAACGATCGAAACGGGGAGGAAGGAGGGGTTATTGTAACGGGCTGAGCCCGTGAGGTCTCGGCTCCGCTCTCGACAAGACCCACCGGAGCTCCGCTTATAAGCTCGTGCCATCTTCGAGAGCTTTCCTTTCTTTTCTTTTCTTCTTCTTTTCTCCTTAGCTTTAGGATACTCGTCGCAGTCGCTCAGCTAGTTGTCAACACACTCAGTTGAGACCGTTACATCTATCTGGACGACATCCTTATCTTCAGTGAAGACCCGGAACAGCATGAAGGCCATGTCAAGGACGTCCTGCAAAGGTTACGAAAAGCCGGACTTTACGCCAATCTGAGCAAATGCGAATTCTCGGTGAAGAAAGTCTCCTTCCTGGGGTTCGTGGTCGATGAGGAAGGAATCCACATGGAAGAGGAACGGGTCCATGCTATCACAGAATGGCCAGCACCCGTTCTGTAAAGACATACAGGTTTTCTTAGGGTTTACTGGGTTCTACCGCCGCTTTATCAAGAACTACAGCAAGATCGTGTCTCCGCTCACGGATCGTCTCCGCAAGGGGCATCGAAGCCTTTCAAGCTGGATCCAAAAGCAATGAGGGCTTTTGAGGATCTCAAGACGGCCTTCACATGTGGGCCTGTTCTCAGACACTTCGATCCTTCCAAGACAATACGAATCGAAACAGATGCGTCCCAGTTCGCTATCGGAGCAATAATCTCTCAACTGCACGCCGATCGATGGCACCCCGTAGCGTTCCTTTCGCGGAAGCTTCAGGACGCAGAGACAAGATACGCAATCCCGGACTGCGAACTGCTAGCTATCACAGAAGCTTTCCGCCATTGGCGCCACTACCTTGCGTATACGGAGCAGAAGATCACCGTTTTGACGGACCACCTGAACCATAAGTACTTCATGTCCAAAGCTAAGCTGACCAATCGACAGATGAATGCACTAGACCAGTTGTGCAGCTTTGACTTTGAAATCGTCTACCGACCGGGCTTGAAGAATCCTGCGGATGGATTATCAAGACGGCCGGACCATGAGAAGGTGATGAGAACAGCCGGGCTGCGAGATCCGTGCGTTCCGTCATTCCTTGAAAAGTTTGCCCAGCTGTTTCCCTGTGAACCTGCGGAAGGGGACCGTGCGTGTTCAAGACAGGCTGCTGGTATTGGCGATCAGTCCGGTTCGCGACCGGCTGTCCCTGTCGCCCATGCACATGTTGACCGGCTGTTTCCCTGTGAACCCGCGGAAGGGGACCGTGTGTGTTCAAGACAGGCTGTCGGATTTGGCGAGCAGTCCGGTTCGCGACCGGCTGTCCCCGTCGCCCTCGAAAAGATTGATCGGCTGTTTCCTGTGAGTCTGCGGGTAGGGACCGTATGCACTCTAGACAGGCTGTCGAATTACGCGATCAGACCAGGTCGCCCCTGGCTGTCCCTGTCGCTGATGGAAGAGCTAAGCTCGACCGTCTCAGGCGTGTTGCACGAGTCTTGAGGACGTCGAGGACGACGTCTCAGGAGGAGGGCACCGCTGTAACGGCATCAACGTTACAAGAGTCACTGCAAGAGGCCCTGCTGGCGGCACAGCAAGGGGACGCCTTTGTTGCCCAACAGAAGCAGCTTGTCACTGTCCCTGGTAGCGTTACCGCCGGTGGGCTATCGTCAGAAGTCTGGAGCACCAATGACGAGGGCTGTTGTGTTACCGCAAGAAGATCTTCGTGCCTCTGGGTTTGAGAAACGAGATCCTAGTGTTGTTTCACGACGATGAGGTTGCCGGCCATCAAGGCGGAACCAAGACTTGCAAGCGGATCCAGGTGCAGTACTACTGGCCCGGATTACGTCGAGACGTGCGTCGTTATGTCTCTACCTGCCGCGAATGTCAGCTCGCAAAGCCGAGGCATCATAAGCCGTACGGGCTGCTAGCGCCACTGCCAGCGCCAAGCCGTCCGTGGCAAGAGATTTCGATGGACTTCATCACGGACCTCCCGCCGGTCCGATGTGAGAAGAAGATTTACTCCAGTATCCTGGTCGTGGTCGACCGCCTGACCCGCTACGCACGATACATTCCGGTGTCGTCGCGCATATCCAGTGATGGCTTGGCAGATGTGTTCCTGAGGAAATCTTCAAGCATTATGGAATGCCTGATGGCATTGTCAGCGATCGAGGAGCCTATTTACGGGCACTTCTGGGCCACGTTTTGCCATTGCTTCATTGCAAGCGACGCCTCAGCACGTCTTTTCATCCTCAGACTGATGGTCAAACCGAGCAGGTCAACCAGACGATCGAACAGTACTTACGGACTTTCTGCAACAAAGAGCAGTCAGATTGGATGGACAAGTTGCCATTGGCGGAGTTTACGTATAACACCTCATACCATGACACGGTGAAAGGAGCTCCAGCCGAGGTTTTGATGGGCTATCAGCCACGGTCTAAGGGTCATGTCAAGGGACAACTCGAAACCTTCAGCATTCGCGCCATGGACCGAGTCCGAGGCCTCAGAGAACTTCACGAACGTACGGCCCTCCTTATCACGAGCCCAGGAGCGACAAGCGCGACACTATAACAAGACTCGACAGCAAATGTCCTTCGAGGAGGGTGATTGGGTCCTTATTTCCACCAAGAACCTTCCGTTGAGACGTCCGACCAAAAAGCTGACTGACAAGTACGTCGGGCCATACCAGATTGACCAAGTCGTTGGGGGTCATAAACTAGCCTACCGCCTACGCCTGCCTTCAACAGTCAAGATTCACAATGTCTTGCCTGTCAGCAGCTTGGAGCTCTATCGGACTCGAAATCAAGAGCCTATTGAGCCTGAGGATCATCCGTTTATACCCGAGTCTACCTATGACGTTGAAAAGATTCTCGATCATCAAGGGCCGAAAAGTCGTCGGAGGTATCTTGTGAAATGGAAAAGACATGGAGATGAAGAGAACTCTTGGGTGTCCAGAAGCGACTTTGTGGATAAAGCGTTTCTGGCGGACTACGACCAGTCTGTCTTGAAACTTAAGAGTTCGGGACGAACTCTTCAGGAGGAAGGGGCAACCTGTCACGCGCCTAAAGTGCTTGACCACGGTAGATGGCTGGTTGATTCCAACCACTGGCTGGAGTGACTTTTCCAGGGAAAAGCACGGGGCTGGGAGGCCTCTCGTGGTTATAAAAGTAGGGTTGCATAGCACCTGATGGAGCTCGTCAGAGATCAATGAATTGAATGATTGACCCCCGTTCCTCACTCTCTGTTTAGTTGTGTGTGCGCCTTACACCGAGACCCTCACAGGCTCAGCCCGTTACACGTGATATATATGTGTTCGAGCGGAGGGAAGAGTATTTTTTCGTAGAATACTGTCGGTGGACCAGGGTAGCCCTGTTAGGGAGGGACCCGGAGAAGGGATTCCTGGCCCATGTAGCAGGAACGCATGAGGACTTCCTGAGTAAGGAAGGCAACCCCTTTATGCGTGGGCACAGCCACGTATGCGTGGGTAGAGCCCATTACTCAGGAGGTCCCCAGAAGTCCCTAAGACCTCCTGTATAAATAGCCCCTTCAGACTGCCCCTTTAGACATAGAACATGCATCTTGAACCTTCGTGTGTGACCTCCTTCTTATTCCGATGTGTATTGGCATAACGTTCCACCAACAGACACATACACCATAAACCATACAGGTCCATATGACGTATGGCGTATGGTTAGAAAGCCTGGAACTATCGCTACTGTAAGGTCAGCCGACGGCACGGATACTTGCTCTGCCTCAAGGTCACTTCGGATCCAGAGCATGCTGCGGATCGGCCATGAGGCGTCACGAACACACGTCGGAATCATCTTTGTCCAGTTACGATGTCCCATAGGACTCGTCACCACCTTTCCGTCGATATTGCGCGCATGTGGCTCAGATATAGCCAGTGCGGCAAAATCCTTCAGGTCTTCGTCGTTCATCAGACTCTGCTGCACCACATCACTCTTGTGTGCATTCAGCTGTAGGATGCGGAGGGACTCAAGCATCGCTGCTCGGGTTCCTCATCCTGCACTTCCAGCTAAACGACTCATGCGGTCCGCCGCACGGGACGCATTTTGGCTCTATCGCTGTGCACTCTCGGTGGTGATGCCCAGCGTTTGCGCACTTGCCGCATGTCCGCTGCTTCTTGCATGAATATGCTTTGTGACCGATCTCCTGGCAATTGAAGCATTGGATCGGTCCCGTTCTTGGCTCGAACTTATAGGTGGTGGCCGACTCTCCCGCTAGGTCAAAGTAGTAACCGTCCAGAAGCCTTTCTGCATCGCCTTTCTTGGTGACGTATACTACCATGGATCCGTAGGCTTTAGCAGACTCTCGTTTGCTCAGCCAGGAAATCTTGCCAATGGTCACTCTGTTTTCGGCACTCAAGGCTTCGATCGCTCCGGGCAGGACATTGCCCTCCGTGTTGAGGATTGCTGTCCGGTTGGCGTTGTCGACCCGGACCGGATACAGCTGGTCTCTCATGACTCGCGCTCCCTCCACGGCTGTCTTCTGCGCCGCCTCTTTGACCAGCTGAATGAAGCTCGGCTTCGTCTCTGCAGACGATCTTGACTCGGTCGGCGTTCCGGGATTCTCTCACAACTGCTGCGCACCTCCAGGTCTCATGTCCGTTCTTCGCTCTCATCTCAACCTCGATGGCCTGTCGTATCTGCCCGATTTGCGCTTTGTTCCTGTTCGACTCACTTACACTAGGTGGCGCGAGTTTGCGAGTGCCAATAAAGTGGGACCGTGGTACGCGGTGGTTACAGCAATTCTAGGGCAGGGGTCGAAATTTTGGTGCTGCGGTGGCGTGGGCCAGCTCCCGGGTTTAAACCTGGTCAGGTGGGGCGCGGGAGATTGTACCCGTTGGCTAGTGCCCTACCCTTAAGTTGGCCACAAAAGTTGTGGACATGCAGAAAACCCTAAGACAGCCGCGCACGGGCCCACTATCGTAGCACCGCGTTTTTAGTGCATATTCCCACCAAAACTCGCGACCGCATGATACTCATGACGTATTTCTACGTCGCCAACGCGCAATGTATTCCCAAATCGCTATTGCAAGGGCTGTAAAGCCTGTTCTTGAGTCTCGCAAGAGCTTCGAAACAGGGAGCCGCCGCCAAACGCGCAAATCCAGGCAAAATTTCTTCAGTTTCTACGGCAACAGAAATTCGGTACGTTCTTTCTTTTTCTTATAGGGGCTGCTTTAGCGCGGCACACAACGTTCAAAAGATTCCTCCGCAGAACAGGAAGCAATTCCAGCTTCCCCGATTGGCGCCTTGATGGGCTGTACATAGGTCATAGCCAATAGGAGATCTTAGAGCCAGGGGAACAGGGAACATATCTGACAGAGCCTGGGAACTTTAGCGCGAAACCTCGAATTGCACTGGTTGCCAGCAGAGGAGTTGTTGGCACGCACAGGACTTGGGAGAATCTTCGAGGACCAAGGGTTGGAGCCAGCCAAGGGTCACCCTCCCGCGCGACCCCGTCGGACCAAGTGCACAGGATCATTCGCATTGATGCTGCTTCTTCATTCGTACAAGAGTCAATCGCGGAGTAAAAGCTGGATCTACACTGGTCAGATTCGTTTTTCCTATACTATACCTGGTCATCCTCCCACCGTCGTCCCGCATATTTTGCACAGCCTGACCTCCATGCAACTATTGCGTCCCAAAAACTCATCCCGCGTTTCCTCCTGCCGCATTTCCCTAATCACCAGTTGCATTTCCTCTCTCATTTCTACTTCGCACTGCTCTCTTCCACATAACGATGTTACCCAAACCACAATGCGAGCTTCGTCTGCGTGTAGCATCGATATTGGACTCTGTAGGATGTCTATCGCAAACCGCCCGCACCATTCACAGAAAGCCCCCGACGCACCGCAACATGCTGATTCGTGCTCCTTCATAAGAGGCATCATGGCCTGTACAAACCGCTCGTTGTATTCAGCATCCCCTCCGGCCCGAGTTGCCTCGGTGACAAGGCTCCGGGGATGCTGTGGTTGTGTATGAGTTGCCTGGCGCCGAATTCGCATATGAACTCGACTCGGACCGTGGACGTCGCCATAATTTGGTTTCCAGAGCTTTAGATGATCTGTGTAATTAACGAATATGATGCGAAGAACGGTAAACAGGCCAGTCTCAAGATCGGATTCTACGGGTTACATTTTATCTGCTCTTCCTCCGTCATTTCTCACCTTCTTGCTTTTTATTGACACGTAGTGCTGCACGACATGACACGTTGGTGCCCGCTCTCCTAAGATTCGCCCCCAATCACCCTTCGCACGATGCAAGCTACAGCGGGAAGGAATTCTTGGGTAGTCATAGTGACGCAACCACCACAAACCTTCAAATATATAGACAGATAAACCCCCCTCCAACATTATGTTAACTCAAACCTCAAATTTTCGTTCCTCAAGGCTTTTTGCGCGAGCCATGACCGGCGAGCCTTCTCCTGTTTCTTGTTAATTAGACGCCTAATCAAGCTCAAACCTGGATCAATGCAGAGTCAAATCGTAACAGGCAATCAGGGCGATCCGTCTTAATCTCTTTTGAAACGGGCAGGTCCATTCAATTTCACGAGTGGGGAAGAGGGCTGTGTTGCAAATGCAGAGCTTTCAGCTGATGTGGGAACATGTCAACCGACCAGTGCTGCTGCCGGGCTGAGAACGAAACTGCTGGAAAAAGAAGAGCGTCGTCGTTGTGCGACGCATTGCGAGTGCACGTAGATTGTGCTGCCTACCCGCAAAGAACCCATTATGTTTGGGCACATATAAAGTCCCTTTCTTCTCCCCTCAAAATCCTCCTTTCTCTTCCTCATCCTGTTCTACACATTCTCTCATTTTCTCATTCGTCTTATCAATCGTTCACTTTACTTCATTGACTGAAGTTCACTCTTCACTTAACAATGTCTCTCTCTAAAGTCGCATGGCTCATCCTAGGCACATCTGGTCTGGCCGCAGCTCATGGGCACATCGATCGTATCGACATTGATGGCAAGTCCTATGGTGGATTCCTGGTCGATCAATACCCTCATGAACAAAACGTCCCTGATCTCATCGCGTGGTCAACTGCGGATACTCAGGACGGCCCTGTTCAAACCTTTGACTACAACCAGCCGAATATTATCTGCCACCAGGATGCCAAGCCTGGTGCTCTCGCTGGCGAGGTGGCTGCTGGAGGCAAGGTGACGATTCACTGGAACAAATGGTTCGAAGATCACCGCGGCCCGGTAAGTTTCTGGAGCAGGAGCGGACCATGATGGACCCAGGATCACGTTGCAACAGAAGTTGTTCGAATCCAATCAGAATGCTAACACAGAGTAGGTCATCAGCTACCTTGCGAACTGCAATGGGAGCTGCGCTTCTGTGAACAAGACCGAACTTGAGTTCTTCAAAATTGAAGAGGCTGGTCTTCTCGACAACAGCAAGTCCCCCGGAAGATGGGCCAGCGATGAGCTCATGGCTGCCAACAATACTTGGACGGTTAACATCCCTTCCGACATTGCAGCAGGCAATTATGTTCTTCGTCATGAGATCATTGCACTGCACCTCGCAAAGGTAGACAATGGTGCGCAAGCTTACCCGCAATGCCTCAACTTGAAGGTGACAGGTGGTGGCACTGCTACACCGAAAGGCATTCCTGCCACCCAGTTCTACACACCAACCGATCCCGGCATCCTAATTGATATCTTCAACAATCTTGCCACTTATGTGATTCCAGGCCCAGCCCTCTACAAGGGCAGGGATGCAGCACCTCCGACTATTGCCGTCCACCCCACCGGAGCGTCTTCCACCGCGTTGTCTTCCTCCCCAGCCTGGACGACCCCCTATGCAGCGCCTCAGGGTTGTGGATATGGTCCCTACGAGAACTCTTCTCAAATCACACCTACACCTGTAGCGAATGACGCTGAACAGAATGGTCAAGATTATTGAATATTGCGCCTCTGCAGTGCTCGCCGGGGAAGTCTTGCTTGGCTGTCCATCGTTCGGGACAAGGATGCAAACCATTCAATCCACTCAACTGAGGGCCTTCATTGAGTGGAATTTACATGATCAACGGCCGAGTCTGGTGGAGCTGGGGATCGTTGCGTGCGCGGACTTGGTCTTCGAGGAGCACCACGGTTTTGAACAGATGCCACAATCTGCAGCCGCTGTGGTGTGAGAGATGCTCGCTTATCGCAGGGGGGTCTCTGTTCGGTCCGGCGGTCTGATGATCAGTAGGCTTGTTTCCCGCACGGGGGCGAACTGGTAGAAGTCTCCCATCAGTAGAACGACAGGCATCCCACCAAACGGCTCGTCCGGACAGTCACGGAGTGCCTGCAGGTGACGACTGACGTTGTGCAGAGTGGCTCCTCCCAGCATGCTGACCTCGTCAATCACGAGTACCAGCTTCTGTTTCCATATCCACTTCTTCGCCTCCGAGAAAGGGGGAGGCGGTTTGTTTGGATCGCGATGGGAATCCAACCCACACGCTGAGTGGATGGTCGTGCCGCCAATCTGGGCCGCCGAACTGCCTGATGTGCCGGTTATCTGCAGAAGGTGTGGCTGATTTCTCGCCGCGAACACGTCCTTCAGGGCATCGATGATCCTCGACTTTCCCGTGCCGCCTGGCCCGCCGGTATACTGGAGATGTTGACCAGCTGAGTCCTGATTAGCGGTATACCTGTCCAGAAATGCGCAAACAAGTTGAAGGGCCATGGCCTGTAGATAGTTCAGAGTGAAGGTGGCCGCAGTGGCGTGTCCCATCTCCGCGAAGCTAGCCACCGGACTGACGTCGACAAGCATTCGAGGCCCTTGTTGATTGAGGTCACTTCCCGGCGGCGCAATGGTGGGTTCCGTATCGCCGTAGCGAGCTAGGGTATCGTCGATGTCGGCGCCATCCGCGGAAAGCATGGTCCCCTGAGAACGACTCTCAATGTCGTCTAGCATCCGAAGATGCAATAGTTGTTGGGCCTTGGCCGCTGCTTGGACATCGTCTCGAGATATTGGGAAATGGCACAAGCCGTCACCTTGATCATGGGCTATATTCCGGTACAGATCCTCTTGACGTTGCACAAAAGGTTGCTCTTCGTCAGTCGGGTTCTCTTCGCACAGATCGTGTATTAAACCTCCAAGGACGGGTGAGTCTTTTGTGGCGTCCGTGTCCTGCACCGCATTTCGCAAAATCTGGAGTAGAGCTCTGTAGGCCTGACGATGAGCCAGTGCTGGAGGCTCTTCTTCGTATCGGCCATCGTCAAGTGGGTACTCAACGTCAATTGTGTCGTCGCCCTCCGATCGACTGGCCCAGAGCTTCGCGTCCTTACGCGCGTCTTCGACAGACCTTCTCAAAAGACAAATGTTAGAGACGTAGAAACGGATACGGGGACAAAGGCTCGCCCGATGCGCAATGAGATCGCGCACACGTTTGGGATGGTCTCGAAAACTCTGGACAGTGCTGTAAAGCGTAATGCTGGATTGGAAGGCGAACGTAGCCAGGGCCAATAGCCCGGAAGCCAGTCCTACCGGCTCGGCCATCGCGGTGGACGGCCTCAGGCATGAAGAGCGTGTAGGAAGATCGCAGGAGGTGTAACAAATAGTTGTGGGGTGATCGCTCGTTTTATGATCTGCGAGGCGGTGTCTACTCGTGCCCGCGGATTCGCTTTGGCAAGTGGGGACGGGCACGAGTAGAGAGCTTCTTTGCCATAACTTACTTGATTGGTTCATCTCAGCCGAATGCCCCACGTGACCTGGCAGGTGACCTATTCCGCCCTTCATGCGTTCCAACAACATGCTATATTACCGAAATTCTGCCTTACGACAATAAGTAGTAGTTGTGGATAGGCTAACTGAGGCTCAGTTGGGTCTTTGATCGGTGATCATGTTGTTATTGTTATTCTTTTTCTATCTAGACCATGCGGTGAGGTTTGATAGGTTGTGTGTGTGTGCGGGTAATCGTTGTTCCCTGATGACGCACGTGATATCCTTCTGCGATGTGCGCTCTATCGTACAAATGATCAGACACTGGCAGCTCTTTTAAAGTCGAAGCAAACGCATCAGATAATAGGGGAAAAAAAAAATTTAACCAAGGGAAATCGTCAATCGTTAATCGCCTCTTCAATCGTCATATCTTCCTTCCTTTGAACCCAACCTTCAAGCCGGATCGTGATCTCGTTGTCGTTGACGAATCGGGTCAAGGCTCCGTTCGGAGATAGCTTCGTCATTGCATCAGCCGGGTTGTCCGCACCATTGATCCAACGGATGCTTGTGATGTCTCTCTGTTCGTACGCTTGCCTCAACGCCATGATATCGATCATCAGGCGTTTCTCCGTCGTAGTGCCAAGCTTCACGAGGCACTCGTATAGGCTATACGAATCCGTACACACCACGAGCGGGATTTGCGGCAATCCAAGGCGGTTTGTGATCTGGTTGATCGTCTCTGTGATCACATATGCCAAATCGAAGCCTGAAGCTAATCCATATATCTCAGAAGCCAAGACGCTGCGGGTGACTCTCTTGCACTTCGTCGAGCTCCAATGGATCAGGTTTCCGTGGATCGTGAATGACTCATCTGACTTAGTCTCGGTTGCAATGATTATAACGAATCCGATCTGAGAGCTTAAGTCCTTGTTGTTGGCGAATGATCCGTCTGTGAAGACGAAGACCTTTGCTGCTTCTAGACCTATTGGGACGAATCGAAGGCCTCTTTGTGGATTGTCGATCTGCCATTGGATCCGTTTATTCAACGCCTGAAAATCCTCCGCGGTTGGATCTTGTGATTGTGCCGCGATTGAATAATCGAAGCTAGCCTCTGGTTGACAAATTGAGGCTATATAGGCGCCACGGGCACGTTGTTCCACGTATCGTTGGGCCCGATCTTCCGTGGATAGATCGATAATGTTGAGGTTGTTGACCTGACCTTTCTGCATGACTAGAAGATAGCCCTTCTCTAGAGCAATGAGGCTGCCGTTGAAATCACAGGTATCGCCTTCTCGTAGGGTCTTCTTTGGCTTGGCTTGGAAGCATAGCTCGCGGTCTTCACGTTGCAGGAATGTTGTTGTGCCTACCAATAACGTATCATCAGTCTGAAGCGCGGCAACGCCGAAGGCATTAACCTGAAGTGCGGTATCCGCGTTGGTCTCTGCGGTCGTGACGTTGATCTCTGCGGTCGTTATCATTAAACATGGATCAAACGTTGACGGCTCCATCTGTAGCTTGATGCGGTGATGCTCATGATACGTATTGAACCAATGAGCGCCTGCTTCAGCGATTCCGTACAATGGCTTGACCACACGAAGGATGGTTCCCCCTGGGTATCTCTCTTTAATTCGTGTGGCAAAGAGATGAGGATAGTGCGATTCAAAGTGGTCGATGCCTGCGTATAGGCCATCGTAATGTCTCGGATAGCAAGAGACATCTTCAAAGAGCAAAGGAAAGGGGAAAGAGCGAGTACTACCCGCTGGGCAGGACGGGAGATTGTTGGAGCCTGCGTGAGGATCTCACGCTTCTCGTCGTCACCATATCCTTGTACCACAAGACGAGATTTCTCGTACGGTGTAGCATTGTTCTTGCCTTTGACCTCCCGGACCATTCGTGACTTGAATAGCCTGTGTTTTCCATGCTTATTCATATCGTATCGTTCGGGCACGATGACGCCTGCGCCTAGCAGGTTCGTGATTTCGAGGTCATCAGAGGCTTCAAACGGTCGTCCGGCGGTAGTGATTTTCTTCTCTGCACGTAACTTTACGGCAAGGTCGAGGGCGGCGCACTATGCGATAGAAACATATTAGCGGGTGAAAATTGAGATCGAGGTAACGAAAAAGGGCTAAGACTAAGGAAATAACTAGAAGGAATGAAGGTATCGTATTGCTGCTGATCTCGAGGGACTTTTCTTGGTCTGCCGCGTCTGCGTGGTCTCTCCGGCTCGGGATATTCGAATGGCTTAGGCACTTCGGTCTCAACGTTGATGCTATCAGCCTGATTGTCAGCAGTCTGATTGTCAGCGTGTGGCTGCTGTAGAACATCGTGACTTCGTTGCTGCTGCGAATCCGGGTGGCGAAAGTAGGGCTGGACAGCCGTGCTGCGAAATTTAGCTGGCCCGTTGTCTAGCTCAACTGTGACCTCTGTGTCTGTCACAGCTAGGACCTTGTATGGGCCTTTCCATCCTCCTTTCTCACGAAATACTCGAACTTCACTACCAAGCGGCAATGATAGTGGCATCTTCTCAATCGTGTTGGGCCCATTACGGGTATTGAGGGCGTCATTGACCTTCCTTTTAGCTACAAGCTTGCGTAGCTCTGCCATAGCTTTCGTCACGGCTTTCGCACGTGTGATCGCGGAAGCAGAAGGCGGCGAATCCATCGTTATCCGAGGGTAGGCACCAAAGACTAGTAGTGTGGGCACTAGACCGTCAGGTCCGGCGGTATCATTGACGGATTTGAAGGCCATTTGAAGCAACGACTCAGCTGATGCTGTTTTAGCTCGGCTTTCAAGATCTCGTATGCCCTTCGAATCGGGGCGTGATATCTCTCCACCTTGCCAATTGACCAGTGGGCTTCGACGGGCACTTGGTGACAGGTTATTCCTAGCAGCTTCGCTTCTGCTTGGAACTCAGAGGAGGCAAAATTCGTACCAGCGTCGTGCGTGATAACATCTGGAGGGCCTAGGTATGTGTCAATCCAACACAATTTGAGTGCTTCCCACGTCTCTTTAGCCGATATATTCTGAAGAAATCGTCCGGCTTGGAAAGAGGTTGCTAGGTCAACGGCATGAAGGACTGGCCGGCTGTCAAGATGCATTACATCGACGATCAATTCGTAGTTGAAATCGCAGTTATCCTTTAACGTGAATTTGAACCTGCGCGGTGCGTCTGCCTTGATCTGGCAAAAATGACAGAATTTTCGGATCATCGCGATTGCTTCGAATTCAACATCATGCCCAGCGCTTGTCAGTAGCTTATGTAGCTTGTGTACTGACGGGTGGCCAAAGCGAGTGTGGAGGCGCCGAAGCTCGGCTTCGGATAGGAAGGCAATAGCGGCTTCATCCTTCCGTAGGAAGAACCACGGATGACCCCATTTGCGTACGATCGGAATCCTCTTATCGCCGCAGATCAATTCGTTCGTGACATTGTTGAGATAGGCACCGAGACGGTCCATATCCTTGAGGCATAGCAAGAAGGGCGTTGACATATTGATAACGTGGAAAACGACTTCTCCAATCGGGGTGATGACTGTTGTGATCCCGATCGTGTTCGTCGGCTCGTTTCCACCGAATCTGACCGTTGCGATCGTCGCATTCTTCCGTAGCTGGACCGTCGGCATCTCTCGTTGGAGCGCGCGGAATTGGTCGATCCCAGCTGTAGATATCTTCGCTGCACCCGTGTCAGGCAGGATCCCTTGGAAGAGGTCCGGTTGTAGCGATCGAGCAAGAAATGCTGTGATTCCTCGCATATCGATTCTCCTCGACGGTGTGAATGCGGTGGCGAAAAGCTCTATTAGATAGGAAGGCAGCTGCAAAGAAGCTATCGCTTTGATCGTCAGAGTCATCGTCAGCAGAATCAGAGGTCTGATCTTCATCTGGGTCCCCTTCGTAATCGGCAAGGAACGTAGTAAATGGACGGGAAGATGACTTCTGGCCGTGAAATCCTCGTTCTCGAAGATATCTTTCCTTGGCCCTCTTTCTCTCGTCATCCGGATGCTTCGTTGAAAAACAGCCTTCTTTGCCGCAGACGTAGCAGCGCTTCGTCCACTTCTTCCTTTTGTCAGCGGGGTGCTGATAGCGGCGGTCAGTAAAGAATTGGTCTTGATCTTGAAGATATTGACTGGGCTGTCCGGGCTGTCTTTGGCTGACGGTTGTGAGTGACGATCTTAGCTGTGAAGATAGTCCCTCGAAGGTCTTAGCCGGCACGAAGAGGGCGAATTCTAATTCAGGCACGCCACGGCATGCTCGAATTGTCGTTGAAATTAGCTGGTCTTCGCCGCCATAGCTATTCCCAAGAGCTCTCTGGCATAGCTGCAATTTGTCAAGAAGAGCCTGGAGGATTTCACAGAGAGGCTTCTCGGGAGATTCCTTCCGAAGCTGTGTGAAATTGATCGAGGTCCAGTCAGTGTGATACTGTTGCCTATTGACTTCCGTATCAAAGTGCTGCTTCATCTTCTGATACATCTCCGCGAACGTTGAATCGCGGCTGACTTGATGCACGAAGAAGTTCTTTGCTCTCTTCGTGAGGATATTTGAGAACAAAGCGTGGAATTGTGACGGTTTGATGCTAGCTGTGAGGCAGGCATCGAGAAAGTAACGGATCTTATCATCTAGGATATCGTAGGCGTCACCTGAATAGTTGAGCTTTCGATCCCATAGCTTAGAAAACTGGTTGGCGATGGCAGGATCGAGGTCTTCATTGGGGACCTGGACTGGGGGCACGGTCCGGTAAGCTTCGCGGTCGATAGCTGGTCTGATCATAAGTTCCTGCTGCTGTTGATTCGATCGTGACAGGGTAGGGATTGGTCATTGGGGGGTCTTGCGGGAGGTTTAGATCGGGAGTGACTGGTGCTGGGGTTGGTGCTGGGGTTGTTGCTAGCGATGGCGATCGTCTGAGGAGTTCTTGTTGGCGTCGGTAGGCGGCCGTTTTCTCGTATAAGATGGCATCACGAAGATCGTCTTCATCCCACTCAGGAAGTCGGTCACGGTTCTTCAGATTTACTAGGAATGCCGTGATCTTTGCGTTCAGCTTTCCTGTATAGATTCCTCTGAACCTTAGGGTATTCCGTAGGACCTTACGGACCCTTGGATCGACCTTCTTGAAGTCGTCTTCCTCCCAATCCTCAAAGTCTTCTTGGAATGATCCAAGCAGCTCGAGACCTTGACATGTTGAGGAGACTTTATAATCAACGATGCGGGCGAGAACGAAGGTATTATAGTGGATCTCATCGGAAGTCTCGTTGACTGGGGTGTTGAAGAGGTCCATGTTGAAGATTGTGGCGAGGCCACGGTTGAATTCAGCAATATCGAGGAATTCGTTGATGTCGAGCGCCGGTGCGTTCGCGTTCGCGCTGGTGCCGCTTGCGCTGCTGCTCATGATGTCGGATGGGGCTTGACAGGAAAATCTGCGAGGGAATAGGGCAAGAAGGTGTCAAGAGAGGTCAAATTGATCGAGAGTGATCAATGAAGCTGATAATCAAGCGGGATACCAGAGATTTGTATGTGCGATAGGGCACGCCTAAGAGGTCAGCGGCTGAGGCAAACAACTAGGCACGGTTGACTGAATAGAGTGGGCGCCGGTCGGGTCTTCGTAGTCAGTCTCGCGTTCTAGCAATCTTAACTTCGCAGGGCAATCTGATGCAGATGATGCTTAGAAAAGACTCTCTTCTATCTTGCTGCTCTGAGGTTACCAGCCAGGTAACAACTGATCAGTGTGGATAGGCTAACTGAGGCTCAGTTGGGTCTTTGATCGATGATCGTGTTGTTCTTGTTATTCTTCGCTATCTAGACCATGCTGTGAGGTTTGATAGGTTGTGTGCGTGTCGGGTAAACGTTGTTCCCTGCTGACGCACGTGATACCCTCCTGCGATGTGCGCTCTGTCGTACAAATGATCAGACATCAGCAGTCTATTTCCGACAGACAAAAAGGCCAGGCAGCTCTCGCTGATCAGATACAGGCTGACAAACACTTGAGAAATAACCAGAAAGCTCGGTTTCTCTCCTTGATTGTCCTTCAAGAGTCTCTTGGCTCTATTCCCTCCCACAGACTGATCCGCGCCTGCGTGGAGACTCTATAAAGCAACCGAACAACAAGCGGACAGTGGACAGCAACTGGTCCACTAAATTCATTAATTGCCATTTGAAGATCAATAACAAGCGTGAGAGACGTTAGGAAGCCAACAGGTTTAACGCTTTCACGCCTCGGGCGGTTCACTGGTACTTCGATATCAGGACAAGGAGTATGGACGGATTAAACCGGAGAATACCGTGAATGTCAACCGGGGCGGTATTATGTCTGGCTATGGTGAGTGTTTGACTTGCCCTTCATTATTCCAACTAACCAGCCTATTTTTGCCAGTTTTGGATGGTCTTGTGGTTGGGAGTACAGACCCAAAACAGAAGGCCCTTCTGAAAGGACCACGGTCCCGCAACTAGACCTCATTTATCGAAGCCATCACCGCGGACGGCCGTGCCCTTACTCCTGGCATCATTTTCAAGGGCAAAGAACTCCAGAAACAGTGGTTCGCGACCGAATCCGGCAAAATAGCCGACCGGCATTACATTACCTCGCCCAACGGATGGACGGACAACCTATCGCTATTGAGTGGCTTGAGAGAGTCTATTTGCCACACACGCGGCCCGCTGATGATTCATATGCTAGGCTGATCGTATTAGATGGACATGAAAGCCATGCAACGGTGCGTTTCCATATTTATCGCCCTAGAAATCACTGTTAACCGGGACCAGGATGCATGGATGGCCACGTGCGTTTGAACAGCGCCTACTGCTGTTACCTTCCTTCCCACCGCTGTCATGGCTTCCAGCCACTGGACAAAGGTGGTTTAACGACATCCAGGCGGCGTATCGGAAAGAACTTTAGAAATTAACCTGTCTGACGGATTCTGCGCCCGTTGATAGGGTCAATTTTATTCGGGCATATGCCAAAGCACGTGAACTCGGAATGACTCCAAAGAATATGTTGTCCGGCAGGAGCGTCACTGTAAATTGGCCAATCTCACGATCCAAGGCATTGCGGCGTGCAGAAATTCACGCAGGTACGGTAGAGGCATCTACAAATTCTGCGCCACTTTTGGCTCCTGATGATACACCGAAGAACCAGCCGCCACATTCGCGATTTCGGAAAGAACAGGGCTCCTGGCACTTGGAGGCATTACGCCGTGATAGCAAGAGGCTTTGAAGCTCAAGAACAAACAGTTTCTGAGCACAGCAACATAATTGCGAAGCTGGAGGCAGAAGTGACCCGGCTGCAGAGAAGCAAGAAGAGGAGAGCAACCCCGAGCCCGAACAGACGGTTAATGACTCTCAGTGAAGCCTTGGTGGCTCAGGAAGCCATTACCCAAAGTAGAAGTCAAGAAATGCCCGTTGTGGTGAAATCTGAGACCGAGGAGGAGGTCTCAGAGGTGAGTCAGCTTCAGTGATCGAAGTCAAGGCGGCACTTGAGGCCCTTTTTGTCACCACTAGATGCGGGAGAGAGGTAAAATAGCTTCGGCATAGATAGGAGCGTTTATTCCTCTACAGAATGATATAATCTTCGTGTTTTGTATGTATGTGTATTTCACCCGGAGGATTTCTCCCATAGGGCCTAGACGTAAAAGCTACTGACATTTCAATACATTAATGCATAACACCTTAAGCCCCACGGGTCAGCATACGCTACACCAACCTCGCCGCTACTCGCTCCGTGACAGGCCTGCTTGAAGGCCAATTTCTCCAAGTGTTCAGCGTCCTACCTTCAGCAGCTGAAGCGCGGTCTGTCGAAATCGAAGTCGAATACCTGTGTGTTAGTATTGTTGAAGGTTAGTGCCATAATCGATCCTAAGTGGATTCTCACTTCCGCTGCTTAGCCCGAAGGGCCAGACGCTGCCTGCGTCTCATCCCCAGGGTTCCGCGCCCGACAGTTCCGGCTGTACGATTCGTGTGGTCCACCGCAGGGCACGCACTTTGGCACTGTCTCCTTGCATTCTCTGTGGTGATGTTCTGCTTTCGCGCATCTGCCACATCTTTGCGGCTTCTTGCATGAAAACGCCTTGTGTCCCATCTCTTGACAGTTGTGTTGCGATTGAACTTACTTCTATTCAATTCTGTCTGACAGCTCTCAACATACATATATACATAGTGGCACGTCCGTGCCACTATCCAGTGACTCACCACTGCCTAAACATGTCTTGGTCCATGTCTCATATCAAGTCAACACTCCCCTAGAGCTGTCAGACTTCAACTGCAACGCTATTCATAGCGTATGGGTCCAATTCCAATCCTCCTCCTGTTCCTCTCGAAAGCCTCCCTAGGCAGAGGCTTGGTCATCCCATCTGCTAGCATATTCTCCCCTGGAACCCAGTAGACTTGGATTCTCCCTTCCTTGACCTCATCAACGACGTGATGAAATGCTATATCAACATGCTTGATTTTCGACGTGTTCGATACTCCTCGGGTCAGCTGTACAGCTCCCTTATTATCTCCAAGCAGTAGTGGCACTGTTTGCTCCCCCTTTCCTTCCAGTTCTGCAAGTAGTCGACGTCCCCAGAGGGCAGCTTTTGTGGCCTCCCCCATCCCAACATACTCTGCTTCTGTCGTAGATCTTGCCACTGATTTCATCTTCTTGCTATACGTCATGACGGCGCCTCCGTAGACCATAAAGACGAACCCCAGGATACTCTTCCGGTCCCTTGGATCAGTAGCGTAGTCGGTGTCAGAGAACGCTTCCCCATCTTGCAGGCCTGCAGAGCCGACGTGCCCTTCGATGTTGTGGTCAATGGAATAATAGTCGATATCGCTGCCTTCGACTCCTTGTGCGTGCTCATTATTTCCGCCATATGTGATACCGTGGTGAATAGTCCTGCCGACATAACCCAATATTCGTAGCAAAGCTTTCCAGTGGTTCCAGCATGCCTCTACCGTGAAAGATGCCATTCTGTTAACTGCGAATATAATGTCGAACCTCGTATTGCATAGCCAAATCAGCTTTCCGAGCAATTCCACGTATTTCAACCATTCGTCATGGTTCAGAGGCCGTCCCGGTTCCTCAACGAGCTTCCGTATAGCTCCAGGTTCCATGGGGGTTGCGTGCTTCATTGAGTCGTCGTAGAGAAATTCTGCCACGATTTCCTTCGCAAATTGTGATTGATCAATCATCAGCTTTCCTTTGTGCCTTTGAATCCGAATTCCGAGAATGTTCTCTGCTTCTCCGAGGTCTTTCATCTCAAATCTTCCCTTCAGCTTTTCCTTGACCCGTTCAATGGCATCCTCGTCCCCCCCTGTAATCATAAAGTCATCCACGTGCACGCCGATGATTACCCCCGACTCTGTATGTCTGAATATTGTCGGGTCCACTGTCATCGGTGAGAAACCAATCTCCTTGAGATATTCTGATATTAGCAAATACCACATCCTTGCAGCTTGCTTCAATCCGTACAAACTCTTCAGGATCTGAACGTATTTCCCGAAATATTGCTGGAGCTCAGTTGGCACTTTCATGAAGATCCTTTCCTTTAGGTCTGCTGCAAGGAACGCAGCCACAGCATCCATCTGGTATACCTTCCAGCCTTTCTTCGCCGCTAAAGCTAGAATGATCCTCATCGCATCGAGCCGGATCGTGGGTGCGAAGGTTTCTCGTAATTGATCCCGTGTTTCTGTGTGAACCCTCTCGCGACTAGACGTGCTTTATACCGTAGTATCTTCCCTTCTTTGTCTTTCTTGTGATCAAACACAAGCTTGGCATCAACTACTTCTTCTCCGTGCACGTCAACTTCGTTGATTTCCTCCGAGAATGTCTGTCGTCGAATGAGATTCTGAACTTCCTCATCTATAGCTCCTACCCATTGATCCTTCTCACTGCCTTCCATCGCCTGTCGGAAGGTAAGCTTTTTCGGGTCGAAGTCGTACAGGTCTGTATTAGGCTGGAGAAGCGTCCTTGCTACCATGGCTCTTTCCTTCCTGCCACTCTCCCTCGCTTCTTCAGACGTTCTGCCATGCGCTGTTCTTCTCTTTGCCGCCATTCCAGCTCTGCTCGCTGCTTCTCTGCTCTTTTGAGTGCCACGGCCTCTCGTCGAATCTGGGATCTTGTTTTCGGCAGACTCCTTTCAGGAGAGGTTATATCCGCCTCCCCTGTATTGACAATGATTGTGTCTCCTTGGAGCTCTTCCTCCGAACCTGCAGTGTCTTGGTCGGTCGGGTTCCCATCCGCTGCTTCTCCGGCATCCTCCCCAGCTTCTGTAGCTTCCTGGTCCGTAGTCCTATCCCTGACCGAATCTTCGGCATCAGAGTCATCATCAGTGAGCTCCCCTTGCTCCTTTTTCTCTTCCTTCTCATCGTCATACTGCGATTGTGATTCTTGGCTGATTTCATTGTCCATATACTTGCTCTCATCGAATTCCACGAATCGAACCTCGTGGACCTTCTTATCAGCTGGGTTCCAGACTAGATAGATTTTATCTGTCTCCTCTTTGTATCCAACAAAAACTCCTTGCCATGCTCTTTTCAGAAGCTTTGTTCTCTTTTCTTTGGGAATAAATACCCAGGCAGGACATCCGAACACTCTCAAGTGCCCTGATCTTGGCTTCTCTCCACGCCATAACTCCCATGGGCTTTAGCCATTCCCTGACAACTCCCTATTTCTCAGATAGGCCGCTGTTGCATTCGAAAACTCCCAGTATGCTGCCGGGAGGTCCATTTCGTGACGCATAGCAGACCCCTCTCTGATATGGTTCTCATGCTCCTCTCAGAGATACTATTCTCCGGGTGGTAGCCCACTGTTGGTTCGATCCGAATAGCTCTCCCCGTGCAAAATACCTTCATTGCCTCGTTTAGAAACTCCTTTCCGCGATCAAAGCGCATCGCCTTGACCTTTTCGCCTTTTCCGTACTCGCGACACTCCGCCTCTGCAACAACTACCCAGGCTTTGATCTTGTCGGTAATTCTCGTTTTGTCTCTAGAGAAATAAACCCAAACTCGCCCGGTAGCCTGATCGGTGATTGTCAGCATGTACTTCATTCCTTGAAGTGATAGCTCAACTGGCCCCAAAGATCTATATGGACTCTCCAGCTTTTCTGTCACCGCAGACATTGGCTCCTTGAGACTTTTCTTGTCATTTTGGCCTCGGTGCAGCTTGAGCAGAATGACGGGCAGAATGAGTTGTCTCCGAGATCATCCATTACGGCGTTCAGTTTGCCCTCCATATGCTTTCCAGGGTGTCCCAGCCTAGCATGTAGTAGTCTTTCAGGCATCTTCAGGATTGACTTCAGCGCTACCCCGTTATCGCCACCCTTTTCTTGGATTGTATGGGCTCGGTGCCCTCTTGTCTGGCTCAAGCGCCACACCTTTTTATGTCTGTGGCCAAACATCACCTCCTCCTGATTTCTTGTCACCGTGACTGTCTTCCCCGGAGAGTCCACGACAATACATGCTCCCCTGTCTTCCAGTTCACCGACTGATAGCAGGCTGCTCGTCGCCTCCGGGATGTAGTGCACCCACGTACTATTGTCGACCTTGCTCTTCCTTTCTGTGAGACGTAAAAGATCCTCACATCTCCTTTCCCTCTTGAACGAACCTCGAGCCGTCTGCAATCTCAACACTTGTCTTTGTAGGGGACAACTTTGAGATAAATTGGTCTTCCCTTGGGGTGATATGGACGGAAGCACAGCTGTCGAGATACCATTGTGGAGGGCTGTTGCTTTTGTGTTCGGAAGCAAGTAGGTAGATCTCTCAGATTCACTACCACTGTCTTCAAGGATCCTGACCGCGTTTGCCTTTTCTGTGCTATCCATGGCCTCTCTCGCCTTCGCTTTTTCAGAGGCTAGCCAGGTCTTCCCTGCTTTGGTTTGGTGCCAAATTGCACAATCATGCTTGAAATGCATGCCGCCACAAGACCAGCACCCCCCTGCCTTCTTCAGATATTCCTCCTTGCTATCATCGCCACCATCCTGTGCTTTGGACCTGTTGTTCCCTTTTTCCATGCACTGCGGCCACGACCCGCGAATTGTGCGGTTTCTCCCTTGATTGTAGTATCGACGAGTTCCAACTCTTTGCTTTCCAGAGAGCTCTGCACCTTTTCCATTGTCAACGTCTCTGTCGAGGCGTTCAAGATCTCGACCGTAGTGTTAAAAGCGTCGTCCATGCTCATTTGCAAGAAGCAAATCAATAGCTGTTCATGGATAACAATGTCCTTGTCTTGGCTATTAATCTGAGCTCGAAGTCGCTTTAGGTCGTCGACCTTCTCCTGCACAGTTCTATTCGTCTGCGTACTAACGTCGTATAGCATTCGGATCAGCTGTCGAAGGCGCGCTTTGTTCGATGTCGCATATCGCTTAACGAGGACTGATAAATTGCTCGTGGATCGGTGAGATGGTTGACTGAGTTCTTGTGGATCTGGTCAATACTCTGTCGTATTTTCATTCTCGCGAGAGACATTTTTAATGTCCGCAGCATTCTCTCCTGGCGTTGATAAATCGGACGATTCCGCTGTTGCCTTACCGGTGACGCAGCTCATAAGATCGTCACTCAACAAGTTATCTTCAAGATCCATCTTCCAGCTGTCAAAGGAGTCTCTTCCATCAAGGATGGTTCCTTTGTAGTCTTTCTTGCCCATAGTGCCGGGTCTTTGCTGTCAACCGTCGATTCTTGACGAAAAAGTGTTCTCATATGCCGAGTTCAATCGTGCAGTGGAAGGATAATAAAAGCAACCGGGTGCATAACCTGTTGCGATTGAACTTACTTCTATTCAATTCTGTCTGACAGCTCTCAACATACATATATACATAGTGGCACGTCCGTGCCACTATCCAGTGACTCACCACTGCCTAAACATGTCTTGGTCCATGTCTCATATCAAGTCAACAAGTTGAAGCACTGAATCGGTCCTACGCGGCGTTCAAAAACATTGGTGCAGGCGGACTCTCCCGCAACATCGAACCACACGCCGTCCAGAAGTCTTTGCGCGTCACTCTCTTTAGTGACATAGATCACCATTGACCCGTACGCTTTGGCTTTCTCTCTGTTGCTAAGCCAGGTGATCTTGGCAATCGTGACGTAATTCTCGGCTCCGAGCGCCTCAGCTGCGCCCGGCAGAACGTTGCCTTCGGCGTCCAGCACTGCGGTACGCTTGGTGTTGTCGACTTTGACAGGGTAAAGCTGATCTCTCAGTACCCTGGCTCCCGAAGTTACCGTCTTCTGCGCTGCTTCCTTGACCTGCTTCAACTCGGTTTGGTCTCTGCATAAAATTTTGATCCGGTCGGGGTTTCGAGCGTCTGTCACGACCGCTGCGCATTTCCAAGTCTCCTGCCTCTGACTCTTTCTCATGTCGCTCTCTATGGCCTTTCGGATGTTGCCGATCTGCGTCTGGCACCTGTTCGCTTCTTCGACTCGTGATGTGTCCACCGTACAGTAGAGACTATCGCTGACGGCTGTTCGTGCCGATTTAGCTGCTGGTACGGTGCCCCGGTTCATTGTCTGGATCGTCGGCGATGACCCTGCAGCGCTCGCATACGACATCTGCGGACTGCTCTGCAGAGAAGATGCGGCGTAGCCAGGGTCTCTAACTGCGCTCGGATGTGACGAAGCTCATCTCTCATCTCTTTCCTTGTTGATCCATTTCCTGGATCATCTGCTGTTGCTTGGATATGATCTCGTTTTGCGCATCTATCGCTCGGCTGAGCTTTTGCGTTTCTTGACGTGACTCGCTCAAGAGTTCGAGAACTTTCTGGAGCATGGCTCGGCCTTCGTTCGCGCCACTGCTGCTGCTGGCAACTTTGCGCCGCTCAGTCGCGTCACTGATGGCGACATCATCCGAGGCAATGCGTGTTGCAAGCCTAGTTGCGCGTGTTGTCTTCTCCGCCAGATCGTCGGGCTGTCGCGCGGCTTCTCGAATTTTGGTGCTTGGCCTCACGACGCGTGTCGATCTTTTCGCGGGTGTCGACGCAGGCGACGCGCTTCGCCCCACCATGATCACGGCCTCAGCCGGCGTCTCCATGATGAGGCCCCTCAATGCCTAGCTGGCGTTCGCTCAAACTCGCTCTGTTCAATGGAGGACTCTCGTTCAGTTTGGTATCACTGCTCCAAAATATGTCCCAGAATGTCGGTGTGTGTGTGTGTTTATTACGCCCGGAGAATGACTCTAATAGGGCCTAGACCTTCTGACTATTGACGCTTCGATACACTGATGCATGACACCCCAAGCCCCACGGATCTGCTTACGCTGCGCCAACCATTCCACTGGTTCACGAAGGAATACGTAAAGAAATTCTGAGCATTGTGTTCCGGAGCTTCGCTACGAGTGGCGTTCATCGCCTGTAGCAGGTCTTGGCTGCAGTGTGTTGACTTACCAATGGCTGACGGGCCGTGTTGGTGGGGCTGGCCGGTCGTCCATACAGCCCGTGTAAGGAGCGCCCGTGTAGTAAAGTGGTTGGGCCCGTATATCAATTGCCATTCGACTTACGTCTCTACCACATTTCGCAACCATCTGCTGAAGATACACACGATAGACGTCGCTGGTCTTGAGTCAACCCTGACCAAGAAAACATGTCATAACCTTCTGAAAGACGCTTTCAACAAAGCCGGAGAGGTTGATCTTGTCAAGTTTCAGGAAAGAGAAGAGCAGGGTTTGCGAAAGGCAATCAATCCGAAGGCCGCAATGGAAGCTTTGGTTCAGCTTGTCACCGTGCGAAACCTCCCATATAACTGCAATACCTGGCCTGAGTTTCATGCTTTGCTCATGGCAGCGAATTCCACTGCGGAAGGGCTGATCAGCACCTCACATGGCCACATTCAAAAGCTTTGCATGAACTCCTATGCAATCCATAAAGATATCTTACGAAAACGGCTTCAATCTTCGCCCTCCAAGCTTCACCTCTCTGCCGACGTATGGAGCGCGCCGAATCACAAAGGTTTCCTCGGAATATGTGTCCAGTTCATGCAGGACGACCAAAGAAACCCTTCTCAAGCATTGCTGGCTTTACCTGAGCTTCCTGGCATCGATGGTCCCGGTAGTCACGGTGGAGGTGAACAATGGAAGCTGCTTCAACCAGTCATTGAGGACTACGGCATATCAAGTCTGCTAGGGTACTTCACAGGAGACAACCACGGTTCCAATGATGTGCTTTGCCGCCTGATGAGCAGCTTTCTAGAGAGTCAAGGCATCGCATGGAATGCAAAGCATCGACGGATCCGCTGCCATGGCCATGTGGTCAATCTTTGCGTCCAGGCTTTTCTTTTCATGGACAACAAAGAGGCCGTACTCGAGGCATGTAGACAGATTGAGGAGATGGATGAAGCGCCGTGCGACTTGGACATGATGCAAGGGTGGAAGAAGCGGAAGGAACGTGGCTGGAGCCAACTTGGTCCGCTCGGCAAGGTGCATAATATTGCGGTTCATATCAGAGCCAACGATTACAGGTACAACACTTTCCGTCAGCGTGCAGGGAAGGTTCTCGGGCTCGACAACGACACACGCTGGAACTCTTAGTTCCTCCTACTGGATACTGCTCTTGAAAAGGAGGAGCACGTCAAGTGGTATCAAGACAAATACTACGAGACACTTGTCAATGACTATCTGGCACCTCGAGACTGGCAAGCCCTTCGAGATATAAGAAACTTCTTGCAGCCATTCTGGAGAATAACACTCCTTACTGAGGGCTATCGCTCAACACTAGACCGCACGCTCTTCACGATGGATGTCCTTCATAAACACTACCAGCAAGCTTTCGAGAAATACAAGCTCAATCAACAACTTCTCGGCCCGGTGCTGACCAGCTGGCACGTTTTCGACAAATATTATCGGCTTTCTGACGAGACCCCGGCATACGGTGCAGCCCTGATTCTTCATCCGTCTCGAGGAAAGGCTCATATTGAGAAAAACTGGCCCAAGTCATGGCATAAAAGAACCTTCGACGCAGTGAGAAACCTCTGGGAAGAAGAGTACATGGATCTGCCGACAATTTCTGTCACGCCTTCCAAGGTTTCAGTACTGCAACAGGACGAGTACGACTTACTCGCACAGGAACTCGATGTCATAGGCAAGGGACCAGACGCAGACGAGTACGAAGCCTTCACATCGCAGTCGCCTATTCAGATTGACGGTTCACCACTTTCCTGGTGGCATCGTGATGAACACCGTGAACGTTTCTCGGTTGTCCAAGATGGCGATAGACATACTCTCAATACCCGCCATGTCTGCGGACCCAGAGCGCACATTCTCAGGCGCAAGGCGCACTATCTCTTGGGATCGAATGCTTCTCGGAGCATCGACAGTCGAGAGAGGAGAGTGCCTGAAAAGCTGGATCCGCAGCGGCATCACGGCAGGGTTACGAATAGAGGAGGTTGAGCAATACGGGTCCGAGTCGGCCGAAGAGTGCAGTAATAACACCCCCTTGGGCACGGGAAGTATGACCCAATGACGTCATTTCTTGTATGGGCAATATATGGTTTAGTTCACCATATGAAAACCCCTCGTGGCGTAGTGGTCATACGCTTTGGAGGCCGCCCTCGTGGCGGAGTCGGTTCGAATCCGGCCGGGGGCACGACCTTTGGGGGGAGGTCGAGACCGGCAGACTAGCCCATCCTGCCTTACCAAATGGGGAACACAGTCTCTAGGGACCTGGGTCATCCCTAGCGGGGGCGCTCCCGTCATTTTACCGCCGCCTCGAAGCACCCGTGTGGGCGACATCACACGCATGCGGACGACCTCGCCCGACGGTCGAAAAATCCTTGGGCCGCCTGCGCAGCGCGTCAGCCACGCAACCAACACCTCAACAACGCCGCAAACTCTCAACGTCACCGAGTCCAACCCCTACGATATACACCAACCACGATAGGCGACAAGATGCTCAACGTTGAAAGACATACGCGCAGACAAGATGGTAGAATACGGGTTTTCATCCCGGGCTTCGGCTATAGGGTTTTTCCTGTATTGGTAACGAATAGAGGCTCTAGGGCTACGGCCGGCTAGTGTAATAAACTACTACTACTACTACTACTACCACCATATGAAAATAAATCATACTGTGGATAGGCTAACTGAGGCTCAGTTGGGTCTTTGATCGATGATCGTGTGCCTTGAGGAACGAAAGGCCTTCTAACGTGCCCCGCAGACCCCGCCCTCTCCCCCCAAAAGTTCTCCGCCCCTTGATTGGTCCCTTGTGATTGGTCCCTCCTTGCCTCCCTCCTCGTTGGTCGCTGCCCTTCCCCGGCTTCTGTTGCCTTTTCGCGTGCCTTATCCCACCACTAGGCGCCTCCCACCCTGTCTGCCGCCTGCCGACTCTTCCCGCCTGCCGAACTCTTCATCGCGTCACCTAGCCCGGCCGCCTTGACTCTTCAGCATCACCGTCCAGCCAGCGCAACGCCTCCTCAACGGTCCTCTCGCTCAGTACCTCGAGCCTGGCCTGTGCGGCAGTCATCTCCTCGGGGACCCGGTTGCCCACCAAGTCTCTGTCCCGCACCTTGGACACGAGCATGATGCCGTCTAGAGTTCGGCAGCGCGATAGCTGCACGTACAGGCCGTACGGGTCGCACTGCGAGGGCACCACCGTTCCATCCATCTTCGTCGTCCGTGTCCTCGCAGCTCGAGGGCCACGCGCTCCAGCGTTTTGCCCTGCACCTTGTAGTCCGTGCACGCGAACGCTGCTGCGCACGGCAAACCCTTTCGGCTGACGTCGTTGCGTTGCCACGGCCTTTTTCGCTGGCACTGTATCTTAACGGTCATGGGTGTCAACAAGATCGTGCCCGGCGGCATCCCGACGAAGTGGAGATATCTCGTCGTCTCCGATTCGAGAATGATCCCCGCCGGCGGCCCGAAGTGGATCGTCATATCGGCCGAGATCCGATGCCCCGGGTACGCCTTGTCGACAATGACCTCCACCGCCGAGTAGCTCGCGCCGTTCACTAGCTTCAGCCCCTGGTGGGTGTTGTGGTTCACGACGATGGGCATCCCGGCCACGAACATGAAGACGGCCGGCACCGGGATCGCGCTATCGTCGCCCTGGTTGAGTATCATGATCGCCTCTTCCTCCGTCGGCAGCTCCTCCTTCCACTTGTGCTCGGAGATGAAAATGCGCATCGTCGACCGCTGCTGGACCCGGAACGCCAGGCTCGCCTCCATGTTCAGGTTCCACCGATTCCTATTGAGCGGCGTCACCACGGTGATGCCCGTCTCCCAAGGGATCCGCCTTCCTCCCGGTAGCACCTTGAGTTGAGGAGGTTTAGATCCGTCCGATCCTGCACGCCTAGACGGATCCGCTTCAGCAGCCTCTGCAGCTCCGGGTCGCCGGCGGCGCGCATCTGCTCGTCCAGCATGACGACCGTCGTGAACCTCTTCCACAGTGCGTGCGCTTTGTCGTGCTGGTGACGCTGCTCGGCCTTGAACGAGTTGTCTACGTCCCACGAGATGGCCGCGCTAGGCAGGACGATCGACCTCTCTTGACCGGCCGGAACTGCTGAAAATCTCCGCAGAAGAGGACGATGGGGATCCCCGAAATCTTGCCGCGATCCGCGAAGCCGGCGAAGCCGCTCGTTCACGGCGTGCAGCGTCCGCGCCCCGAGCATGCTCACCTCGTCGATGACGAGCACATCCTTCTCCTGCCAATCCATTCGAGACTGGCCGTGGATGAACCGCTCCGCCTGTTTCGGCAGCCGCACCGTCAAGGTCTTTGACCATGTTCGCGCCCCCGCCCTTGGTCTTTAGTGAACCCGCAGGCGGAGTGGATCGTGATGCCGTTGATCCGCGCCGCCGCAGTCCCCGACGTCGCCGTGATCAGCAGACGATTCGAAAGGCTCTTTTACTGAACAGCTCGACGAGTGCCTCGATGATTCGCGACTTGCCGGTACCGCCCTCGCCACCGACGAACTGGCGCAGCTGGCAGGCATCGCCCCGTCGGTCTGCTGCATCAAATCGAGCTGGCGGCATATTATCAGAAAAGCGATGGACTGCCTCTTGTTCAGCGTCAGCCGTGTTGCCAACACCTTGCCCGCCGCGAGGAAGGAGGTTGATGGGCCAAACTGAACGTCCATTCCCGCCCCTGCGTCGATAGCGGTCTCGTCGGAGTCGGCCATCGTCATTTCGACCTCGTCCTCCCGAAACCGGTCATCACCCTTCGCAACGCTGCGCGGCGATCGCTTTCCCAGGCGGCGGGCGTGCTTTGTATCCCTTGATCATCCTCTCCTCTCCTTCGAGGCACTTACCTGCTGCGACTTGATAGCCTTGACCTGATCCTGCGGCGGTAGTGCGGCCCCGGGAAATACCCGCCCTGGCATGCTTTACCGCCTCTCCCTCGTTCGATCAGCGCCGTGGCCTCGAGCTCGGCCGTCGAGCGCAGCGCCGATTGCTGAAACCGACAGAGCTGCTGTATCATTGCCATGAGCTCCGGCGACTTGGCCGTCACCTGATTCGCTCCACTGCACCTCGGACGACGTCGATGAGCCGCGTTGCGTCTCCGATGCTGTTGGGCTGATATGTCGCTGCAGACTCCGCGCCCGCCTCGCCTGCTCCACCCTCCTCGACGTGTGCGACCGTCGGGTCGCCATCGCCGGACGAGGCTGCCCATTGCTTGGCGTCGCGTTTTGCGTCTTCGGCGGATCGTCGAAGCAGCTGCACGTTGTCGACCAGACATGATATTCTCGGGGCCATAGCGTCTCGAGCCCGCGCCCAGATGCTGTTGATCTCACCTGTTCCTTCGCCCAGGAAGGACTCCCACGGCACGAACAGCGCAAGATGCTGCACGGCTGCCCTTCAGGGGGTGGGTTAGCCTCTCCGATAATGCCCGCTGACAGAGCAGTTGCCATACACACCTCCGGTAGCACGACTCGTCATCGTAGGTGAAGTCCTTGCTCAGGTAGCCGTCGAGGCAGACGGTAGCGTGCTTGCCCGGCCGCCTGAGCACCTGAACCCAGCGTCGTCCCGGCGCCCATCCATCCTCGAAAGACATCTCCCCGCCGCCCAGCTCTCGTCGTTGCCGATGCGTTTCAGTCTGACGATCGATATGTAGTCATACAGGCATAGGCCTTTCAGCAGCTCTCCCGGTGCTGGTACGCCTCGACGTGGGAGATTCTCAGGCCTTCTTCTTCGACGACGACCGACTCATCCAAGGTGTCATCCGTAGCCGCAGCGCCACTGGCTTCTCGGAGATGCCGCCATCGCCGAAAGACTTCCCAGTACAGCAGAGAACAGTTCAGGTACGCCCACGCGCTGCTGTCGGTGAACTCGGCCGGATATCCGAGAAGGTGAGCGACGACCTCGACCTGTGATAGCGGACGCTCCGTGAACACGCGGTTCGCCACTCTCATCAGGAACTGTCGCGTCCTGTTCCCTTGACAGGGTCATCGGTGGCAGCGTCTCCGCCACCGTCCCGCCCTCCGTTGGCCGTGCCATCACCTGTTGAGGCGGCCAGGAGCTCGGCCGCGGCCGCCACACGCTTCCACACCGGGTCCTCCACCTTGGTCGCGTAGTTCGTGACATAATAGATGAGGGCCATTGTCTTGCGCTGCGTCGCAATGAAGGAAATATCATGGTTGTGCCGGAGCCCGACAGCAATAGCCTCGTTCCATCGATTGACCATGCTGTGTGTCCTCCGGATCTGCAGCACCCCGTCTGCCGTGAGGGCGGTCTTGTCGACTAACCTCCATGGCGCCTTGAACCGGCAGAGGTCCCCTTCCGCCCTCCTTTGCCCAAGGAATACTTCACACAGGTCGGGCTATGCGTGTGCACCTGCGTCGCGCCGGCACAGAAGTTGGCCTCCTCGATAAACGCGGCCGAGAACTGCGCGGCGTTGTCCAGCAGGAACCAATACCGCCCGTCACAGATCGCTCCGCTTGCACGGCGCAAAAACTTTCCTGGTCCAGATCCTGCCTTGCACGTCAACCCGGCCCCACTTGGCCATCAGAAGAGTACTTCAGGCTCCCGGTGGCACATCTTAGGTAGGCATTCTTACCTCTGAGAAGACGCTATCGATGTATCGGACGATTCGCTCGCGATACGCCGCCTGATCCTCCCGTGGATGTCGGCAAGCATCGAGCTGAGATGCGCGTTCCCGTGCAGCCAGAGCAAGCCGTGAACATGAAGCGCCCTCGTTCGTTCGTCTCCACGGCGCCATAGTACTTGCCGATGCGCCCGAATACCGACTCTTCACCGACCTTCACGTAATGATCGAAGAATAGCTTCATCTCGCGGTGGAAGAACACGGCCGAGCTCATGGGATCCGATATCGCCAGCCGTGCCCGCTTATACGCATCCCCAAGGCCTTCTAAGAACTCCTCGGCCGCGTCGGGATCGCGTGTGCGGTATGCCGCCAGTCGCAGCTTCACCGGGTTCGTAATGTCGTTCGGGTTGATGGTGAACCAGATGGCCGGCACGCCATATCCGACGATGAGCGACTGGATTTTCCGCCGCATATTGAGACGGACCTCTCGACATGGGCTGCCGGTGGCCGTAAAGCGAGAGGCTCCTGAGAAGCTCCTTCACGTCACCATCGGTCGTCTTACCCGAGCTCTCCAACTCGACCCTCGCCGCCGCTAGCCTTTCTGTGGTCATCGAACGCACGATGCGCTCTACCTTGCGGAAGTTCTTCCTCCCCACACTCAACATGCTGACCCGGCGGTTCCTCGACCGCACCCCCATGTTGAAGACGAGAAATGCGAAGATGTGGTGCAGTGCAAATCGACCACCATGGCGCCGGAGCACGATCTCGGCCCACGCCTGAAGGTTCAAGCTTCGAGACGATACGGGGTCTCCCGCGGCCGCCTCTGCCTCGACAGCCCTGCCTCGCAAGTTGGCCGTGACCTTCCCCGCGTCGACCATGGTCTCTTCAACCAGCCTTGGTCCCCCAACGCCAAATGGGAACAGGGTCGGGAACGTCCTGGCAAAGAAGGACGCCTCAAAGGAATCGGTAAACTCACCCCCCCGCGAAACCCGGATGTATGGCTCACAACCACCGTCGCCACGCCCCCGAACCCCCCCGGCTAGGGACCCGACCCACGCTCTGGCCCGCACGGCCGTCGTCGGCACCTTCACCAACAGCGTCACAGGCAAACTGCAGCTTCTCCACGTCCGCGACGTCTGGCGGTCCGTCGAGCGCGAACATGCCAGAAGACGTCACCTCGTTGATCGCTGGAACGTTCTGGTCGGGGCAGGCGTCACTTCCATCGCGAACCGCGCCTTCTCCGTTGGGCCCGTGACCTTCACCCTGGCCGCCGGCTTCTTGTCCTTGGTTGAGCAGGGCGAAGAGCTCCTCGATCTCCACCGGCCCCTCCTCGTCCACGGCGCGTTCCGTGGGCGGCACAACGTGCGCCGTCCGCGCTTTCTCCCACCCAGACGGCTCGTTCCGCTCCATACGATCGCACACCGACGACGGTACCCCGTGTATCGAGTCTCCCAGCTCTCCATCTCCGCCGCGTCGATCTCGATCTCGGCGTAGTGGGGTTGTTCCGCTTCAGCCAGACAAGGGCCCTCTCGACCACCCGCCGCCTCACCGACAAGAGACTCGACAGGTCGCTCGGTGCCGGCTTCTCCGCGCCCTGCCACGAGATTTGGATCTCGTCCAGTGCTTGCAAAGGGGTGCGGGAGCACTTTGGTGGCCAGCTCCTGCACATTGTTCGGAAACACCGTGATGTGGCCCTGACATGCCTCGGATACTTCACGCTCTGCCTCTGCCCGCCCGGAATGCTATATCTCGTGACAAACCCGTAACATGAGTTCAGCGAGATGAGCTTCTCTTCGACCGGCGTCAGTCCCTTGAGCTCATCGGGGAACATGTGCTCGCAGCCAAGGCGACTGTGAAGGTGGATCGCCGGCGACAGGCTCCTGCGCGCCAGGCATCGGCCACACTCGGCGCACACCGACACGGACTCGCCCTCAGGAAAGCAACTCCGGCATGAAAATGGTGAGCGGCCGCCCTTTGGTACGCAACTTGACAGCCAATGATCCCATGTAATCTCCCTCAACTCTCCTCTCGTACACTTGCGGTAGCACACCATGCAGGTCCGTATCGGCAACGTGCTCGCATCGTGGAACGCCTGATAGAAGTCTCGCACCGTCGACACCTTCCTCTCGAGCGGTATTGGCGTGCACCACGTCTGATCGTTAGACAATCTCTCCTTCAAGGCAAAGTCTTCCTCCAAAAGCGCAGCACACTCGCCAGGTCTTCGGCCTGCAGCTCCGTCTCCTATGCCTTCCGATTCCACTTCGGACCTGTTTTATCGGGCGCCCATCCCGGCTAGGAAGACGGGCTCTCTTCTCCGCCTCCGGGACTGCCTCTGTCCGCGCAGCGAGCCGTCCGCTGCCTCTGCTGCGCCATCGTCCACACCCACCTGTGCCCTTGGCCGCCGAACCGGTCCCCGACGGAGCTTGGGCAAACCCCATGCAATCGATGCTGCAAATTGCGCCGTTCGTCTTTGGTCTTGGAAAGTCGTATCCTTGGGCTGGATAGGTCGGAGCGTCGGTCCCTTTTCGAACGAACACCCGGGACACCGCCGGTCGCCGCCTTATCTCCCTGCCCGTCACCTTCAGGACCCTCTCCTGGGGCAAAACGGCCGATGAAGGGGTGGACTGTTAGAGCCCACTGCCCCCTGGTCTCCACGTTCTGTAGGCAACACGAACCTCGGAAGCGGACTCGGTGACTGACGTTGCGCGGAATTTCCGCTGCTGACCAAATTACGGGACTTCCGTGCTCTGCTTGACCGCAAACCGCCTCGCGGCGGTCTTCTCGGCAGTGACTTTGCGATCGCCTCTGCATGCTTTCTCCATGCGGTTTCTTCGACCGCAGACTGCTTAGGCTGAATCAGCCGGAACGTTAATGCTTCATTCGCCACTGATCTGTATCTCCCGAACCGCCCCAACCTTGTCTCCCGTGCTCCGTGCCCCTCTCGGAGTTGCCCTGTATCATCTCCGCACCCCGAAACAGGCACTCCCCGTTCCTACCTCTTCTCCATCCTCGACTGACAACGAACAGGCTCCACGGTGAGCGGCCGCCTCGCCTAGCTTCCTGCAGGACTGTCCGCCATGCTACTGCCTCCTCGACGTCGACTAGCGTGGATTGGCAACAGGCTAGAAAGTTTTGGCTCCGGAGCACTTCCACTTGGATAATCTCGCTTCTTGGCGTACACTATTTCTTTCCGAGTGGGAAGCTTCCTAACGATCACTACTCTCATGGCCGTGGCGTTTCTTCCTTATAATGCTTGCCTATGGTACCGAAGCGATGCAATACTACTACCCCTTTGTAATCCCCCATTTACCCTCCCTATGTGCGTCCACCGTCCCGGCCCTCGGCTGGTCTCCACGTGCGACCTGCTACCCCAGCTTTGCCAAAGGCGGCCCTTCCATCGCCGTGCTCTCTTTGCGCACTCCAGCGAATCCCTGGCTACTGCCGACCTCCGGCACATGGGGTGGCCGCGCCACCCGCCCGCCGCACACTTCCAACCATACTCTCCGGCCCTTCCAACGCCGTCCCACCCACCTTGCGCATCAGTTGCTCCATCAATATCTGCCACTCCACCTCGTCGAGCAACAGCCAAAAGGCTGCCGGCGATAACATGTCCACGGTGTCCCTCGTGCAACCGGACTACCCGGCTAGGTTTGCTCCCTCGCCACCACCAACGTCGCATCAACGGCCTTCATGCTAAAGCGACAGCCAGGATCCCCCTGCCTGTCCTCTTGTAGTCACTAGCCACCGGAGTTTCGACTTGCAAACCCTCTTGGAGAGTTCTCGTGACCAACTCGCATCCTCCTCCTCAGGTCGTCCCCTATATCCGACTTCACCGTGTCCCAATAGTGGACTCGACACGGTCGGCACCCGCCTCGCTCAGCCGCACGCAATGCCCATCCAACTACCGACGACCGTCAAAAGGGACCCTGCAATACTACCATAACCTCTTTCTTTCCTTCACTCTCATTCGTTATTGTCGCCTTTGCTATCTACTCCATGCAACGATGACACCGAAGGGTACTGCTGGACTTTCTTTCTCCGCAGACTTACCCACACTAACCTTACTGTTCGCCGACCTCCAACTTCTCGCGACATAGTCATCACCCCTACTCAACTTCCAACCCCCGGCTCCCTACTTCACTCACGACCATAGAACCAGATGGTCGAGACTGTTCAAGAACCTCGCCAGCTCATTCCCGCATACCCCCGCTTCTGATCTATCACCTAGGTAGCATTCTCTGACTCTTAAGTCTCCCCGACCCTAGCCGCGAGCCCTCTTCGAGCAGCAAGAAAACCTGCTTTATAGGATGCCCACCTCCACTCTGCGTAACCCCTCATTTACACTTCCACGGTGACTACATCTGCCATGTTCTCACGATGTCGGCCTCCCAGCTCAACGTCGATACCTCGTCCTCCCGCGGCAACCTCTTGACAGCCAGAAAATGCTGGCGCCGACATGTCCATGATGGCCTTTGTCCAGCCCGGCTGCCCGGCTAGGTTCGCCTACCAGAATGAGCATCGTGTCAAAGGGCTCAACGCAGAAACCCTAGCGAGGGTCTTCCTTCCCACGCCCTCATGGCTGTCGACTCCGGAGTATGCAGCAATCCGGTCAGATACTGGCAATCCATCAACCTGCATCTTCTTCAGCCTTAATATTTCCATATACAACCAACAGATAATCTCCTCGGAATGGACCGAGCAATGGTTCTTCATGGTCGGCCGTGTTCATCCCTTTGCCCTGACGTGGGAAATCGAGCGACGTGATGGCTTGGAGTCGGACGATGATAACATCACAGAATACACCGTCCCCGCGCTTATAGTCCGCGATCACAGCTACCAACCGTGAGTCTATGCTCCAAATCTCTGTCGCCACTGCCCTCCTGACGATATCCATAGAATTGTCACTCGCACCTCAGCTCGGTGGATACTTTCCCAACGATACAACCCATTGTCTCCTTCACGGGACCTGTCATCGGCTCCGGCCGCGACCTCCTGCATGGAAACTCGGCTGCGGCCCTTGACGACACCCAGCTGAGCTGCTGCGGCTTTGTCCAGCTCTCCACCTTTATTTGTCCTGGGATTCCCGGCAAACCCCTTCAAGGGCTTTCACCCCTTCCAAGTTTTCGTCATCTTCCCCATTCACGCTAATCCTTGGACCTCCCTATGCAAGAAGATGACCGAGAGGCGCGACAGCCAGTTCCAGTCGAACACTCTCTTCACCTGTACGGGCAAAATCGCCGGCTTACTGGATCACCAGATCATGAAACATGCCCCGGCTTTCGACCAAGACTATATCTTCATCGTCGTCCCCGACACGTGGACTTTCCACGACAAGGCCATGTCCGACCAGGCTTCTGCAACACAACTACTGCCGACGACACCCAAGAGCGCGGTCGGCAATCCTCGGACTATAGCGTTGCGTTGGCCAGGTTTACCTCTACGAAGAAACCCAAGGCCGCCCAAAGCCCCGCCTCCCCCACGCCGCATGCTTCTGGCCCAGTCGATCCCCTTATGCTGGCATCAAGTCGGTCATTGCCCGATCCCTACCAAACCCCAACCAAGAGACCGCGACTTTCTCCCGAAACTTCCACCATAATCACCGACTGTGACGGTCAAGACTCCCAAATCCGATACCTCCTCCTTTCTGTCCCCGGAAGACCCGCAGAGTCAGAGACGGACACCGAACAGGTCAATCACCAAGACACATCCGCCTCTGGCTCTATCAGACCTCCCGCGTCGATATCTTCCCGACCACTGCGCGCCCGACGTCCGCCCAAGAATATTCTCTAAACTTTAAAGCATCAAACGAAACAATACAACATGACAACATGTCTCATCATCCTCAAAATCAACTGCCAAAGGCTCGAATAGCACATTCTCTTCTCTTCTTGTTCTCCCTTTCATGAAGACGATCAAGTCAAAACTTCCCAATATACTCCTTATTCTGTTTATACCTACGACTTATACCGGTAGCACATGTAAATTTTCCGAGCCTTCCACTCGCCCAGACGTGCATTACCCACTCATCTCTCTTCAACCCTGCCGTCTCTCCACGCCCTTTGAGTTTGCGCCTTTTAAACAAAATCTCCCTCCAGCGGCCTAGCCTGCCTCCCCGACGCTCTGTCTCGGTTTCACTCACGATAATGCTCTACGTCTCTCGCCGTGTCTCGTATCTCGACCTCACTCTTCTTCCTGTCTCCAATCTACTGTCGCCAACTCTCTCTCTCTCTTCTGTAGCCAACTCTTCTCCGGTTCTCTTGTCGCCAAATTTCGTTCCGAAAGGCTTCTTTGCGCGAGCCGCGGCTGGCGAGCCTTCCTCTCGTTGTTCTTGTTATTCTTCGCTATCTAGACCATGCTGTGAGGTTTGATAGGTTGTGTGCGTGTCGGGTAAACGTTGTTCCCTGCTGACGCACGTGATACCCTCCTGCGATGTGCGCTCTATCGTACAAATGATCAGACACTGTCGGTGGACCAGGGTAGCCCTGTTAGGGAGGGACCCGGAGAAGGGATTCCTGGCCCATGTAGCAGGAACGCATGAGGACTTCCTGAGTAAGGAAGGCAACCCCTTTATGCGTGGGCACAGCCACGTATGCGTGGGTAGAGCCCATTACTCAGGAGGTCCCCAGAAGTCCCTAAGACCTCCTGTATAAATAGCCCCTTCAGACTGCCCCTTTAGACATAGAACATGCATCTTGAACCTTCGTGTGTGACCTCCTTCTTATTCCGATGTGTATTGGCATAACGTTCCACCAACAGGCTTTTATAACTTCCCTCCGGTTAAGCCAGCTCGTAATGGGCGGCACAGTCTTGCTGCAGAAGTTCGTCAAGTTGCCACTGCATTGCTCGCGTAGGTTGTAGATATTGACCCCAATATCCGACACGGGAGAAACGAGGGCCTTATTGCAGTTCCCAAAGGCTTTAGAACAAGTAGCTGCGTCCTCAGTGTCGTAACATGATTGGATCTGGTCTCGACATTTTGGCTCCGCGTCTTTCATGGCCTGGCACACGGTCTCGTTAACGACTGCCGGAACACCACCCTCGCCGCAGGCCATAGGTCGATAAGATTGAAATTGCACCAAGGAATCGGTTATTCCATCTCCAATTATAGCGCTCTTGACGTTCATGTTTCGGTCTTCATGGGAGAGCATCTCGGCAGCGATGGCAGGAACAAAGTGACCCGAGTACGAACTCCCTGCGACATAGAAGTCTTGCTTGGCGTACTCTGGAAACCGCTGGAAGAAAAGCTTCATAGCCGCGTAGACATCCTTTGCAGCAGCCTCCGTAGAATTCACTCGCTGACGACTGCGCGAGAATCCTGCATTCACCGGCGAATCGAGGAAGATCATGGATGCGCGGCTATTCCGGGAAAAAGGATTGGGAACGACCTCGAGCTTCTCATTGATCCTGGCTGGACCCAACTGCTGGAAGAGGCCGAGCATAGAGGAACACCCAGGACCTCCTTCGACCCAGAGGATCACAGGGTCCTTGACGGGATTGTTACGAGACTCGAAGAACCCTGCCCGTGACAATTGCCATGAAGATCAGTTACTGCTATGATCAGGGGTTCCAGCCTAGTGCGCTGTGAGTAACTCACAATAGAAGAGATGCTTGTCCTGCCCCTCATCATCAAGGTAGCCACTGAACTGCTTGACTTTGTCGACACCCAGCGGCGAGGTGTCAACTGTTTTTGCCCTTGGCTGAGAATTTGGAGGCTTGCCGCTTGGATTTATCTGCTGGACGTCGGATTCATTGACTACAGACTCATGACGGACTTGGAGCTCGCAGGCGCTCTTCTTGTTGGACTGGTAGCGTGCTGGCTGGGAGCCGGTCCCCAGAGCACAATTTCTTAGGGAAAAGACCAACAAGGCAAAGTTCAAGACAAGGGCAGATATGGAAGCTCGCATGGTGTCCGAGAAAATCGATGCCTAATAACACGGGAAGTCAGGATCGCACGGTTCGGTTAACGAGGGCCAGATGTAAGGGGCTACGCCCCGATGTGTAGATCTGGCATGGCCAGACTAGTCACGTGCGAGCGCCACGGACACGACTCCTAAAGGGAGCGATGTAGACACGTCTCCCCTTTACACTCTTTGTAGCTCAATTTACATCAATTACGCCCAGCACCTGTGCCAACAGTGCTGACCCCGTAACACCAGAGAAGGGGTTGTCGAGCCACAACGCACAGTGCGATCAAGGATCGATGACTGGTGAAAGGCAGAGATATAGGCAAACGGAGTTTATTAGGCGACGAAGGAAGTAGCTAATATATTCTTCATAAATCTAGGTAGGGGAGATGCCTTAAATTCTATATTCGCCTTATATCCCATAGCAGGGGAGAATGTTAGAAACGGTCGGGGCCACTTCTCTTGAGACCAGTTTCTGCAATCAGTTTGAAACTAGAGACTTCGCAGAGCCGCCTCAGACCTTCGCCGTTTCACGTGGAGTCTCAATCTCTATTGCCCCACCCTCCAACCTTACTCTGGCAATCTCAATGACAAGTTCATGAATCATTTCTGATCAGAAGCCAGAATGGCGCGTGAAAAAGCGCGAAGTCGGCGCGCTGGGACAAGACTAATGACGAGCGACGAGACGGTCGTTGCTTCGATCGGCTCAACGGGATGCCCTTCGGTCGCCGATCATGTGAACAGGCAGGTAGTGAGGGGTATCTCACGGAGGGTGAGCAAAGCAGGCAAATCAGGAACTGAAAGAACCAGCGCTCATCATAAATCAATCAAATCAACTTTGGCCCCAAAGTTGATTTGATTGACAGGCTTCCAGTCCAAATTGATTGATTTGATTTGATTGACTCCTCCCAATCAATTGTATGGGCGACCTGTACACCCGGTATACGAGGGTCTTTCGCCGTCTCCCAAGACTCAATTCCCTCCCCAGCTCCCCAGCTGCACCCCACCATGTCGAACCCAATTCTTCAGACAATGAACTTGCTCCAGCGTATCGGCCCGCATGGCGAGCCTTTGTGATGTTAGCGTCAACTTGGCCAGGCTGAACTGCCTCTCGCAGTCAGTTGCCATCGCCGGAATGGCAAAGACGTCCAAGGCAAAGCTGCTTAATGCCGGGAAAGTTTGCTTATGGTCTCTCCACCACTGGATCGGCTCTTGTGTGTCTTCCGGCTCAAGACGGAGGTACTTGTCCAACTCGCTGACACTGCCGCTCGTTGCAAATGCCTTTTTCGTTCTGCTGTTAATCCACTGCGTATAGGTAGTGATCGTCCTCCTTGCCCGTTCCCATTGAGGCAGGCTTCGACTGTTCCTTATCATTCTGTTGGTGTGAAGGAAGATTATGCATGTCTCACTTATGAAAATGTACAACTAGCCAAAGTGAGAGCCTTCCTTACGAAGCTCTTTCTTTCCCCTTTCTCTCCTTGTAGACAATCACTTTGTCCAAGCCGCACTCGACCTCGTTCGTGCCTTGTACCGTCACAGTTGGTTCGTCTGATACCACCGCGCAAAGTAGTCCTTCATGCCCACCTTTGCATCACGAACCCAGGCTAATTGTTCCTCAGTCACCCAAGCAGCCTCCAACCAGCTGATGCCAAATCTCGGATGAAGAATAACTGCTGCCGCAAACAAGGGAGACTCTCCGAGCTTATTGTAATACTCGTCCAGCTTCTTCCAGCCGTTGTTGATAGATGCCCGGAAATACGCTCGATGATCTGCGGGTAACGAGCTCTCCTGGGAGATCTCATGCGACGGTGGCTTATCAAGCGAGTCATATTCGGTCCGGGAATGCTCTGGCAAGGCAGCTACCGTAAATCTTGACGTTTGACTTCGCTGTTGAAACATATATATCTCGTCATCAAAGCGATCAGGGTGGCGACGGGCACGGGTCGGCCGGCTTTCCAATTCCCTCAGACCAATCGGCTCAAGATCGTCTGGATTCGTCTCCCTTATTGTCTCGGTTGTTACCTCGTTGTAAAAGCCTTTCCAGTCCTCGAAATGTTCGAGGCGTCTGAAAATATAGAGGCTTAAGGATCTCGTTGACCTCGCCAAGAACGCGCCAATCCTCGTTGGATAAGATAAAATACTTCGAACACCCGTTAAGTTGCCAATGCATGGGGCTTAACGGCTGAATATCCAGCCCGAAGGGTGAACATCGTATACCTGCAATTCGACTTTCATAGGAGGAGAGCCCCTAGAACCCCCTTCCGCCTGCAGCGGCCAACAGCTGTTTGAACCGCTTCCTGGCTGGCCTATCCCAACTATATACCCTATATTGAACCTCCCCCTTCCCTGGAGCTTGTAGGAAGACGACGTTTAGTCACGGTAGAGTGGTGGATATAGTGGATCGGTCAGCTGTTGAGCCTGACGCCGTTGTTGGTCGGCGAGGCGCATCTTCATCCCTGTCTCATAGTTAGCCATGAATGCAATACGTAGGAAACGCAGGCGTATAATCTTCCGTCGGCGTGTGGTTATAGAGGCTCTGACGATCGAAAGGCGCCTCAAGGAGTAAGCCTTGCAGCGACGTAACCCGTGAGACAGCGACATAACTAATGCCGGCCTGGAAGTCGCGTGTAGCGAGATCAGTGACTATTTGATCCTTCGTCAGGCTCTGGCATTTGTGAACAGTGATAGCAAATGCCACCATCAGGGGAAACTGCGTGCGAGCGCAGGTCTCGTTGCCCACTAGGAAATCACCCCTGACTGGAAGGATGGGTACGATTTTCCTGCCCTCGTTAGTTGTCAGATACGGCGGTCCATCGTAGCTATCGAAATCCACCATAATAATGGCTGGAGGGTCTTCCCATGGATTGGCGCCTGCATTCCAGGCGACATCGTATATAGTGCCCTGGGCGCCGTTAACTAGGCCAGCTGGCTGCCATAGATTAATCGTGAGCATTACCCTGGCGCCCTTAGCAACAGGGAACTTGTTGGATAGATTGCCAGCATTGTCGCTTGGTGCCTGCCCCGCGCCCTTGCCCTGATTATTTGCCTCCACCTGGATTGCCGGGGCGTTGAGGTGCACCATATGCTCGTGGCTGTATTCGTTGACCCGGGCCTTTGTAGAATACACTCGCAAAGCGGTCCTGAAGCTGTCAACCTCGCTCTGCGTTAGCCTGGCCTGTACCCGACTACTAAGGAGGTTCCAGGATGGGATAGATAACTTGACTTCACGCAGTTCCTGCAACGCCTGACGGAACTGGGCCTGATCATCACCAGCCTGGCGCTGTACCGTGGTTAGGAACACGGTACGGTCAAATAACCGGTAGGCCACCTGCCCTCTCCTTTCCAGCGAAGACAGGTTAGTGCTAGTCGAATACAGGGGCTTCTGCCGGACTGGTGGTAACTGGAAGAAATCGCCCACAAGCAAGACGCTCACACCACCAAAGAACTCGAGGCCACGCTGTGGAAAGGCCTGCCGCAGACGGGAATCGACCCGCGCGAGCTGCTCAAGCCCCAACATGCTCTTTTCATCGATAACGATGTATTTGACGTGCCGTAGGCGGGATTGAAGGGCGGCTGCGTCGGCTGGGGAAAGGTCGGTAAAAGTACCCCCTACTGGAAGGCGTAGCAACGAATGAATGGTGCTTCCCTGTATCTGGTTACTCGCAACGCCTGTTGGCGCCACGCGGCAAATAGGGCTAAGATTCGGTAGGGCGGCTGCCTGAAGATGGGAAGAAAGCACCTTGATAAGGAATGACTTGCCTGTACCGCCACCACCATCAACGTGGAGAAGGATTTGAGTAGGATTTTGGGCCTGGAAGTGACCCATGAATGTGTCATACACTAGCCGTTGTTGTGGATTCAGCGAATTACGCCAGTGAGGGCCAAGGACCTCGACATCGTTAGCCATAGGGTGGCTAGCGATAAGGTCTTTCCAGTAGCCGTCTCGAAGATCCGAATATGTACCCACATGCCGTGTCCAGTCGTAATTGACGTCGATGTCGCGGCGGCCAAGTAGGTCAAGACCTTGCTGGGTAGGGGGGTTGTCAGGTAACAGGGCGGCGAGGCGGATCCAGTCTTCATCATCAAACTCCTCCTCCACGGGCAGAGTTTCGTATTCATCCTCTTGAGGCTGTAATCGAGCCTCTTTTGGGCGGCCATAATGGTCATCACCATGACTGTGGTGCTGCCAACAATAGGAAAAGGCCTTGGCGTAAGAATGAAACCGCTGGCCGTCAAATGCGAGGAGCTCATCGAACCAGCGATGTGGGTGGTTCAACGTTAACTTTACGCGGCAGTACTCTGGCCATTGTTGACCTTCTGGGTCAGCTTGATAGCGAGGAAAGTAGACCAATACACGAGGCCTGCCGTTAACGTTGCTTGGCTGCCATTGTTTCCACGTGAAAGGATCCCTAGATCGGAAATTCCAGTATTTGAGAAATGAAACGTAGGGCAGGTCCTCTAGGGCTTCGGGGCGTCGACAGTACTTTTCATAAGCATTGGGGGCCTCGTCAACCTCATCACCGTCAATCCGTAGAGAGCGGGAATGCCTGTCAGGATGACGGCAGTCAACGTATAGGCAGGTTCGTGAACCCTCCTGTAATGGCAGGCCAAGGAGCAAGTGGCTAACCTCCTGCTTCAAGCTTGGAGTAGTCTCGCTCAGCGACTAACTGATTTTGTCACGAATAGTAGGGCCAAATAGGCATAAAGTTAGTATTTCAGAATCGTCATGTCCTTCTCAATTTTTCCTTGTTCCGACTGCTCTCCTTCTGTTTCTTCCTTCCTTCCTCGCCTTTTTATTCACGGCCATAAACTCGATCTTCTCCGTCTGCCTCACACCTCCGTCAATCGTCGGGGGTGGCTGCGCCCCACTTTTTCCTAGGACACCGTCCCTGACGGCCGGTTCTGAAGCGAACAGGTGCCAGACGCAGATCGGCAACATCCGAAAGGCCATAGAGAGCGACATGAGAAAGAGTCAGAGGCAGGAGACTTGGAAATGCGCAGCGGTCGTGACAGACGCTCGAAACCCCGACCGGATCAAAATTTTATGCAGAGACCAAACCGAGTTGAAGCAGGTCAAGGAAGCAGCGCAGAAGACGGTAACTTCGGGAGCCAGGGTACTGAGAGATCAGCTTTACCCTGTCAAAGTCGACAACACCAAGCGTACCGCAGTGCTGGACGCCGAAGGCAACGTTCTGCCGGGCGCAGCTGAGGCGCTCGGAGCCGAGAATTACGTCACGATTGCCAAGATCACCTGGCTTAGCAACAGAGAGAAAGCCAAAGCGTACGGGTCAGGTGATCTATGTCACTAAAGAGAGTGACGCGCAAAGACTTCTGGACGGCGTGTGGTTCGATGTTGCGGGAGAGTCCGCCTGCACCAATGTTCTTGAACGCCGCGTAGGACCGATTCAGTGCTTCAACTGTCAAGAGATGGGACACAAGGCGTTTTCATGCAAGAAGCCGCAAAGATGTGGCAGATGCGCGAAAGCAGAACATCACCACAGAGAATGCAAGGAGACAGTGCCAAAGTGCGTGCCCTGCGGTGGACCACACGAATCGTACAGCCGGAACTGTCGGGCGCGGAACCCTGGGGATGAGACGCAGGCAGCGTCTGGCCCTTCGGGCTAAGCAGCGGAAACCGCGCTTCAGCTGCTGAAGGTAGGACGCTGAACACTTGGAGAAATTGGCCTTCAAGCAGGCCTGTCACGGAGCGAGTAGCGGCGAGGTTGGTGTAGCGTATGCTGACCCGTGGGGCTTAAGGTGTTATGCATTAATGTATTGAAATGTCAGTAGCTTTTACGTCTAGGCCCTATAGGAGAAATCCTCCGGGTGAAATACACATACATACATCTGTAGCGTATGCTGACCCGTGGGGCTTAAGGTGTTACGCATTAATGTATTGAAATGTCAGTAGCTTTTACGTCTAGGCCCTATAGGAGAAATCCTCCGGGTGAAATACACATACATCAGCTGACTGTCTCAGCCGGCGCATCAGAAAGCAGGCCTGACGTCCTGGCTGACTGTCTCAGCAGGAGCATCAGCAAGCAGGGGACCTCTAGAGGTCCTACGAGCGGCTTCGCAACAGATTTAGGAGCTTTGACGTGTGTGAAAGGCCTCTAGTGAGTTGATACAACTAACTAGTCCCTATGCTGTTTACTATCCCTTCCAACGTTTCCTCTTCCGGGGATCGTGGAAATCTGTGGCAAGATGACTTGAGAAGGTGACACTCCTTTTATGCTTCTTCCATTGCTTCCATGCATCGGTGTGTCGAATAGTGGTAAGGGGTTCCCACGTAGGCTGCGAGTAATCATGCCATTTTACGAGCACCTTCTTATGCGTACCTTCCATTCTTTCATCCAGAATTCTTTCGACAAGGTACATCTTTTCGCCGTCCACCAGCACCGGTGGGGCACTCTCTTGATCGAGTTTCTGCGAAGGCAATGGGTCTCCGGGGACTGGCCGGAGTAGGTCGACGTGAAAGACTGGATGGATGCGCCCAGGCACATCCAACCTGTAGGCATGTGGGCTAACTTCCGCGAGCACTTGATATTTGGCATGTAGCCAATCGAGCTTCTTGCAGGGTCGCGATGTTTTGACATTTCTCGTTGAGGTATACCCAATCCCCAGGCTCGTATCTCGGTGCGGCTGTCCTGTGCTTGTTGGCTTGCGCTTGCTGTATTTCCTGGGCCATAGCTATCGCTGCTTGCGCAAACTCCGTGGCGTCCTGTAGTCTCTGAATAAAATCCTCCGCTGTCGCTTCCCCCTGCGTCGTGTCTTCCGTTCTTCGATGCTCAACTAACTGGATTGGCTCGTTGTGGTAGCCGTGCATGAAGAAGAACGGACTCAGTCCGGTGGAGGTTGCTTCCTCTCGTTAATAGTCGCCATCGCGATTGGAAGCAAGTCTAACCAGTTCTCCTGCAGATAATTCGTCCATATCCGAAGAATCCTCTCTACCTCTTGGTTCATTCGTTCTGTTGCACCGTCGGTTTGTGGATGGTACGCCGTCGACAACCGCTGCTCGATCCCTAGCATCTGACAGAAACTTTTCCACATACCACTGACAAACTGGGGACCCTGATCACTGGTGATAGCCGTTGGGATGCCATGGACAGGGTAGTGTCGTTCGAAGAGTCTTCTTGCAACCGCTTCTGTGGAAATATCGTTCAATCCTTCGAGTTCGACGCCTTTGGTGAGTCGGTCCGTGACCACCATGCAGTTCGTCGCGCCATCTTTCCCCGACGGTGGGAGGTCAGTAATAAAGTCAATGGTAATTTCGCTCCATATGCGTTGCGGAATAGGAGCGGCTTTAGGAGTCCTTTCTTTGTATCCTCCAGATGGTGTTTCGTCCGCAAACCTCGCAGTTGCGCACAAACCGACGTACATCGCTAGCGGCACCCGGCCAGAAGAAGCGTCTCGACAGAGTCGAGTACGTGAGGTCCCTTCCAGGATGTCCGGTGATATGAGAGTCGTGAGTTTCCTGGATGATCCTCGTACGTAGCGGCTCCGAACCGGGTATCCAGACGCGTTCTCTAAAGCACAGCAGGCCTCTATTGTCTAATGAGCATTCTGAAATGCTGACAACCTTCTCCTTCTGTAACTCTGTTGGCAAACTCTTCGCTCCATCTGCTACCAGCTTCGTGAGTTCTTGATAAAGCTTGTCTTCTTGGCGTGCGGCGTGCCACAGCTGCTGTAACTCCTCATCTTCAAATATCCTCATCTCTTTTCCGAAGTTGATTTCCTGGGCACCCTCGGTGTTGGTAGACAATGTCGATATTGGGATCCTTCTAAGGTGATCATCTTGGAATAGCCTCATAATGCGTCCCTTTAGTCGTTCATCGGAGTAGTTGGCCGGCATGTCCTGGTCCCGTCGAGAGTGCGTCAGGCAATCCGCCCTTGCGGCCCGGCCTCCATTCGAGCTCGAACTGGAACCTGGACAGGAACTCCGACCACCGCACTTGTCTCTCTGTCAACCTCCTTTCCGAGTAGAAGTATCTCAGGTTCTTGTGGTCCGTTAGGACCTTGAAGTGCTCTACTGCCCGTAGCTCCGGTTCCCACTGCTCCAAACATCTGAGAATGGCGAGTAGCTCCTTGTCATGGATAGCGTAGTTCGCTTCGGCTGCCGAATGTTTCTTCGAGAAGTATGCGACAGGTCGTACCAGTCCATCCTTATCATCTCTCTGCAAGAGCACGCCTCCCGACGCGAATCCTGAAGCGTCTGCTTCCACGATGGTCTCCTTTCTGGATGGAAGTGCGCAAGGATCGGGGCCGTGATCAACAGGTCCTTGAGCTTCTCGAAGGCTTCTTCGCACAGTCCATCCCAACGGAATGGCACGTCCTTCTTCGTTAGCCGCGTTAGCGGCTCCGCTATCACCGAGAAGTCTGGCATAAATATCCTGTAGAAGTTCGCGAATCCGATAAAACTCCTCACGGATTTAACATTCGTCGGGGTTGTCCATTCCTTCACAGCCTCAACCTTCTCTGGGTCGACTCGGATCCCACACTCCGCCTCGATGATAAACCCAAGGTATTTCACAGCCTTGACTTCGAATTCGCTCTTGTTGATGTCCAGTTGCAGCCCAGCGTCCATCAGTCGTTGGAGGACCTTGCCGACTTTGTCGCGGTGGTCTTGCAGGCTTCCAGAGGAGAAGATCAGGACGTCGTCGATGTACGCTGACACAAAATCATCTAGGTAATCCTGGAGCACGCTGTTAATGTACCGCTGAAAGGCTGCTGGTGCGCCTGTCAGGCCGAATGGAACTACCAGCCATTCGAAGGATCCATAGCGCGTTCTGAAAGCTGTCTTTTCTTCGTCGCCGGGGGCGACCCTGATCTTATGGAACGCTGCTATAACATCTACCTTGGTGAACCACCTTGCCTTGGCTATCGTTCGCAAGGTCTCGCTCAGTAAGGGCAAGGGATAGCGGTCCCTCTTCGTTATATGGTTCAAACCTCTGTAATCCACGCAGAAGCGGATGCCTCCACCGGGCTTCTTCACCATAAGGACTGGTGCTGCGGCTGGCGAGCTGCTGACTCTAATAAATCCCTTGTCGAGTAGTTCTGTGAGGGTCTTTCGTAGCACCAATAGCTCCTCGCGGGACATGCTGTAAAGCGGTCCCCAGGGTAGGGGCTTCTCTCGGCCATGCTCGTCTTTCAGCACTTCAATCTTCAGGTCCACACCTGGCCGATGAGGGGGCAGCTGGTCGGCCAGTTGCTGAGAGAAAGCTCGAGACCACTTGTGGTACTGTGGTGGCAGCTTCTCCATTACGTCAGTCTTCGGTTTCGGTCTTAGGGCCTTGTCAATATCCGCCATTGTGACCGAGTGAACTCCAAGGCCGCCTTTGCGTTTGTCACGGCGTGCTTCCGCTAAAAAGGTTGCGGCCATGACATTAGAGACGTCTAGCTGGGGAGGCTGGTAACGTCGTCGGTCTCGTACTTGAACTCCACTGGACCCGATCTCGAGATATCCTTCCTTCGCGTGGATGTGAACATCCTGGTCTTCCATCCATCGTTTACCCAGGATCATGTCCCAGTTAAGATCGTCGATGACGTACATGAAAACACGATGCTGCTGATGTCCATCGAGGTCGATCGACACATACGTGATCTTGTCGATTTTGACCTCCTTGCCGTCTCCCGCTGCATTCTCCAAGATGCGCGGCTGAACGCGTATATGTGGCAACTGGAGAGAGTGAAATGTGCGCTTGCTAACCGCGCCGTAGCAGAGGCAGCCATAGTCGACAAGAGATGGCACAAAGTCTGTGCCGTTCACCCTGACGTCTGCTATGAACGGTTCCCCGTCCATTTTTGCTTTTCCGCTCACATCCCATTCTCTCACAGCCGCCGCGTGTCCCTAGTCTGAATCTTCATCGCTATGAGACGAAGCTTCGTCTTCGGCGATCTCGGCATTAGTGACCGCTGGTCGTGTTGGAGCCACGGCATTGACCCGAGTGCGACGGGTCGCGTTTGCGGGTCGGATAGGCGCAGCCAATGGGCAGCGCTCGATCCTGCAGTTGTCTCTTCCACAACGAAGGCAACGCCCTTCACGGTAACGGGCGTCCATCTCGGTCTGATCGACCCACTTTGCACGCTTGCCCAACAGCGCTTGGTCTTCTGGTCGGTTGGATTGGTGACCATATGTGTTCTTATCACTGCGGGTGCGCGCAGCGTTCACTTTCGCGGATGCTTGTAGAGTTGGCTCCCATTCCATCATGTCCTCTCGTCTAACTTCAGTTTTCTGGCCGGACTGTTTCTGGGCGGCCTGGCCTCCATGGTTCTGGTGGTTGTCATAGTTGTCTGAACTCTTTGTGTTGCCTCGGGGCCTTTTCCACTGACCCAACAGTTCCATCTGGCTGCTCAGCGAATCGCACCTCCTCGCCAGCCCAACGTAGCTGCTGATGGCAGAGGGGTCAGAGCCTATAAGGGCTGCTTTCATTTTGTCGTTTAGTGCCTCCTGGAGGTAGGAAATCTTGCTGTCGTCTGGCCAATACTCGGCGTTGGCATTGGCGATCTCCCTCTCAAAGCGGGGGTAAAACGACGTGAATGGTTCATTCTCCCCTTGCTTAATCGAATGCAAGTTGCGTGTAGCTCTCTGCTTGCGATCCCTCTCCCCGTACAACAACTCGAGGCGGTTGAGTAGTTCAGCAACATTGAACGTTTTCTTCTCGGTTTGCATCTCCACAAATGTGGTCACGTTGTCTTTAGCCTTGCCTTCTAGGCTCATGAAGATGTACATAAAGTGGCCCTCTGCATCTCCAAGGGCTTCTTTATCGACTCGTAGTTTTCCTTCGGTTTCTAGTTTCCAGCTTCGCCACTGGGCCTTGTCGCCGCCGAATTTCGGGATGTCTCGTAATTTGGGGCGCTTGGTTGGATGAGGGCTGTGAGTGGCGACTACATGGATGTCCTCGATGGGGACAGCCGGGGTGACAGATGGCGTCGGCTCTGGGAGTTCAGACGAACGGGATTGCTGGTGTTGCTGGAGTTCCAGGGCAATAAACCGTTCTTCAAACTGGGTATTTCTTCGGGAATTCTCTTCTCTCAAACTTCGTATCTCGGCAACCAGGGCGCTGAGGACGTCCGGCTGCATGTTGTTATCTTCGGCCATCGCGACTTCGCTGAACGTTAATAGTTCCGGCGGGACTCAGTTACTTTGGTGTCTTCAGTGTCTTCAGTGTCTTCAGTGTCTTCAGTGTCTTCAGTGTCTTCAGTGTCTTCAGTGTCTTCAGTGTCTTCAGTGATCTTGATAGTATGTGAAAGGCCTCTAGTGAGTTGATACAACTAACTAGTCCCTATGCTGTTTACTATCAAGATAGAGAAGAAAGAAAGAAAGAAAAAGAATCTACTACATGAGAGCACAATAGCATTTTATAGCTTCGAGCCAATGGAAGGTTCTAGAAGCTAGGCGGCGCAGCCGCCGTTAAAGCGGCTTGCCCGTTACAACGTGAAGGAAACCAAGGGGTTGTGGTCCTTGACCCGGGGCATCAGGGCCTTCCCAATCTGGGCAAAAGACTCGCTCTTCTTTTCCGACTTGGAGCAGTATTTGGCTGCGTAATCGATCACCTGCTGTAGGCTCGTACAGGCGACACATCCGTATTGGCTAGCCACGCGACGGTAAGCAGGCGGTTATAGTGATTGATCTGACCATCATTCCGCTCCCCCCTGAAGCTCCAGTGCTTAGAATTAGGAACCTTCTCAAGGGAGGCCAGTAGGCGCTGCGCGTGAGGAAAACCAAAACGGCACTCGACCTGCTTGGTATGCTTGTTGAGCTGCATGCAGTAGTTGTTGCAGCGGTGGCGTTGCACGCGGTTGACTACCATCGACAGGAACTGAATGGAAAGAGGATGCTCCAGTAGATTATTGATCAGAGGATTCCCTTCCCCAGGCGTCTGTACCCGCCGAGGCTCTGGGTTAACAGCAGATACGTGATATCCCCAGATTCGAGCGAATTGCTCGCGAGACTGACCGTTGTCAGGATCCAAGTCTGGGTGGCCGTTTAACGGTCGGAGTACTTAGACCGCAACAGGCCAAAGGCGACACTGAAACAACACCCCACTTAGATCCACTCAGACCAACCCAGACCGACTCAGACCGACCCAGACCGACTAACCGGTCCGGTCTGTCGGTCTGATGACAATGGCCGGTCTGTCGGTCTGCAGTCTGACAGACCGACTCAGTCGGTCTGTCAGACGGTCTGTCTGTTAGCCACACTGGTTTAACCAATATAGGCCATGGTGATGGCTGGATCCCCTGCCCTGCCACTCGTAGCGGCCCCAGAAGTCCGTTAGGTTAAACTTCTGCTTCAGGACAATAGTCCTAAGGAGCGTATAACGCTTATGGAAGTGGTAAGCGGCGATGTCGGCGTTGTCTCGCAGTAGATCCCGGGATAGGGCCATCTGCACCGCCTCAGGAGCTGCTTTCCACTCTTGAAATCGAGGCATATGACGGTATAGGGATTCCCAGTGGTAATCAGCAGCGCTTACAGTAACGAAAAGGTCAGGCCTGCCCAGATTATAAGCATATGCCTCCAATTCCTTCCTCTGCTTATACCAGTACGGCCGAGTGCCCCTAACTGCGGCGGATTGGCGCGTGATCGACTGAATCAGAGCCTGAGCCTCTGGCTCGTCAGGCATAGCCATCGCTTCCTCTAGGTCAGCACGCCTAAGGGGTTGATGGCGGCCTTCGTGTTGCCTGACGAAGTATTCGCTTCGCCTTTTGACCTGCGCACGCAACAGCGTGTTGAGGGCGACGAAAGGCCATGTCTTGTGGCGGGCAAAACGTCCGTCTTGCCATCTCATTGCATGTGCAAGATAGTCCTGGTACGTGATGCTCCGCAAGCGAGGCTCCACAAAGTCCGCCTTACCGTCAGGATAGAGGGTAGGGAACGCGAGCGTTAACAACGGCTGAGAACGGTTGAATTCGTCGATAGGAGTCCTGCGAATGGAAGGGAGTGGTATTTGGTGTTGAGCCTGCGCACTGGGAGGCATAGGCTCAAGATCGGCCATGTGTTCAGGATCGGCGGCGCCATCAAGGAGTCGGGACTGTAGGGCGTTCAATTCTGTATCAGTAACCTGCAAATTCGGGATTGCTGATGCGTCGGCGTCGCTAGGATCCTCTTCCACAGCCTCCCCAACAGGGCCTTGGGGGACCTCGCCGCCAGGTATTTCAGCCACTTGGCTAGCAACTGAAGCAACTATACTGCCGTCCAGGGGAAGTCGTTGTAGGCGATCCTGCCTCACGACGATGTCGCGATAGCCCGGGTGGTGGCGCCGTAGGTAATGCAGCCAGGTAAGCAGGCATGAGCGGCGTACCCGGAAATCGCGAGCAAACTGCTGCTGGAAGCGAGGTCCTTCCTCCATATTAGGAGGCCGCAGGAGCACGATATCTAGCTCTTCAGGAAGGACTGGGAGCTCTTCAAACAGCCTGCCAACGTTGCGAAGAAAGTGGACAACATGTCCGCGGTACTTATATTGAGCGCCACGTACCTGTAGGACCTTCACGTGTACATGCACCCTAGCAATCAGCATCTCCTCAACCATAGTTAGATCAGGTAGGTTGCCGGGGACTTCCCCGAAGTCAAGGCTATTCGCGGCGCTGAAGAAGTAGGGCTCGTTGGGTCCTCTTTTCCCGTCTCGACTAATGCAGCGGCTGCAAATTTTCAAGCCATTCAACTTCATATCGAACCAACGTTCCTTGCAGCGGATGCAACTATGCATTTTGTCTTCAGTCAGGGCAGTGTGGAACTCCCGCACAAGGACCTGATCTTCTTCACTAAGGGCAGGCAGGCTAAGATCCCCTGTAAAAGGTGGATCAATTATCTGGTCAAACTGTCGCTCTGGGGCCTGTGCAACTTGACGTGCATAGCGGCCGCGACGATGACCCTGTGGCAGTAATGAAGGAGTGGTAGGAAGCGATTGCTCCGGTATAGGCGTGCCTAACACAACAGGAGCCGTAGGAAGAGAGTCTCGAGGAATCGGCGTGCCCAGAACAACTGTTGGAAGGTCAAGGGTAGGAGTGGCAAGGGGTTGTAAGTCGTTCACAGACGAGGCTGCTGGCGCAGTCCGCCTTGGAGGCGTCAGGTTAGCTACCAAACCAGTCCTCTTTGTGGCTCTATGTGGCGATAGCCTCAAGGCCATATTCCGCATTGTGGCAACGGCAGCTCGGGATTCGGCAGCTCGTTCCCTTCGGCGTGCCCTGCAGCCAGCACAGTCTCCTGTAAACTTCATAGGGTCCTTCAAGCTTCGAAATTCGACTTCAGGCAGGCTTTGCTTGCAGGTGCGGCAGTGTCGAACTGCCTGAGGTATATCGTCCTCCATCTGGCCGCATATATGTCCACCTCTTACCCAGCTATGCTGCTAGATATCGCTCGGTCGGGGAGGTTTTGCGACGGCTTACGTCTAATACCGTGACAGGTTTCGATGCGGAGGCTGTCTTTGATGTAGTTGCGGAGGTAATGTGAATATCTAGTTACCGTTAGCAACCTAATGGGTTTGATCAAACTTCTGACTGTATAGAACGCCCTTCGGGCTGAATTAACGAGCGGGAAGCAATCTCCACCGGACTGAGTCCGTTCTTCTTCATGCATGGCTACCACAATGAGCCAATCCAGTTAGTTGAGCATCGAAGAACGGAAGACACGACACAGGGAGAAGCTGCAGCGGAGGATTTCATTCAGAGACTACAGGATGCCACGGAGTTTGCGCAAGCAGCGATAGCAATGGCCCAGGAAATACAGCAAGCGCAAGCCAACAAGCACAGGACAGCCGCACCGAGATACAAGCCTGGGGATTGGGTATACCTCAACTTGAGAAATGTCAAAACATCGCGACCCTGCAAGAAGCTCGATTGGTTACATGCCAAATATCAAGTGCTCGCGGAAGTCAGCCCACATGCCTACAGGTTGGATGTGCCTGGACGCATCCATCCAGTCTTTCACGTCGATCTACTCCGGCCAGTCCCTAGAGACCCATTGCCTTCGCAGAAAATCAATCAAGAGAGTGCCCCGCCGGTGCTGGTGGACGGCCAAGAGATGTACCAGGTCGAAAGAATTCTGGATGAAAGAATGGAAGGTACGCATAAGAAGGTGCTCGTAAAATGGCATGATTACTCGCAGCCTACGTGGGAGCCCCTTGCCACTATTCGACACACTGATGCATGGAAGCAATGGAAGAAACATCAAAAGAGTGTCACCTTCTCAAGTCATCTTCACACAGATTGCCACGATCCCACGGAAGAGGAAACGTTGGAAGGGAGGGAGGTAATGTAACGGGCAAGCCGCTTTAACGGCGGCTGCGCCGCCTAGCTTCTAGAACCTTCCATTGGCTCGAAGCTATAAAATGCCGTTATGCTCTTATGTAGTAGATCCTCTTTCTTTCTTCCTTTCTTCTGTATCTTGATAGTAAACAGCATAGGGACTAGTCAGTTGAATCAACTCACTAGAGGCCTTTCACAAGTCGGAAATAGACTGTTGAGGTATGTCGTACTTTTGAGCGGCGCGATACTGCGAAAAGACGTTGTTTGTGATTTAAGATATGACAATTGCATTCTCCTCCTCAGAATAGACACGTCGAGGCCGTTTTAAGGTCATTTTGGACATGTGGTGGAGGAATAATGAGAATAATCATCGTCGGGAGGGAAAGAAAGATTACGCGGCTGAATGGCAATTTCGCGCGCAATGTTGACACAGACCACAGCGCCCTGTACAAACATCCAATCTCCTAAAAGTATAATTCGGTCAATTCTCTATCTGTTCCAAGTAACTGCTTGCGAATATCTTTACAGTTGGCTGCAATCGGTGTAAGTGAAATGGTAGACTTTTGGTGGAGTTTTTTTCAATTGCGCTACCGAAAGGGGGGTGGGGTATGGTATACGATATCGGATATCGCCAACTGGCGTATCGCGTATCAGAAACAACCCTGACTAGGTGGTATCGTCAGATCAAGAATGTGGCCCAGCTGCATTACGTCTGGCAATACATCGACCCCAACTCAAACATCATCCCCAGAAAGCCTCAAAGGCCAGTCTTCAACGAAGGAGCGGCCCTGACGGAGCATAAGGGGGGGGGTAAGCATGGTACTGCATTTTCGAGCAGCATCCTCTCCACCCCCACAGTGGGGTAGAATAACGAACCGTACCCCGTACCCCGCACGTGCTGCATGCTTGATTGAGTCGGGTGCCTGAATTCGGCCGCAGCTGACAGGACGATTAATGCACCTTAAAGCAGGAATGCGGGGGTTTCCCAAGATGTTTTATGTCGGACCCACTTATGTCACGATCATTCACAGCTTGATCTCCACTTTTCTGGGCTATGACCTACCTTGCAAAGGTTAATTAATTGTTTCGTATTCGACAGAATGCAATGCGGCCTACGGATAGAGAGAAAGGGGTTGAATGTGTGCTTATTTCTTTTTCTTCCGTTTTTCATCCCGTCTGCAGCCCTGCCTAGCTACCTGTCACAGTTATGTGGATGCGCACATTAGGAGTCTTGTGGTGTATATTGAAAGCTCTGCCCCGTCCATCTAAAGAGGGGTGCAGCCGGGACCTTAAGTAGGTACCGGCGCAGGCTAGGAAAACTCTTTTGTTTACAAAACGCGTAGGGGTCTGTTACGCGTCACGGTAAAGTGACTTGTGCAGTGTCGTGACCGTTCCTAGCGTACGTAGACTCCGCACTCCTAGGTGTGGAAGCCACATTCCTGCATCAACGCCGCAGGCTAATATTCCTACCCCTGACGCACACGTACCTCGTGACACTACCCTTTACTCCGCACCGACCTTGATGCCTGATTGGGACCTGGCTTCGCAACAAGAGGAGCATGAATGAGGCGCGGACAGCCCGACTCCGACTCGGGCCCCCTCTAGTTGGCACCAAAACCCTGTGACGCGGCCCCCCAAAGCGATTATGCTTAAATAACGGCGGTATCGCCAGCCCGTCAAACTTCTCTCTTTAGTTTCCAATTTTTTGTTCTTTCAACGAGACAACAAAACCTCTCCATCTAAAGTAAACAACTCTTCTGAGTGTGAACATAAACCAATACAACAAACAAGCAACAGTCACAATGTTGTTCACTATCTCCTTTGTTGTACTCTTGTTTACAATATACGTACGCGGCGCTACCTCTGTAGCCTGGGGTGATATTGAGGATATTAAGAACGAGTTGAAAGAAGGCTTTAAGATCGACGAAACGAACCGTCCCTATGGCATCAAGCATCAGGACAAGGTCGGAGCGTTTCGGTCCTGTGGGACCTTTCCAAGCTGGAACCCGTCGACCTGGAATTTTAACGCAAACATGCTTTACCGCGATACCCTGCTGCACGCCAACGACGTCGATATCAAATATACAACGCATAATAATTTAAAGGAGCCTATAATCAACAAACAATGTCATACAATACCATACAAATCACAAAAATCGAAGGCTACTCTAGTTTCCGTAACGGAAGGCTGGAAAATCGGGGGAACTGTCGAAGGAGAAGTAGGGGGCCATGAGGGAGCCCCTAAGGCGAAATTGACTGTCTCTGGCGAATATTCTAAGACCTTGACCACGTCGGAGACAGTTACCGAATTAGAAGAGGCCACTGGCAGCTGTGACCCTGGGCAAGAGTGTTTTATGGTGGCGCTAATATTTCACGCCGAAGTTAGGGGCACTTGCAAGAGGGAGCCGGTATTGGAATGCGCTGACAATCTGTACTCTTGCGAAAGGAAGGAGATCTGGGACAACGATCCTGATACGGCAAGATACTGGCTTGATTATTGCCCCAAAGGCGATATTGAAGTTGGATGCAACGTCACGTTTCGGATCTTCGAAAACGACACGCCAATGGTCCGGAACATACCTTACTTCAAAGATAGAACCGAAACCGGTACTAGACCGCGATGTTTAAAAAATTCACCAAGAAGATAGCCGCCTTGCCGACGAACGAAGAGTACTTGTGGGAATTGTTCAGCCGTAGGCTGGATTTACCCGTTGGTCTAAGCGTGGTGGGGCCACGGCAGCCCACTAAAGGTCTTACGCCCTTTAGTTGGCACAAAAAATCCGTGACATCACAAAAATTCCGTGACAGTCGCCTCCCTAAATTTTGGGCATGAAAATGAGTGCATCTCAACGAACTACATCACACTACCGTACACAATAAGTTATCATTCGGAATACACATTAGATTCGACTTCTGGGGCTCTTCTTTAGTCTCTGACGTGAAGAAGAAGTTAAATATAGCTTTACAGGCGACCATTCGAGCTCGCCGGCAGACTGGTTTCGAGACAGTCGGGTTATCTCAACTGCCCAAGAATGGCTACGTATACGGTAATCCCGTATGTTTCTTGCTCTATTCGGCATTTTCGCACCTCACGAAAGTCTCGTAGCATCTCTTGTATGTTATCGTAGGGCCGAGTGTGATGTTGTGGGCATGGAGTATCTGCGAGAGATTCAGCCATGACAACTGGAGGCGATGAAGGCATCCACGATTCCCCCAATGCTATGTCTTCCTCTATAGATCGCTGGAGCATTTCGTCATCATTGTACTCTTCTTCGTCGTCTTCGTCGTCGCTGTTGAAGGGGCCGAGACCGTGAAAGTGAACTGTATCCTCACTACCAGGTAAAGACGACATATCCTCTAGGGGATGCGGCCGCCTAACTGCGCGGGCGAGGATATCGCTTGCAGTGTTATTCGCCTTTGTAGTGTCTACAAAGAATGGGTCTGCTTTAGGTTCTTTCAGGGCCTTTGTGAATGTCTCGTGGGACTCTTGGAGTGTGTAGAACTCAATATCACGCCCCGTATGTTGTAGCCAAGGCTTGAAATTCATCGTCTTGAGTTTCCCGTTGACTTCCTGCTTCTTGCTAGCGCTGTAATCCGCCCTTATACCCGCCATCTCGTCGCGAATTCGTTTGAGATGCATCCGTAGCTCTCGCCGGGTTTGCCGCTTGGTATGCTGCTCGAGACTGCATTCGTATTCGCGCTGGATGTCCTCGATGTTGCAGCTCGTGATGAATTGACCGGACGGCTTAACGATCTTGCCTCGCTTCTTCCTGCTTGCCCACGCTTCTATACGGCTATTTCGGTCCTTTATAAAGGATTGGACTTGAGATTGCAGGATGAGGGCTTCTGTCACCACCTTAGCAGTCTGACGCAAACCCTCACGAGTTGGTGAACTCAGTACGTCATGGTACCGCTGCCTAATCCTGTTCGTAGTATCCGCAGCGATCTGGAAACGGGCTTCATTAGGCAAAAGTGAGTTATAAGCCGGGTTCACAAGTCTCTGCTGCCGAAGCTGCTCGTTGAGAAGCCTTGCAACAACGGGTTTTGGTGTCACGGGGTAAAGACCTGTTTTTTCGAAGCCCGCAATGATGTTATGGCGCGTGAACCCAGCCTCGTAGACTTTTTGAAAAGCGTTGAGGAAGTCAACCCGCGAGAAAGCAAGGTGGCCCTCTGCGAGCGTTTTTCGTAGAGCTTTCTGGTGTGCCGCTTTCAGTGGTTGGAAAACACCAACATCTAGCGGCTGCATGATGTGTGTGGAATGAGGGGGGAGAATGGCGATGATGATATCAAATTTGATGCAGTATTCAGCGAATTCGAGAGTCGTGCCCTGTGAAGCCATCTACAACGAGCAACCGGAAAATCCTATCTTTCTCGTCCCGTTGGGTCGGAGGTGCCTCAACCGTCGTCATCCCAAGGTTTGGAACACGAAGATGCTCATCACAGCCAAACCATTGTTCTAGTGACTTCCCAGAGCGTTGTGCTTGCGCTGAGGATTCCCAGGACCAGCGATTGAAGTGCCTCGCCCATTCGAGATGTATCTGAGCGTTGCTGAAGCCGGTTGGTGATTGAGCAAAGCGGACGCCACTATCAATAGCGATACCGGCCCAATTCGTGGTAGGAAATGCGCGAAGATGATCCAGGAGGAAGAGAGTCCCTGCAGCATTGATCGTGCCAATAACTGTACAGGATTCTCGATTCGCCGGATCGAGAACTTCCCGACTCTTCACGCGTGTGGTGCGGGTCACGAGAACGTGTACGCGTTCTCGCAAGCAGCCGATCCGAATGCCGGCTTCATCTTCATTCCAAATCTCCGATGCCCCAATGCGAAACTTCTTGATAGTCTCGTCGAGGTTAGAGAAGAAGTCATTCACTTCCTCAACACTCTGCGCTTCAAAAGACTTCCGTGCTCTCTCGACGGCCTTCAAGACTTCAAGTAAGTCTTCTTGACCTCAGGGTGACTTTGGCGCCAGCCTGCGAGCCAGTTCTGAGACATAGGTCTTGATGATGGATCTCGTCGCTGCCTGATTGTATTTGCGGCAGCCTCAAGCTGCTCCTTTCCCGCTGGAATACCAGTACGCTCCATCCACTGTATGTACGCCACAAGGGCGTTATCTTCATCCTCAGTCAACGCAGTTGGGCGCCCCTGACCTCGGGCAAATGGGCTTTCCAAAGAACGGATGGCCCTCTCGACAGCGCCTCTATTGACTTTGTACCTAGAAGCCGCTTTGCGGATAGAAAGGGGGGTTCGTTGTGGTGTTGTGGCACGACGTAGGGCCGCTCTAGGCGGCCGGCGAGAGGCGATGACGGCTCGCGCGGCGGCTAGGGCATGCCTTGAGGAACGAAAGGATTTCTATGCCTTGAGGAACGAAAGGATTTCTATGCCGCGCTTTGCCTTGAGGAACGTTAGTGCCTTGAGGAACGTTAGTGCCTTGAGGAACGAAAGGATTTCTATGCCTTGAGGAACGAAAGGATGCCTTGAGGAACGAAAGGCTTCTTCTTACCCTGCGAGCCCTCTCCCCCCCCACCAAAGTTTTGCCTTGAGGAACGAAAGGATTTGCCTTGAGGAACGAAAGGCTTCTTCTTACCCTGCGAGACCACTCTTTGCCTTGAGGAACGAGGAACGAGTGACGAAAGGTGCCTTGAGGAACGAGGAACGAGTGACGAAAGGTTCTTAGGGTTCCTCCCCGGGGAGAAAAAAAATTCGCCATCGATTTCCCCCCCGCAAATGCCGCCCTCTGATTCGCTGGCGTTCTCGCTTTTGATTCGTCGGTTGTTCTTTTCTCGCTTTTGATTCGTCGATGTTCTCGCTTTTCATTCGTTAATAAATAAAAATAATAAATAATGCCCTGCCCCTTGCTGCCTTTTTAGTTCCAGCTGCGCAGTTCGCTTCCAACGCCTCCGTAGACCATACGCCGCCGCAGACCACATAGAGGAAGGTGCCCAAGCCGGCCCGGCTTCTAACCCCGCCATAGACCACACGCCTCCACAGACCACCCCCTTCGCCCGTCCTCCTGGCCCTTAACCTACACTCCTTTTACGTCGGAAGTGTGGAAAATGCAGGGCGCCTGCGTTACCTGCGGAGCCAGTCGGCCGCCTCCTGTGTTGTCTGCCTGCTAAGCTCCTCTAGCCGGGCCTGCGCTGCCGTCATCTCCTCAGGCACCCGGTTCCCCACTAGGTCCCGCTCCCGCACCTCTGATACGAGCATGATGCCGTCGAGCGTCGGGCACCGCGACAGCTGCACGTATAGGCTATACGGGTCGCACGACGACGGCACCGCCCTCCCCTCGACCGTCGTCATCCTCGCCCCCCGCAGCTCCAGCGCCACGCGCTCTGCGTCCCGCCCTGCACCTTATAGTCGGTGCAGGCGAAGGCCGCGGCGCACGGCAGGCCCTCCGGCTGACGTCGTTGCGCTGCCATGGCCGCTTCCGCTGCGCTGTGATCTTGACGCTGATGGGCGTTAGCAGGATCGTCCCGGCAGGCATCCCGACGAAGTGGAAGTCCTTGGTCGTCTCCGAGGCCAGCACGATGCCCGCCGGCGGCCGAAGTGCATGATGAGCTCCGCCGAGACGCGGTGGCCGGGGAAGGCGCGGTCGGGGATGACGTCCACCGCCGTGTACCCGGCCCCGTTCACAAGCTTCAGCCCCTGGTGCGTGTTCTGGTTCACGACGACCGGCATGCCCGGCACGAAGAGGAAGACGGCCGGCACCGGGGTCGCGCTGTCGTCGCCCTGGCCTAGCATTAGCACCGCCTCCTCTTCCGTCGGCACGCCGTCCCTCCACTTATGCTCGGAGAGGAAGACGCGCGCCGCCGTCCGCCGCCTCTCCCGGAACGCGAGCGCCGCCTCTAGGTTGAGGTTCCAGCGGTTCCGGTTGAGCGGCGTCACCACCGTCAGGCCCGTCTCCCACGGGATCCGCCTGCCCGGCCGGTAGCATCTCGAGTTGAGCAGCTCTAGGTCCGACCGGTCCTGCTCGCCCCGGCGGATCCGCCCGAGCAGCCGCCGCAGCTCCGGGTCGCCGGCGGCCCGCATCTGCTCGTCTAGCATGACGACCGTCGTGAAGCGCCGCCACAGCGCGTGCGCCTTGTCGTGCTGCCGCCGCTGCTCGGCCGCGAACGCCCCGTCCTCGTCCCACGCCACCGCCGCGCTCGGCAGCAGGATCGACCGTTCCTGCACCGGCCGGAACTGGTGGAAGTCGCCGCAGAGGATCACTACCGGGATGCCGCCGAAGTCCCGCGCCGACCCCCGCAGCCGGCAGAGCTGCTCGTTGGCGGCGTGCAGCGTCCGCGCCCCGAGCATGCTGACCTCGTCGATCACCAGCACCTCCTTCTCCTGCCAGTCCATCCGCGACCGGCCGTCGACGAAGCGCTCGCCCTGGCCCGCCAGCCGTACGCCGTCAATGTCCTCGTCGCCCTCCCGCCCGGCCGCCCTGGCCGACCGTAAGGCCGCAGGCCGAGTGCAGCGTGATGCCGTTGATCCGCGCTGCCGCCGTCCCCGACGTCGCCGTAACCAGCAGCCGGCTCGATAGGTCCCTCCGGGCGAGCAGCTCGACGAGCGCCTCGATGACGCGCGACTTGCCGGTGCCGCCCTCGCCGCCGATGAATAGGCAGAGCTGGCCACCACCGTCGCCGCCTGCGTCGTCGCCCTGCCGGATTCGGTCGAGTTGCCGGCACACGATTAGGAGGGCGATGGCCTGCTTCTCGTTGAGCGTGAGCTGGCCCGCCAGCTCCTGCCGGCGGCGACGAACGAGCTCGACGGGCCGAGCCGCACGCGCATCCCCGCCGCCGTGCCTGCGTCTGCGTCGCCGTCGGCCGCCGTTACGTCGATGTCGTCCTCGCCGAAGCCCCCCATCACCCCGCGAAGGGCCGCGCCGCGGTCGGCCCCGACGCCCGCCGCCGCCCCGCCGCCCTGGATGCCCTGGATCGCCCGCTCCCGCCCCGCGCCGCGCTCCTCTGCTGCGACTTGATGGCCCGCACCTCTTCTTGCCGCGGCAGTGCCGCCCCGACAGCGCCGAGCCCGGTAGGTTCACCCGCCTGCCTGCCCTCTCGTCCGCCACCACCGTCGCCGCGAGCTCGGCCGCCGACCCGAGCGCCGACTGCTGGAACCGGCAGAGCTGCTGCGTCATCGCTAGCAGCTCTGTTGACTGCGCCGTGACTTGTCCCGCGCTGGCGGCGTTCCGACGACGTCGATGAGCCGAGCCGCGTCGCCCGCCCCGCCGGCGCGGTATGCCTCCTCGCCCCTTCGGCCGCCCCTGCCTTCGTCGTCGGCCTGCGGCGCCGTCATACCGCCCTCCTCGGCCGTGGCGGCCCACTGCTTGGCGTCGCGCTTCGCGTCCTCCGCCGACCGCCGGAGGAGCTGCACGTTGTCTGCGAGCCGCGCGACCCTCGGCGCCAGCGACTCCGGCGCCCGTGCCCAGATGTTGTTAATGTCGCCTGCCTCCTCGCCGAGGAAGGACTCCCACGGCACGAATAGGGCCAGGTGCTGCACCGCCGCCCTAGATGCTGTTAGCCGATGCCCCTAGCTGCTCTGCCTTCCTCTTAGGCGCCCCGTCTTATAGTACGCACCTCCGGTGGCACGACTCGTCGTCTTCCTCGCTGAACTCCTTGCTGAGGTATCCGTCGACGCATACAGTCGCCCCGCAACCCGGCCGCCTAAGCGCCTGCACCCAGCCCTTCCCCGACGCCCAGCTCTCCGCGAAGGGTACCTCACCCCAGCCCGCCATACCGTCGGCGCCGCTGCCGTTTTGCTTTAACCTTACAAGCGATGCGTAGTCATAAAGGCAGAGGCCCCGCAGGAGCTCGCCCCGGTGCCGGTAGGCCTCGACGAGAGGGATCCTCAGGCCAGCCTCCTCGACGACGACCGTCTCGTCCGGCGCGTCGCCCGTCGCCTCGGCGCCGCTCGCCCGTCGGAGGTGCCGCCACCGGCGGAAGACGGCCCAGTAGAGCTGGTTTGCGTTTATATACGCCCACGCTGAGCCGCTGCTAAACTCCGCCGGGTACCCTAGGAGGTGCGCGATCACCTCGACCTGCGACAGCGGCCGCTCCGTAAAGACTCGATTCGCCGCCTTAAGCAGGAACGTTCTCGTCTTATTCCCCCCTACGGGGTCCGCCGCCGTCGCTACCCCTTCGGCCCCGCCCTCCCGGCCGGCGTCGCGGTCGGCGCCACTTCTGTTGCCCTCTCCCGTCGGCTCTAGCACAGGAAGGAACTCGGCCGCGGCGGCCACACGCTTCCACACCGGGTCCTCTACCTTCGTCGCATAGTTAGTAATATAGTAGATTAGGGCCATGGTCTTGCGCTGCGTCGCGATGAACGAGATGTCGTGGTTGTGTCGTAGCCCCACTGCCATCGCCCTGTTCCACCGGTTCACCATGCTATGCGTCCGCCGGATCTCGAGCACCCCGTCCGCCGTCAGCGCCGTCCTCTCCACCAACCTCCACGGCGCCTTAAACCGGCAGAGGTCCCCTTCCGCGCCCCACGCCGAGCGAGTATTTTACGCAGGTCGCGCTATGCGTATGGATCTGCGTCGCGCCCGCGCAGAAGTTGGCCTCCTCGTCGAAGGTGTCCGTGAAGCGCGCGACGTCGTCGAGCCGCGACGATATGTCCGCCGTGGCCGACCGCTCTGCCTGCATGGCACAGTAACCTTCTGCGTCTAGCTCCTGCGGCCTCGGTTCAGCTTAGGCCCCTCAGCCTGCCCCAGATAGGGGGCATCGGGGGGGGGGGGTTTGTGTTAAGGCGGCCGCCTTACCTCAGAGAAGACGCTATCTACGTAGCGGACGATGCGCTCCCGGTACGCCGCCTGCTCCTCCGCGTCCGGGCCGGCGAGCGCGTCGCCAATGCCCGCGTTGCCCTTAGCCAGAGGAGCCCGTGGATGTGGAGGGCGCCTCGCTCGTTGGTCTCTACCGCCCCGTAGTATGCGCCGACGTGGCCGAACACCGACTCCTCCCCGACGTTGACGTAGTGCTCGAAGAAGAGCGTCATCTCCCGGTGGAAGAAGACGGCCGAGCTCATCGGGTCCGATATGGCCAGCCGCGTCCGCTTATACGCGGTCCCTAGGTCACTTAGGAAGGCCTCGGCCTCGTCGGGGTCGCGGCCGCGGTGCGCCGCTAGCCGTAACTTTACTAGGTTCGTAATGTCGTTCGGGTTCAGCGTGAACCAGATAGCCGGCACCCCGTACCTAACGATGAGGATAGTATCTTCTTCCGCATACTAAGGCGGCTCTCCTCGACATTGGCTGCCGGTAGCCGAACACGGAGAGGGACCGGAGGAGCTCTTTACCCCGTCGTCGCTAGTCTTACCTGTGGCCTCGAGCTCGGCCTGGCCGCCTCGAGCCTCTGCGCCGTTAACGACTTTAGTAGGCCCTCGACCCTTGCGAAGTTCTTCCTCGCTACGCCTAGCATGCTGGCCTGGCGGTTCTTAGACCGCACGCCCATGTTAAAGACAAGGAAGGCGAAGATAGGGTGCGTCGCGAACCGGCCGCCGTGACGCCGCAGCACGACGTCGGCCCATGCCTGGAGCTTCATGTTCCGCGTCGACATAAGGCCCTCTGCAACCCGCTCCGCCTGGGCGCCCTGGTTCCCGACGCTAGGGCCCGCGCTCTCTCCCGCGGCGTCCTCGTCGGCGAGCCTCGGCCCGCCTAAGCCAAAGGGGAACAGGGTCGGAAAGGCCTTTGCAAAGAAGGAGGCGTCCGCCGAGTCGGCGAAATCCTCGCCGCGTCGCACCTGTATGTACGGCTCGCCGTCGCCGCCGTCGCCCGCCGCCCCTCTGGCCGCCGTCCCTACCCACGTCCTCGGGCCGGCGCGCGCTCCCTCGGGCCCGACCGCGTCGCGGGCGAAGCGAATCTTCTCGGCGTCGGCCACATCTGGCGCCCCATCTAACGGGAACATGCCGGAAGACGTTACCTCATTGATTACGTCCCCGTCCTCTTCGGGCCTAGCGCCGTCCCTGTCGTCGTCCTCGCACGTGAGCCCGACGTCGCGGCTCCTCGGCGGGGTCCTGGCCCTGCCTTAGCATCGCGAGGATTTCCTCGATCTCGGCCGCGCCTCCGTCGTCCATGGCCCGCTCCGACGGCGGCACCACCTGCGCCGTCTGCGTCCTCTCCCGCGCCGACGGCTCGTTTCGCTCCGGCCGCTCGCACACCACCGGCGGCACCCCGTGCGGCGGCGCCCCCCAGCTGGCTATCTCCGCCGCGTCGATCTCGACCTCGCCGTAGAGCGGGTTGTTCTCCTTGAGCCAGGCCAGCGCCCTCTCGACCGCCGACCGCCTTACCGACAGCAGGCCTGATAGGTCCCGCGGCCCGGGCCTCTCAGCGCCCTGCCACGAGACGTGGATCTCGTCCATGACCCGGACCAGCGGGTGCGGGAGCACCTTGGCAGCCAGGCCCTGCACGTCGTTCGGGAACACCGTGATATGGCCCTTGACGTGCCTCGGGTACCTCACGCTCTGCCTCTGGCCGCCGGGGATGCTATACTTCGTCACGAAGCCGTAGCACGAGTTGAGCGAGATGAGCTTCTCCTCGAGCGGCGTGAGGTCCTTTAGCTCGTCGGGGTACGCGTGCTCGCAGCCGAGCCGCCCATGGAGGTGCATGGCCGGCGACGCCCCCTCACGCCCGGCCCATCGCGCGCACTCTGCGCAGACCGCCACCGGCCTGCCCTCCGGGAAGCAGGCTTGGCACCCGAACGGGGACCGCCCGCCCCCCGCAACACCGCTCCGCGACCACCCCTCCCACCCCTCCCACGCCATCTCCCTCAGCTCCCCCTTGGCCCGCTTCCGGTAGCATAGCGTGCAGGTCGCGATCGGCAGCGTGCCAGCGTCGTGGAACGCCCGGTAGAACTTCCGCACCGTCCTCACCTGCCTCTCGCGCGGCACCGGCGCACACCACGTCTGCTCGTTAGCCAGCCTCTCGCCCGCCTCGAACTCCTCGTCGAGGTGCCGCAGCGCGCTGGCTAGGTCCTCGGCCTGCAGCTCCCTTGGTCTCGGCACCTTTCACCGACCCGGCGCGTTTCCGCTCGGCCTGCCCACTACTAAGATGGCGTTTCCTCTTCTGCTCTTCCCTCGCCTGCCGTCTTATCGCCGATCTACCTGCGTCCGGTTAGCTATCACCGCTACACGCCTTTACCTCGCTCTACGACCGTACCTGCCGAGGCGCTATCTCTGCCGCCAACAAGCAGCCCGGCTGCGGCCGGAGTTGTGGCGGGGATCTCGGCCCTGCTGGCCGGCCGGGACTGGATGGCTCGCGGCGAGTGCTGGCTTCCGATCGAGACTACGGCCGAGCTAGTCCCGCTTGACGGCGGCGAAGGGCCGGCGGCCCTCCAAGTCGGTTGTGGCCGAATATCCCGCGGAACGTCCGAACTTCTCGTCGGCGGCGGCGAGGCCCGGCGGCCTCCACCGTCGGCAGAGGCCGGATTTCCCTCGGTGCGCGCTGGCTTTTCCTGAGGCCGAGACGGCGCTAGGCCCGCCTTGCGGCAGCCGGCGCCCTGCCGCCGTCGGTGTCGACAGAGCCTGGATATCCCGCGGCGCGTCCGAACTTCTCGTCGGCGGCGAAGGGCCGGCGGCCCTCCATGTCGGCTGTGGCCGAATGTCCCGCGGAACGTCCGAACTTCTCGTCGGCGGCGGCGAAGGACCGGCGGCCTCTACTGTCGGCAGAGGCCGGATTTCTCTTGGTGCGCGCTGGCTTTTCCTGAGGCCGAGACGGCGCTGGGCACGCCTTGCGGCAGCCAGTGCCCTGCCGCCCTCGGTGTCGGCGGCAGCCAAGTTGCCGCCGCGCTTGGTGTCGGCCGAGGCTGGATATCCCGCGGCATGACTCGGCCTGCGCTGATCCTCCATCTCCTAGTCCTGGCGGTCTTCCCGCCCTCGCCTCGGAGGCGCCTCCCTTGACGCCTCTTCTTGCTCTCTCCGAGGGGCGCCGCTAGCAAGTGCCGGCGCTGCTGTGGTCGGCTGGAACTCTGGTCCTGTGTACGGCGCTGCGCAGGCTTCTGGCGCCGGGCTTGCCCCGTCCCCCGCTCCGGACTGGTCCCTTCCGTTGGCTGGCTTCATTGCGACACCGGTCTACCAAAGCCCCCACGGACGTCTTGTCTTCCTCTTTTGCACCTGCCCTCTTTGGCCCTGCCTACTTATGGTGCCACTAGGCCCCTGGCGTAAATCCTCGTAAGTGTAATAACAGCGTATAAATCCTTGCCTCGATTATTCGCCCTGCACTTATCTTGCTGACTGGCACCCTCTTGCGCATATAGGATCCTCTACAAAAGTCTATATATCTTACTCGTAGCTCTCTACTATGTCTATATGCGTGCTGCTGCTCTTGCATTATACCGGCGCCGCCTTTCTATTAAGCCCGCCCGCCATTGCCTGCTGCCATATGCGATAGGCTAGACGGCCTCGGCCGATCCTTATATGTACGTCGCCGCGACGGCTTCTTCTTGCCTATGCTTTGCATGCTACGCTTTTCCTTCTTGTCATCCAGCTCTTATCAGTCAAAGCTTCCGTATGCCCCTAGACACTTGCCCGCTGAAGTTTAAAACCATGTCTTACACGTGTTGCGAATAGGGCTGCCTGCTTCTCCTCGAATATAGCTTCGCGCGTCCTGCTTGTCTTAAAACTCTCAACATCTTACTAGACCGCCTTTAAAGTTCTCCTTCTCTTATTGCACTCTCCTCTATACGCATCTTATAACCCTCTTTACAAAGGCTCCTTATATAACCTACCACTAACGCCATGTTGCGTCTTTGTTTAGAATCCTTTGACTTCTCTTACACACCATCGCCACTGGCCCTTCTCTTTACACTAAACTCGTAAGACGGTATATAGGTAGGGAGCACTCCTGCCTATCTTTCTCGCCGCTTTTAGCTTTGCCCCAGCAACGTTGCTCTTTACTACACGGCCGAGCCATGTCTTCGTCTCCGTCGGCGGACAGCTCTGCCCCGCACCTCCGCAAGCCCCTTGGCTCTAGCAAGGGCGCGGGCAGCGATATGTCCATGATGTTCTTCGCCCAGCCCGACTGCCCCGCGAGGTTCGCCCACCACGACGAGCACCGCATTAGGGGCCTCAACGCTGAGGCTATCGCCCGCGTCCTCCTGCCGGTGCCCTCGTGGCTGCTCGAGGCCGACTACGCACCCCTCCGGGCCGAGGGCGACGACCTGGGCCCTCTCTCTCTTTAGCCTAAACCTCTCTATCTACGGCCAGCCAATCGTCGACACGGACTGGTCCGAGCAATGGTTCCTTATGAGCGGCCGCGTTCACCCCTACGCCCTCGCCTGGGAGGTGGAGCGCCGCGACGGTCTTGAGGCCGGCCCAGACGATACCGTCCTCTACACAGTGCCCGCCCTTATCGTCCGCGACCAAGGCTACCAGCCGTGCGCCCCCTTCTTTTTTTTTTGCCCCTTCACCGGCCGCCTCGCTGACTTCTCTCCCTAGCGTCCTCCCACGCTCCTTGGCCTCTGGCGGCCAGTTCCCGTCTACGCCTCCTGTTGTCTCCTTCCATGGCGTCATCGCCGGGCCTGGCCTTGACCTCCTGCGTGGAGACTTCCTGCCAGGTCTCGGGCCCGACCAGCTCCGCTGCTGCGGCTTCGTCCGGCTCACTACCTACATCACCCCTGGCCTGCCGGACCGGATTCCCTTTAAGGGCTACCACCCTTCCAGGTCTTTGTTATCTTTCCCATCTATGCTAACCCTTGGGCCGTGCTATGCAAGAAAATTGCTGAAAGGCCTAACTCTTCCTTCCTGCCCGGCGTCCCTTTACCTGCACTGGAAAGGTCGTCGGCCTTCTCGACCACCGTCTTATGCTCTGCCCCGGGCTCAGAGCGCGATTACGTCTTTATCGTCGTCCCGGACAGCTGGAACTTTGTCGACAGGCCCTCGGCGGCCGCCTCCGCCTCGGCTTCCCCCCTTGCTACGCCCCTTAAACGTCAGACCCTATCCGCCTCCTCTACCTTTGATTCCGTCCGCGCCGCCTTGTACTCCGTTGCTGCGCCGGCCTCGGCTGCGTCGGCTCCCCCCCTCGGCCCCGACCGCCCTCGACCCCGTCACACCACCGCCTAAGCGCTCCCACCCGGCCCTTGCCGATACGCCCATGAAGAGGGCGCGCTTGCTGCAGCAGCAGAATTCGCCGCCTTCCTCGTCTTCGGACACCGTCAGCTCCGCCGCCCCCTCCTCCTCTCCCCGCCGGCCGCTTCTTCGTCTCGACCGAGCGGCGTCCCGCCCGTTCCGCTCCGGCAGCCAAGCCGGGTTCCTCTTGACTCTATTGTCGCGAGCACCTCCGACCCGCCCGCTCGACCTATCCGCTATCGCATGCAGAAATGAGCTGCCTACTATAAACCTATCGCTCTCTTACGCCTCTTGCCTTTACCAAAATAAACCGTTCTCCTCTCGAGACGCTATTCCTAACGAAACTTATCGCTGCAAAATTACCATTACTCTACACATTACAACGTTTATCTCTTTTTGAAACAACAACTTTAGCTTGCGACCTATTTCTTACGATAGTGCCTGCCTCTATTTGTTCTCCGTGACCTTGTTTATGTCCTGCGCGTTATGCCTTGTCCCTTTACTTTCCTTCCTCCTCTCCCTAGCTCCTAGCTTGCCTTTGGCTTGCATCCCTTCTTGTGCACCTTCCAGTCCTCCTTTGGTGTTGCCTGCTGCAGTACGCCACCGTCAGGCATCGGCTGCACCTCCTCGCCCCGCCATCTCTCCACAAACCCGGCAGACCTTCCTCTGTGCTCTGCGCATCCTGCCCTTGCATTTGCGTCGCGCCCTTGTTTCCGCCCGCCTGCCCCGCCTCTGCCATCGTGTCCTGCATTTCCTGCCTCGTCCTAATTTCGCATCCTTCTTTGCCGCAGAACGACGACACGACCACGAGCACAAACGGCCTCTCTGCGTGTAGGTACGATATCGGGCTCTGTAGAATCTCCTTTGCGAGTCCGCCGCAGCTCTCGCAGCGCACCCTGCTGCCTTCCGACACGCTGCCTCGTGCTCCCGTAGGATCGGCCTTATCCACTGTAGGAACAGTGCACTGGCTGCGTGGTTCGGCCTCGCCTGGCCTACCTGCGTCACGAGCGTCTTCGGGATGCTATGCTTGTACTTCAGCTCCGTGGCCCGAATTCGCACCAGAACTCCACGGAAACGTTGCAAGTGGCCATGCTGTAGTTGTTTTCCTAACTGCTCGATCGGTAGCTAGGGTAGACGCTTCTGCTCTCCTATTCGTGCCTTGGTGCCTCTCTTATACTCCTTCCTCTCTCTTACCCCGCAACCGTTATCATCGCTGTATTTGCCTTCTTGCTTTTGTCTCCTCTTCCCGCTGCGGGATGGTGCCCGAATGGCCGATTTATTTGCCTACCTTCTTGCATGCATTAGTTCCTGGCGCTACCGCCTGCTTGCGTTCTTTGCTCTCGCCCTCTGTCTTCGTCTTGTTTGTCTCAATCCTCAGTCTTCGTTCCTCAAGGCTTTTTGCGCAACCCATGAGGGGTTGCCTTACCTGTTGCCTTGAGGAACGAAAGGCTTCTTCTTGCCTTGAGGAACGATGCCTTGAGGAACGAAAGGATTTCTATGCCGCGCTTTTTTGCCCCCCGAATCCGCGCCTCTGATTCGCTAGCTTTCTCGGCTTCCCGTTGGCTAGAAAAATTGCCTCTTTGCCTTGAGGAACGAAAGGCTCTTCTGGACGCGAAAAAAAAACCCAAAAACTTCAAAACTCATTCACCCTCGAAAACCTCGGCTTCTAATTGGCCCAAGATTTCCTTCTTTCGTCTTAGCCCCTCCTTGCAAGCTTCCTTCTTTTATTGGTTGTTTGGTTGTGCTGCTTTAGCACGTTGGCCGAGGTCCGAACCGCGACCTCTCCCGCATCCCTACTTAATACGAGCACGATGCTGTCGAGCGTCCGGCATCACCATGGCTGCACATATATGCCCCTGGAGCTTAAAGAGTCGACGTCTAGCCATCCCGAGGCCTCGCGAACAGTCTTGTCGCTCAGCTCACCCAGTCTCGCTTGTGCGGCGGTCATCTCCTCTGGAACTCTATTGCCCACCAAATCTCTATCCCGCACTTTAGAGACGAGCATGATGCCATCCAACGTCGGGCAGCGGGACAGCTGCACGTACAGGCTGTACGGGTCGCACTGCGAGGATACGGCGCGTCCATCGATGTTTGACGTCCGCGTCCCCCGCAGCTCCAGAGCTACACGCTCGAGCGTCCTGCCCTGCACTTTATAGTCTGTGCACGCGAAGGCCGCCGTACAGGGCAGACCCTTTCGGCTGACGTCGTTCTGCTGCCACGGCCTCTTTCGCTGGCATTGTATCTTGACGGTCATGGGCGTCAACAAGATCGTTCCTGGCGGCATCCCGACGGAGTGAATGTCTTTCGTTGTCTCGGACTCCAGCATTATCCCGCCGGCGGCCCGAAATGGACCGTCATGTCTGCCGAGATGCGATGCCCGGGTACGACTTGTCGAGGATAACCTCCAGCGCCGTGTAGCTGGCACCGTTCACCAGCTTTAGCCCCTGATGGGTGTTGTGGTTCACGACGACCGGCATCCCCGGCACGAACATGAAGACGGCCGGCACCGGTATTGCGCTATCGTCGCCCTGGTTCAGCATCATGATGGCCTCCTCCTCCGTCGGCAAGCCCTCCTTCCATTTATGGCCGGATATGAAGATGCGCAGCGTCGACCGGTGCTGGATCTGGAACGCCAAGCTGGCCTCCATGTTGAGGTTCCACCGGTTCCTATTCAGCGGCGTCACCACAGTGATGCCTGATGCCCACGGGATCCGCCTACCTTCCTGGTAGCATCTTGAGTTGAGGAGGTCCAGATCCGTGCGGTCCTGCGCGCCCAGTCGGATTCGCTTTAACAGCCTCTGCAGCTCTGGGTCGCCAGCGGCGCGCACTTGCTCGTCGAGCATGACGACGGTCGTGAACCTCTTCCACAGCGCGTGCGCCTTGTCGTGCTGGTGCCGTTGCTCGGCCTTGAAAGAGTTGTCCATGTCCCACGAGACGGCCGTGCTGGGGAGGAGGATCGACCGCTCTTGGACCGGGCGGAACTGGTGGAAGTCTCCGCAGAAGAGGACAATGGGGATCCCTCCAAAATCCTGGTGCGACCCGCGCAGCCGGCAGAGCTGCTCGTTGACCGCGTGGAGCGTCCGCGCACCGAGCATGCTAACCTCGTCGACGACAAGCACGTCCTTCTCCTGCCAGTCCATCCGGGATTGCCCGTGGACGAACCGCTCCGCCTGGTTCGGCATTCGCAACCCGTCGAGATCCCTGGCCATATTTGCGACTGCCGCGAGATCTTTGGAGAACCCGCAGGCGGAGTGGATCGTGATGCCATTGATCCGTGCTGCTGCCGTCCCTGACGTCGCCGTTATTATCAGGCGATTCGATTGATCCTTGGACGCGAAGAGTTCGACGAGCGCCTCGATGACTCGCGACTTGCCCGTTCCGCCCTCTCCGCCGACGAATTGGCATAGCTGACACCCGTTGCCTTTCTCCCTGCGCCGTATGAGGTCAAGCTGACGGCATATGATTAGGAAGGCAATCGCCTGCTTCTTGTTCAGCGTGAACCTCGCTACCAGGGCCTTACCCGCCTCGATAAAGGAGGTTGAGGCGCCGAGCCGGATCTCCATTCCCGCGCTGGCCTCTACCGTTTCCTCGAGGTCCGCCGCCGTCATCAGGATATCGTCATCCCCGAAACCCGTGAGCACGCTGCGCACCGCCGCCCGACGATCAGTCACCTCTGCCGGGGGCACGCTTTGTATTCCCCGGATCATCTTCTCCCTCTCCCTGGACGCACAGGTTTGCTGCGACTTTATGGCCCTAACCTGACTCTGCGGCGGTATGGTGGCTCCGGAGGATGCCCGCCCCGGGATGTTGATTCGTCTCGGGCCCCGTTCGGATAGTATTGCGGCCTGGAACTCGGAAGACGACGAAAACGCCAGTTGCTGGAAGCGGCTGAGCTCCTGCATCATCGCTATGAGCTCTGGCGAGCCGGCCGTGATTTGGTTCGCCCCGATCGAGCTTCTGACAACGTCGATTAGACGCGTCGTGTTTCCGGTACTGTCGGCCTGGTATACCGATCCGGGCTCGACACCCGCCTCCGCGGTGCCATCCTCGTCTAGATAGACTGCCGTGGAGTCACCGTCACCGGATGAGGCTGCCCACTGCTTGGCGTCCCGCTTTGCATCTTCGGCCGACCGTCGCAGCAACTGCACGTTATCGACGTAACATGATATCCTCGGGACCAGAGCTGCTCGTTCCCTCCCCCATATGCGGTTGATGTCGCCGCTTTCTTCCCCTAAGAAGAGCTCCCAAGGCACGAACAGCGCAAGATGCTGCACAGCCGCTCTTCGACGTGGAAATTAGCCTCCTCGACCCGGCGCCCTGGTCCGTCAACGACAAACGCACCTTCGGTAGCATGATCCTTCGTCGTCTTCGTCGAAATCCTTGCTCAAATACCCGTCGAGGCAGACCATGGCCTGCTTGCCCGGTCGCCTGAGCACCTGCACCCAACGGCTTCCTGGAGCCCAGCCGCTCTCAAGCGGGACCTCGCCCCAGGCGGCGGGCCTCGTCCCCGTCGTTGCGCTTCAGCCTGACTAGCGAAATGTAATCGTAGAGACATAGCCCTCGAAGGACATCTCCCCGGTGACGATATGCCTCGACGCGGCAAATCCTCTGGCCTGCTTCCTCGACGAGTATTGACTCGTCCACGGAACCATCTGCAGTGGCTGCGCCGCTTTCGTCGAAGGTGCGGCCATTGTCGGAAGACGTGCCAGTAGAGCACCGAAACGTTCAGGAACGCCCAGGTACTGTTATTCGTCAGTTCAGTCGGGTATCCCAGAAGATCCGCAATAACCTCGACCTGCGATAACGGCCTCTCCGTAAACACGCGATTCGCCACCTTCATTAAGAATTTTCGTGTCTTATTTTGCCTGCCATCGTCCCCGGCACCTTCGCCTCCACGAACCTCCGCGCCGTCGGCCATTTCGTCGCCTGCTCTGGGAGGCAAGAGGTCCGCGGCCGCGACGACGCGCTTCCACACGGGGTCCTCTACCTTGGTCGCATAGTTGGTGACGTAAAAGACGAGGGCCATGGTCTTGCGCTGTGTGGCGATGAAGGATATGTCATGGTTGTGGCGAAGCCCCACGGCAATCGCCTTGTTCCACCGATTCACCATGCTGTGCGACCTCCGAATCCGCAGCACGCCGTCTCCCGTGAAGGCCGTCTCGTCGACCAGTCCCCATGGCGCCTTGAAGCGGCATAAATCACCCTTGCGCCCCTTTCCCAGCGAGTACTTGACACAGGTCGGGCTATGGGTATGGATTTGCGTCGCGCCGGCACAGAAGTTCGCTTCTTCGTCGAACGAGGCTGAGAATTGCCGTTCATCGCCTAGCAATTGCGATATATCTAACGTCACCGATCGCTCTGCCTGGATTGCGCAGAAACCTTCCTGGTCGAGATCCTGTCCCATTCGTCAGCATTCCTCTCGCTCGGGTTTAACTGAACGGGGGACATGGGCCAACACGCGGCCCCCTGCACCATACCTCGGAAAAGACGCTGTCGACGTATCTGACGATGCGTTCTCGGTATGCCGCTTGATCCTCGCCGTGGATATCGACAAGCATCGAGCTTAGATGCGCGTTTCCCTGCAGCCAGAGCAGTCCGTGAACATGAAGCGCCCCTCGCTCGTTGGTCTCAACGGCGCCGTAATAGTGGCTGATGCGCCCGAATACCGACTCCTCGCCCACTCTGACGTAATTTTCGAAGAACAACGTCATCTCTCGGTGGAAGAATTCGGCCGAGCTCAACGGGTCCGAGATGGCCAGCCGCGCACGTTTGAATGCCATGTCGAGGCTTCTCAGAAATGCCTCGGCCGCTTCAGGATCACGTGTGCGGTACGCCGCCAGTCTCAGCTTCACCGGGTTCGTGATGTCGTTCGGGTTGAGCGTGAACCATATTGCAGGCACGCCACGACACAAGATGAGTGACTGGATCTTGCGTCGCATGCTCAGACGGAGTTCCCTCGACATGGGCTGCCGGTAGCCGTATAGCGAAAGGCATCTTAGGAGCTCCTTCACGCCATCATCGGTGGTCTTGCCCAGGCTCTCCAACTCCAGCCTGGCCGCCGCCAACCTATCTGCGGTCAGCGACTGTACGATGCGCTCTACCTCGGGGAAGTTCTTCCGCGTCACGCTGAGCATGCTGACACGACGATTCCTCGACCGCACGTCCATGTTGAAAACGAGAAACGAGAAGATGGCATGCGTCGCGAATCGGCCACCATGGCGCCGCAGCACGATGCCGGCCCACGTCCGAAGGCTCATGTTCCGAGACGACAGGAGATCTCGCGCGGCCGTCTCGTCTCCGACTGCCGTAGCGCGCGAATTGACCGTCCTCCGACCCTAGGATGACTTCCTCCGCCAGCCGTGGTCCTCCACATCCGAACGGCAATAGGGTGGGAAAGGTCTTCGCGAAGAACGAGGCGTCCAGCGAGTCGGCGAATTCATCTCCACGACCGACGTGAATGTACGGCTCACGGACATCCATACCCCCTCGACCCGCCCCGCCGACCTTATCCATGCCCTCAGGCCCGGCCGGTCGTCCTCGGCCCCGTCGCCGCCCACGGCATTGCAAGCAAAGCGGACCTTCTCCGCATCCGACACGCCCGGCGGTCCGTCCAACGCAAACATGCCGGAAGAGGTTATCTCGTTGATCATTTTGGCCCCGTCTTCGGGCACGGCATCATTAGCCCCGTCCGCTCCGCCCCCCTCAAATTCTCGACTCGGCTTGTCCGATACGTCTTGTCCCTGGCGGAGCCGAGCAAGGACTTCCTCGATCTCTGCCGGACCATCGTCGTCCATGGCCCGCTCTGCGGGCGGCACAACCTGTGCCGTTCGCGTCTTCTCCCACGCAGACGGTTCGTTCCGCTCCATGCGTCCGTACACCATCGACGGCACGCCGTGCGACGGGGTTCCCCAACTATCCATTTCCGCCTTGTCGATCTCAATGTCGGCGTAATGGGGATTGTTCTTCTTCAACCAGACAAGCGCTCTCTCGACGACTTGACGCCTCACCGACAAGAGACCCGACAAATCGCTCGGTGCTGGCTTCTCCGCGCCCTGCCACGAGACATGGATCTCGTCCATTGTTTGCAAGAGCGGGTGCGGAGCACCTTCTCGCCAGCTCCTGCACGTTGTTTGGGAACACCGTGATGTGGCCTTGACGTGTCTCGGATACCTCACGGCCTGCCGCTGCCCGCCCGGAATGCTATACCTCGTCACAAAGCCATAACACGAGTTCAGCGAGATGAGCTTTTCTTCGACCGGCGTCAGGCCCTTGAGCTCGTCGGGGAACATGTGCTCACAGCCGAGGCGACTGTGAAGGTGGACCGCCGGCGACAGGCTCCCGCGCCCCAAACATCGAGCGCACTCCACACAAACCGAGACGGCCTCGCCTCGGGAAAGCAACTTCGACACCCAAATGGCGACCGGCCGCCTTTGGAACGCTGCTTGACCTCCATTGGTCCCATGTGCTCTCCCTCAACTCCTTCCTTGTGCACTTGCGGTAGCACAGCATGCAGGTCATTATCGGCAAGGTGCTCACATCGTGGAACGCCCGATAGAACTTTCCCACCGTCGATACCTTCCTCTCATGCGGTACTGGTGTGCACCAAGTTTGCTCGTTGGACAGCCTCTCCTTCACGGCGAATTCCTCTTCAAGGTACCGCAAGGCACTGGCCAAATCCTCCGCCTGCAATTCCTTCCTCCTCTGTCCCGGATGGCCGCCCCGTATGCGTTTCGTCAGAGACCCGTCACGGCCGGGGTGGCGCCTCCTCTTTCTCTGCTCCACGGGCCGCGAAGGTCTCGCCGCCTCGTCTCGTCTCGGCCGACCCTGTTCTCCACCTGTGGTCTGGCGTGATGGCCGCGCTGACAACAGTCCGAATGACTGCCCATCTCCTGCTGCCTCGCCCTCTCTTTGGGCTGGATTGGCCGAACCGGGTACTCCTGATATTCCCAGACGGACGCCTGACAGCGGTTGCTGGCCGACCTTCTCTTCCGGGCTACCTTGGTCTCCTCCGGCCCTTCCGCATTCTCCATTTCTTTAGGTCTGATTGGCCTTGGCGAATGCTGACTCCCGTTTCCAGCCGAAATCTCATCATCATTGTTGATCCTCCATCCTGGCGCTTTCTCCCCACACCAAGTGTCCGCTCAATAGGACCGTTCGGCCTCACCAGTACGTCCCCGCTAGATTGCCTAGGCCCAACGGTCTCAGGTCCACTTACGGCCACGACAGACGCTCTCCCACTGTCTAGGTCGTCGTCTCGCCCGACCAAGGCCTTCGGGGGACTTGGTGCTTGCATACCAACGGTGGCCGCTGCGCTCCTCCCATCACCCCCAATCCTCCTCCTCTTGGGCAAAATGTGCCGGTACGAGATCGAGTCGTTACCCTCGCACTGCAATACACCGCCGACGGGTGGCTCCAGACTCCCTCCACACGGCTTCGTACCCAGCCCCGGCATCGCAGCGTCCGTGTCCATACTCACGGGCTCGTCACGCACGTTTATCGGTGCTAAACGTCGTGCTGGCCGCACCTTCGAAATGCCATCGTTCAGATCTGATGTTCCCCTTCGCCGCCGACCGCCTCGCCGACTGCCCCTGGGCGACGCTCCTTTGAGTGCTTCCGCTTGTTCTCCCCGGGAGACCTCCTCGGCCGGCGCCTGCTTGGCCTGGATAGGCTGAAACCTGGATACCACGTTCGCCTGTCTTTCATATTCCGGCACCCGCTTCAACCCTTCATCCATTGCACTCAATCTCGCCTCCGCGGTACCCCCCGTTGCAGCAACGGCCGCTGCTGCCGTCACTATCTCGCCTTCTCCCCCCACCGATTGAACCTTGCGCCTAGGATTCTCCCCCATGATGATGCTGTCTTAACGCCGAAGATCTGCAAACGGACGATGGATCGCAAAGCTTTCGCCCGGAAGATTCTCCCAGGTTGTCTCGCTTTCTGGTAATGGTGCGCTCCGCCGTATCTGGCATTCTTCCTACCAGCGGTTTCCCAAAGCCCTATTGTCTTTATATCACCGAGGCAACACGGTAATGCTTGTCTGAGAGGGCCCCCTTCCCCCTTTTCGGACGGCCTCGACCAGCCCATGCGCAGGAACTGACACCGCAACCTATCCTGAGCGACCTTCAACCGCTCTGCCCCCGCTTCCTCCGATTCCATCGTCGCAAGTGCGCGTTTGAACAAACGTCGTATTAGACTTTCTTTTTCTCCACTGTCCATGCTGCAGCAGGCAAAGGGGTAACCCTGCCATTTGGCTCAGCTCACCCGGACGATAGCTTCCAACACCGTCATCCCCAGCTTTCCCCTCAATCCTAACAGCAACGTTCCCCAGGCCGCCTCTTCGTTTCACTCATTCGTGGCGTTGAGCACCATGTGCACCATTCTTCTCCTCATGCTTGTCATGACAAAGTTGCTCGCCCCTCCCGTCCTTTCCGTAATCCCTTCAAAATACAATAAGCTCGTTCACTCTCCGCTTCCTACTTTCCTGCTCCACGGTTGCAACAGTCGTTTGCGTGCGGGACAAAACACTGATCAACCCCACGTAGATGCAGTGATACACCATGTCTTCCTCTTCACCTCTGCCCCCACCACACCTTCGAAGGCCGCTCGACAGCCAGAGAGACGCTGGCGGTGAAATGTCCATGATGTTCTTCGTCCAGCCGGATTGCCCCTCCAGATTCGCCCACCAAGACGAGCATCGCATCAGAGGCCTCAACGCCGAGACCATGGCCCGCGTCTTCCTGCCTCCTCCGTCGTGGTTGCTCACTGCGGAATATGCGCCTCTCCGATCGGATACCGACGACTCCGCGACATCCATCTTCTTCAGCCTCAATCTCTCAATTTACAATCAGCCAGTTGTCGCCTCCGAATGGACCGAAGAGTGGTTTTTCATGAATGGCCGCGTCCATCCCTACGCCCTTGCGTGGGAGGTCGAGCAACGAGACGGTCTTGAGTCTGACGCCGGAGGCATCCTTCTCTACACTATGCCCGCCCTTATCATCCGCGACCAAGGCTACCAGCCGTAAGGACTACCAATTCCTCCGCGCACACCTCGAGCACTAAATTTAGCTGAAATGGGCCTCAAGCGTTCTTCCTAGGCTCTTTGCCTCCATGGACAGCTTCCCCCGTATCCCCCCCATCGTTTCCTTCACCGGGCTCATTGTTGGCCCCGGCCACTCCCTGCTACGACAGGACCTTCTGCCAGGTCTGGACGCCACCCAGCTGAGGTGCTGCGGCTTCCTCCAGCTTTCGACCTATATCACTCCCGGGATCCCTGACAAGATCCCTCTCAGGGGCTTCCACCCGTTTCAGGTCTTCGTCATCTTCCCCATCCGCGCCAACCCGTGGGCCATCCTTTGCAAGAAGATGGCCGAGAGGCGGGACTCTCAATTTCAGACTAATATCTCCTTCACCTGCACGGGCAAGGTCGCTGGCCTCCTCGATCACCGCGTCATGGTCCACCAGCCGAGCTCCGACAGAGACTACGTCTTCATCGTCGTCCCGGATTCTTGGACTTTTCTCGACAAGACCGCCACCACCGCAGCCGCGTCGGCCTTAGCCCTCACATCGCCACCGAAGCGGCAACCGTCCTCCGCTTCGGCGGCCTTCCAGGATGCCCGCGCTGCCTCTTTCTCTGTCGCTACACCTGGCGCCCTCCGCCGAGTCCTCCGCCTTCGGCTTCGACTTCGGCTTCGGCCGATCCCGTTACACCGCTGCAGAAGCGTCCTTGTCCCGAGCCCGCCGACACGCCAACGAAGAAACCGCGCCTGTTGCAGCTGGCCTCAAAACCTTCCTCATCGGCCGCCACTGGAAGCTCTGCCACTCAATCGTTCTCGCTTTCCGCTGCCTCTTCTTCCTTCGAGCCGGAGACGATGAGACAGAGTCCTGCCTCGGGAACCGTCTTGGGACCCGCCGTTGATTCGATCGTTGCCTACACGTCAGACTCATCGGCCCGGCCGCTCAGAAACCGCCACCCAGGCAAAAGGACAATGGAAACAGAGTAACTGCTTGATATAATAGTCTACCGATATAAGTTACAACATTCACAGAAAAGTGATTCAGTTCCATGCTTTATCTTGCTTCTTAGTGTTACGGCCAGGCACATACGAGCCTTGACGGCTATAAAGATGTATTGGCACTATGAACAAAGACTCAAAGCTAAGGAGCAAGAAAGGAAGACTAGACTACACGACCGAGCGGGCCCTTATATAGACACGAGGTCGCGCGTGGGCACGTGATGCTGCTTGGGCACGTGACACTGGTGAGGTTCTGCGCTGGCTCTCTACGCCGGCGCCCAGGGTCGTGACACTACCCCCCGTCTAAGGCCTTGATATGCGTATCAAGGTAGTCAGTCGTGGCGGCGGGTTCTTGGTTTCACGGCTTTCTGCTGTGTCGTCATCGTCTCGTTCCTCGCAGCCCTCCTCCGCTGCAGCACATTCGATCCAGTATTGCAGGTTGACGGGTGGGCCTGCTGCGTCCGGATGTTCATCGTGGAAAATCTTCAATGCCATTGGTGCGTTACGGAAATTCCTAGCCGGGTACCAGGTCTCATCAGGGTCACATCCCTTCCATAAGACCTGGTATTCCAGTCGTCGACTCCTACCGGTTACTCGAGACTGCTGGACTTGATCAACCTCCCACTCGGTTCTCCGTTGATCTCCTCGGGTGGCGGAGGTGACTGGATCTGCTGGGGCAAGGGGTTATCGGCTGCTTTTCGAAGACGGTCGGCGTGGAATAGGTTCTTCATTTTGTACGACTCGGGCAGCTGCAGTACGTAGCTATGACCGCGTTCTTCCAGGATTACGAACGGACCTGACCATTGGTTATCTAGCCGAGTAGTCGGAGCGTTCGTGGCGAAGCCTTTCCTGCTGAGAAAACTCGGTCACCGATGGCAAAGTCGGTTGGTCGTCGTTTCCTATTAGCCTGTTCCTTCTGACGTTCTTGAGCGGCGGTGGCAGCATTCCTGGCGTCTTCCTGGGTTTCCTGGGCGGTCTGCACAAGTTCCCTAGCTCTGGCGGCGGGTCCGGTGGCAGCGGTCTTGTCAGTCGGGGCAGTGACAGGGGGTCCGGATATCTCGGCCTAGGGCTACTTTTAACGGTGCCATGTCGATGGAAGAGTGCCAAGACGAGTTATGGGCGAAGTCGAGGGCGGGCAGCAGGGAACTCCAGTTATCTTGATGCTTCGTCACGTAGAATCGTAGCTTTTGATCTAGGTATTGATTTGTAACTTCTACACCCCCTTGGGTCTGAGGGTGTAGGGAGCTTCCATGACGATGCTTCGTTCCCGTGAGCCGGTTAATCTCTGCGAGGAAGGCAGAAATAAACTGTCCAGCGTTGTCAGAAATCCATACGAGGGGCATACCGAAGAAACGATAGAGGTAGCGGAAGTAGCGGCTAGCTAAGACTTCTGCCGTATCGTTTTTCTTTCCTGGGAGCGTGGCGATAATCCGGCTTAGCTTGCAGACGAAGGTCCAAACATAGTCATATCCGTAACGGTCTTTCGGCATATCCTTCCCGTCACATTCGACGTGCTCCCAAACAGAGGTCGGTACGGGCAGTGGATGGAGCAGTCCAGGGGTCTTGTCTCGAGGGGTTTTGTTGCGGCGGCAGTCGTGGCAGTTCCGAATATAACGACGGATATCCTCCTTCATCCTTGGCCAGTAGAAGTCTCGTTGGAGCAGCTTGATCACCTTGTTCTGTCCGGCGTGAGCGAAGATCTGGGGTTCGTGGGCTTCGCGAATGAGCGCGGTCTGAAGAAACGTCTGCTTGTCTGAGGTCTGGGCTGGTACGACCAGGTGTGTTCCATGGGTACCGAGGTCTTGGAGGAGGTTCTCTTGGCGGATCAACGAAACGAGTTCGGCTCCCTTCGGGACCGAGTTCGGGTCTAGTTCTGGGCGGTCTTGATCGGGCGTCTGCTGTATCCTCGGTCTTCTGGGGTCTGTAGGGCACTCGTGGCCCTCAGAACTAATGGTCTAGTAGGCTTAGGTTCGGGACTAAAGTTCTGAGGGGCAGGTTGCCGGCGGCCGTAGGGTCTAGAGAGTCGGTCGCGAAGCCTAGCCTTTCCGGAGGGATCACCGTGCGTTCCTCGGCTTCCCGGGCCTTTACGGTAGGGAGCTCCGCTGTCTTCCTGAGAGGGCATCGGCGACTACGTTCAGTCGACCGGGGCGGTAGAGGAAACGGATGTCGAACTGGGCGAGAAAGTCGGACCATCTGATCTGTCGTACCGAGAGCAGGCGCTTCGTAGAGAAATGGACTAAGGCTTCGTGATCGGTGATCACATCGAACTTCTGGCCTAAGAGCTCTGGGTAGAAGTGCTCTAGACTCTGTACGACGGCGAGGAGCTCTCGATCTTGGATTGGGTAGGCTCGCTCGGCCGGGGTCATGGTCTTAGAGAAGAATCCAACGGGCTTCCAGGTCTGATCAGGCTGTTCCTGCCATAGAACACCAGCTGTGGCATTCCGGGAGGCATCGGTCTCCAGTCGGGTCGGCAGTTCTGGTCTAAAGAAGGCGAGGACCGGGGCTTCGATAGCCAGGCGCTTGAGTTGATCAAATGCTTCGCGTTGCTCCGGGCCCATCACAAAGGCAACATCCTTCTTAAGCAACCGGTTCAAGGGTTCTGCCACTCCGGAGGCGTGGTAGCAGAAAACACGGATGAAGTTGCATAGGCCAACGAATGATCGGATCGCGGTGCGGTCTCGGAGGTCTTCAAACTTCCAGTCTTGTATCGATCGAACTTTCCGAGGGTCGACACTAAGGCCCACACCGGCTTCAAGCAGAACGCCGAGGTAGTCAACCTTGGTCACGTTAAATCTAGACTTCTTGATGTCTCCTGAGGTTGGCCTGATGGAGTCGCCAGATCACTTCTTGACAGTCTTTCCAGTGGTCTTCTTCTTTATCCGAGTAGATCAGGACGTCATCTGCGTAGGCGCTGGCGCACCGGTCGAGGAGATCGTGAAGCTGCGCGTTGATAAACTGCTGGAACCAGGCGGGACCTACCTTCAGACCGAACGGGAGGACTTTCCAGCGGAAAGTTCCGAAACGGTGCGAAAGGCGGTCAAATACTCGGAGTCAGGGTCCATGCGGAGACGGTGGAAGGCCTGGATCACATCGATCTTCGTGAAGCGTTGAGCTTCACGGCAACCAAAGCAGTACCTTCGAGGACGGAGCGGGCGTGATGCGACTTTTAAGATGATCGTTCATCCAACGGTAGTCGATGCAGAAGCGGCGGGCGGTCGTGTTCGGTTTCGGAGCGAAGAGGACAGAAGCGGCGTGCGGACTCGGATCGGGCTCGATGAAGTCTATCTCCGGAGGTGATCGACAGTCTCTTTCTAGAGGCAGATACTTAACGGGCGTGCGGTACGATGGGGTCCTGTCGGCGAAAGAGGCTTCTCAAGCTCTAGGACTACATCGTGACCGGGTCGGCTCGAAGGTAGGTGTGGGCCTCTTTCTTCGAGAAGAATCCTCTAGATGGGTGAGCTGGGGCGGTAGACGACTACGGACACAAGCAACATGCTCAGGGTCTTCTCCTGAGGGAACGGAATGCTTTGTCCCTGGTAGGTCTTCTGATCCGGGAGACTTTAGCAACGGTTCGAGCACTAGGGACGGTCTGGTCAAGGCCGGAGCTTGGCTCGAGCTGGACTGGATCCCGGGCATCAACGGTTCGAGTTCGTTCCACTGTTCGAATCTCTCGTGAGACTCTACTTGGCAGACCAGGGCGTTAATCAGGGCTTGATCTTCGGAGGCTTGGACCGAGGCGACGGAGACGAAGTCGGTAGCAGGGGCGGTCGTGAGCTGAAAACGGACAGACTTCTTGGCAGACGGAGACTTGGACTGAAACGACGGAGACGGAGTCGGTAACGGGTCGGGACAGAGGCCGGAGGAGCTTGATCAGAGCGGCGCCAGTTCTTGTGGAGGATCCGGTAGCGTTTCTCCTCTTTCTCGAGCAGGCGGTTCCGCCTCTCAGCGTCGGCCTGGATCTTAGGGTCGATCCGACCCGAGAGCGGGGCTTGACGAGAGAGCTGGATCGTCGGGAGATTCTGGCCAGATGATCTGTCGGGCGGCGCAGTCAAGCAGGAGGCGCTTCTCCGCATCCAGAAAAGACCGATAAAGATATCATGGCCACACTCAGCTATATCAAATGTCTCGTTTGCGAACGAACGGCCATCGATGACGAAAGTGGCGACCAGCTGTTTCTGGATATAGCCGGCTGGCTTTCCACGGAAGTCTTGGAGGGGAATCCGACTCGGGAGCTCCTTAATCTGGGCTCCGAGTCTTTGGGCGGCGGACTGGGCGAAGGTTGGGCTAACCAGCAAACGGGTTTCGGCTCCGGTATCACAGAGGGAGCGGGCAGGTAAGCTCACACCATCCACTTGGACTTGACTTGGCAGAGTGAATGACTTGCTAGACCTACTCGCTATCTGTGACACCTTAGGGACCATCAAGGAGTCTTGTGATGGTCCTATTCGTTTCCGAATCTTGATCAGAGTCGTTGGCAGGGACAGGGACGGAGGCGACACGGGAGACAGCATGGGTGCGGTCGGGACAGTCGCGAGAGAGTGCCCTGTTTTCCACAAATAAAGCAGGTGCCATTATCCCAATGGACCCTTTCTCATCGTCGGTCAAGGCTCTGCCAGCATCACGCGAGGTGATAGGGTCGAGCCGGTCTTGTTCGGAGTCTTGGCGGTAGTCGGAGCAGTCTTAGTCGGCGCGCGGCGAGATCGGTCGGAAGAGCGGGAGTCCTGTGTCTGCCTCATACTCCTCTTCTGGCAGTGGACAGCGTCCTTAATGAACCCACAGAAAACCTCGTAGGTCACGGACTCGTCACGGGTCTTGGTCAAGAGGCTGTTATCTAGGTTGGCCGGGATGTGCTGCCACAAGGTATGCTTCATCTGGTCCTCGGGCACACGACCGGTCGCAGTTAAGTAGTCAAATTCCGCAAGGAAGTCCACAATGTCGGTCTTCCCATTCACGGTAAACTGGAGGCGTTGCAGGCGGTCAAGAGCCTCGGAAAGCTCATTCGGATTGCCATAGGCGGACTCGAGGGCTTGATCATCTCTGCCACTCCAGAGAAGGGTCGAGTGTCAGAGGAGAAGCGGGTTTCAAGTGCTCGGCGGGCTTTTCCTCGAGCAGGTTATACAGACAGACCATCCGGCTGTTCTCAGTCCGGAAGGTTCGTACGTCTTCGTCAAATTTGTTCTTTATGCTCAGGATGAAGGAATGGAACTCGTCCTTCTTTCCTGAGAACGTCGCGGAGGCCTTGATGCGCGATTTGGCGGCGTCGCTGTACTCGGGGTTCTTGCCCTCTGGGAAGGGGGCAAAAACAGGCCAGGCAGCTTTGCCTGTTGGTCGGAAGGCCGGGCCATTTGGGCCGGCAAAAGCAGTCGAGGGCTCCCGGTGCTGTCGATTTGATTCAACAGACAGAGAGCGTTCATTTAGACGGGCCGTTAAGGCCGCAATCTGTTCCTCATCTCGCGGATGAGAGCGTCTTGGGGCTCGGGGCAGCCATGGCTACTATTTCGGATTCAGTGGCTTGGCCAGCAAGCCGGGTGGAACGGCGAGGCTGATCAGAGGCAGGGCTTCCTCGGATATCATAGTCGCGAGGTGATAGGTGTCGGAAATGATACCACGCGGAATCACGGTCAGATGCCTGCACGAGCAGGGACGGTCGGAGGTCAGACGGGACGAATCCCTTGGTCGGAACGGTTGGTCGGACGGCTACACACACGCGTAGTCTTGGTCGGAACGGACGTGATCTCAGCCTTGAGGATCACTTGGTCGGTGGTCGGAGTCTTGGTCGGAACGGTCAGAACGGATGCGCTGGATTTACGTCAGGCGCGTGTGACGTGAAAGCTCGGTGCCTATTTGCTTAATCGCTGGCAAGCGATCTTATTGAGCTTTGAGTAGTGTTACGGCCAGGCACATACGAGCCTTGACGGCTATAAAGATGTATTGGCACTATGAACAAAGACTCAAAGCTAAGGAGCAAGAAAGGAAGACTAGACTACACGACCGAGCGGGCCCTTATATAGACACGAGGTCGCGCGTGGGCACGTGATGCTGCTTGGGCACGTGACACTGGTGAGGTTCTGCGCTGGCTCTCTACGCCGGCGCCCAGGGTCGTGACACTTAGCAAATATCTACACCGAGCTGCAATCTTACAACACTCCGTCCACAACTTCGGATCTCGTCATCATTCCCTTCCGGACCTTCCCTCTCTAGTGATCTTCTCTCGGCACGCATGCCTTTTTGTGAACCTTCCAGTCCGCCTTTTGGTGTTCTTTCCGCAGTATGCCACTGCATGACATCTGCCGCAGCGACTCACGCCCGCGGTCGTCCCGCATACTTTGCACAACGTGGCCTCCGTGCAACCAGTGCGTCCTAAGAACCCGTCGCGTGTTTCGTGCTCTTGCCGCATTTCCCATCATCAGTTGCATTTCCTGTCTCATTTCCACCTCGCACTGCCCGCTTCCGCATAAAGATGTGACCCAAACTATAATGCGAGCTTCGTCCGCGTGCAGCAAAGATATTGGACTCTGTAGGATATCTGTCGCAAACCGCCCGCAGCATTCGCAGAAAGCCCCCGACGCGCTGCGACATCTTGATTCATGCTCCTTCATGAGAGGCATCATGGCCTGTGCAAATTGTTCCTTGTATTCAGCATCCTCTCCGGCGCGGTTTGCGCCGGTGATGAGGCTCCGGGCAATGCCGTGGCTGCGTATGAATTGCTTGGCACCGATTTGGCACATGAATTCGAATCGAACCGTGGACGTTGCCATAACTGACTTGGCCGTGATTTAGATGCTATGGGTGATAATGCGTAGGTAGGTACGTGCCTTGAGGAACGAAAAGGCTCTTCTGGACGCGAAAAAAACCCCAAAAACCCCCAAACCTACTTTACCCTCGAAACCCTTGGCTTCTGATTGGAGAACCCATCTTGGCTGCTGATTGGAGAGCTTTTAAATCCCGGCTTCCCTTGGTCGCTTAATGATTACTTACCCTTTCGTCCTAGCCCCTTTGTTTCGCCTTCCGGCGCAGTTCGCCCTCCGGTCCTGCCAGCGACCTAACCTCGCGACTAGGACTCAGCTCCTCGTGAAACCGGTTTTTGGCCTTTTCCGACCAAACCCCTCTCCGCACCCCTGACACGAGCATGGTGCCGTCCAGCGCCTGCGCCCGGCATCGCGATAGCTACACGTCCAGGCCCGTGCCTTTAGAGTCCAGGGAATCAACGTCTAGCCATCCCGAGGCCTCGCGGACAGTCTTGTCGCTCAGCTGGCCCAGCCTCGCTTCTGCGTCTGTCATCTCGTCTGGCACCTTGTTGCCCACCAGGTCCCTCTCCCGCAATTTCGAGACCAGCATAATGCCGTCCAGCGTCGGGCAGCGAGACAGCTGCACGTACAGGCTGTACGGGTCGCACTGCGAGGACACGGCGCGTCCGTCGATGTTTGACGTCCGCGTTCCCCGCAGCTCCAGAGCTACACGCTCGAGCGTCCTGCCCTGCACTTTATAGTCTGTGCACGCGAAGGCTGCCGTACAGGGCAGGCCCTTTCGGCTGACGTCGTTCTGCTGCCACGGCCTCTTTCGCTGGCACTGTATTTTGACCGTCATGGGCGTCAACAGGACCGTGCCTGGCGGCATCCCGACGAAGTGAACGTCGTTCGTCGTCTCCGACTCCAGCATTATCCCCGCCGGCGGCCCGAAATGGACCGTCGTGTCTGCCGTGATACGATGCCCCGGGTACGACTTGTCGAGGACGACCTCCAGCGCCGTGTAGCCGGCGCCGTTCACCAGCTTTAGCCCCTGATGGGTGTTATGGTTCACGACGACCGGCATCCCCGGCACGAACATGAAGACGGCCGGCACCGGGATCGCGCTGTCGTCGCCCTGGTTCAGCATCATGATGGCCTCTTCCTCCGTCGGCAGGGCCTCCTTCCACGTATGATCCGAGATGAAGATGCGCATCACTGACCGCTGCTGGGCCCGGAACGCCAAGCTGGCCTCCATGTTGAGGTTCCACCGGTTCCTGTTCAGCGGCGTCACCACGGTGATGCACGTCTCCCACGGGATCCGCCTGCCTTCCCGGTAGCATCTTGAGTTGAGGAGGTCCAGATCCGAGCGGTCCTGCACGCCCAGTCGAATCCGCCTTAGCAGCCTCTGCAATTCCGGATCTCCGCGGCGCGCACCTGCTCGTCCAGCATGACCGTGGTCGTGAATCTCTTCCACAACGCGTGCGCCTTGTCGTGCTGGTGCCGTGTCTCGGCCTTGAAGGAGCTGTCTACGTCCCACGAGACGGCGGTGCTGGGAGGAGGATCGAGCGTTCTTGGACGGGGCGGAATTGGTGGAAGTCTCCGCAGAAGAGGACGATCGGAATACCTCCAAAATCCTGGTGCGACCCGCGCAGCCGGCAGAGCTGCTCGTTCACCGCGTGTAGCGTCCGCGCCCCGAGCATGCTCACCTCGTCGATGACGAGCACGTCCTTCTCCTGCCAGTCCATCCGGGATTGCCCGTCGACGAACCGCTCCGCCTGTTTCGGCAGTCGCACCCCGTCGAGATCCTTGGCCGCGTTTGCGGCTGCCGCGAGATCTTTCGAGAACCCGCAGGCGGAGTGGATCGTAATGCCGTTGATCCGCGCTGCTGCCGTCCCCGACGTCGCCGTTATCATCAGACGATTCGATTGATCCTTGGACGCGAAGAGCTCGACGAGCGCCTCGATGACTCGTGACTTGCCCGTTCCGCCCTCTCCACCGACGAACTGGCACAGCTGGCGTACGTTGCTTTTCTCCCCGCGCCGTATCAGGTCAAGCTGGCGGCATATAATTAGGAAGGCGATCGCCTGCTTCTTGTTTAGCGTGAGCCGCGCTGCCAGGGCCTTGCCCGCCTCGAGGAAGGAGGTTGAGGCACCGAACCGGATCTCCATTCCCGCGCTGGCCCCGCTACTCCTTCCTCGAGCTCCGCTGCCGTCATCTGGACGTCGTCATCCCCGAAACCCGTGAGCACGCCCCGCACGCCGCGCGGCGACCAGTCACCGGTGCCGTGGACAGGCTTTGTATGCCCCGTATCATCTTCTCCTCTCCTGGATGCGCGGATTTGCTGCGACTTTATGGCCCTAACCTCACTTTGCGGCGGTATGGTGGCTCCGGAGAATGCCCGCCCCGGATGTTGATTCGTCTTGGGCCCCGTTCGGGTAGTATTGTGGCCTGGACCTCGGAAGAAGAGGACAGCGCCGATTGCTGAAATCGGCTGAGCTCCTGCATCATCGCCGTGAGCTCCGGCGAGCCGGCCGTGATTTGGTTCGGCCCGATCGAGCTTCTGACAACGTCGATTAGGCGATTCGTGCTTCCCGCACTGTCGGCCTGGTATCCCGATCCGGGCTCGACACCCACCTCCCCGGTGCCGTCCTCGTCCGGACGTACTGCCGTGGGGTCGCCGTCACCGGACGAGGCCGCCCACTGCCGTGCGTCCCGCTTTGCATCTTCGGCCGACCGTCGCAGCAACTGCACGTTATCGACGAAACATGATATCCTCGGGGCCAGGGCTGCTCGTTGCCGCCCCCATATGCAGTTGATGTCGCCCCTTTCTTCGTCTAAGAAAGACTCCACGGCACGAACAGCGCAAGATGCTGCACAGCCGCTCTTCGCCATGGAAATTAGCCTTCTCGACCCGGCGCCTCCGGCCCGTCGACGACAAACGCACCTTCGGTAGCACGACCCTTCGTCGTCTTCGTCGAAATCCTTGCTCAAATACCCGTCGAGGCAGACCGTGGCCTGCTTGCCCGGTCGCCTGAGCACCTGCGCCCAACGGCCTCCCGGAGCCCAGCCGCTCTCGAACGGGACCTCCCCCCAGCCGGCGGGCCCCTCGTCCCTTTCGTTGCGCTTCAGCCTGACCAGCGAAACGTAGTCGTAGAGACACAGCCCTCGAAGGACGTCTCCCCGATGACGGTATGCCTCGACACGGCAAATCCTCTGGCCTGCTTCTTCGACGAGTATTGACTCGTCCACAGAGCCATCTGCAACGGCTGCGCCGCTTTCTCGTCGAAGGTGCGGCCATTGTCGGAAGACTTGCCAGTAGAGCAACGATACGTTCAGGAACGCCCAAGCACTGCCATTCGTCAGTTCAGTCGCGCATCCCAGGAGGTCCGCGACGACCTCGACCTGCGATAACGGCCTCCGTAAACACGCGATTCGCCACCTTCATCAGGAACTGCCGTGTCTTATTCTGCCTGCCATCGTCACCGGCACCACTGTCTCCACGAACCTCCGCGCCGTCGGCCATTCCGTCACCTGCCCTGGGAGGCAAGAGATCCGCGGCGGCGGCGACGCGCTTCCATACAGGGTCCTCCACCTTGGTCGCATAGTTTGTGACGTAAAGATGAGGGCCATCGTCTTACGCTGTGTGGCGATGAAAGATATGTCATGGTTGTGGCGAAGCCCCACGGCAATGGCCTTGTTCCACCGATTCACCATGCTGTGCGACCTCCGAATCCGCAGCACGCCGTCTCCCGTGAAGGCCGTCTCGTCGACCAGTCCCCACGGCGCCTTGAAACGACATAAATCGCCCTTGCGCCCCCTTGCCCAGCGAGTACTTGACGCAGGTCGGGCTGTGGGTATGGATCTGCGTCGCGCCGGCACAGAAGTTCGCTTCCTCGTCGAACGAGGCTGAAAATTGCCGTTCGTCGCCCAGAAATTGCGATATATCTGACGTCACCGATCGCTCGGCCTGCATTGCGCAGAAGCCTTCCTGGTCCAGATCCTGTCTTGTTCGTCAGCTTTCTCGGCTTTGACAGACGGAGGACGCAGGTCAACACGCCGGCCCCGCTCATACCTCGGAAAGACACTGTCGACGTATCTGACGATGCGTTCTCGGTATGCCGCTTGATCCTCGCCGTCGATATCGGCAAGCATCGAGCTTAGATGCACGTTGCCCTGCAGCCAGAGCAGTCCGTGAACATGGAGCGCTCCACGCTCGTTGGTCTCGACGGCACCGTAATAGTGGCTGATGCGCCCGAACACCGACTCCTCGCCCACTCTCACGTAATGTTCGAAGAACAACGTCATTTCTCGGTGGAAGAATTCGGCCGAGCTTAACGGGTCCGAGATGGCCAGCCGCGCACGTTTGAACGCCTTGTCGAGGCCTTGCAGGAATGCCTCGGCCGCTGCGGGATCACGTGCGGTATGCCGCCAGTCTCAGCTTCACCGGGTTCGTGATGTCGTTCGGGTTGAGCGTGAACCAGATTGCAGGCACGCCACGACATAAGATGAGTGACTGGATCTTGCGCCGCATGCTCAGACGGAGCTCCCTCGACATGGGCTGCCGATAGCCGTACAGCGAAAGGCATCTTAGAAGCTCCTTGACGCCATCGTCGGTAGTCTTGCCCGACGTCTCCAGCTCCGCCCTGGCGGCCGCTAACCTATCCGCTGTCAGCGACCGTACGATGCGCTCCACCTCGGCGAAGTTCTTCCGCGTCGCGCTGAGCATGCTGACCCGACGATTCTTCGACCGCACATCCATATTGAAAACGAGAAACGAGAAGATGGTATGCGTCGCGAATCGGCCACCATGGCGCCGCAGCACAATGCCGGCCCAGGTCCGAAGGCTTATGTTCCGAGACGACAGAAGATCTCGCGCCGCCGTCTCTTCTCCAGCAGCCGTACCCGCCAATTGACCGGCCCCTCGGGTCCTAAGATGACTTCCTCCGCGAGCCGTGGTCCTCCAAATCCGAACGGCAGTAGGGTGGGAAAGGTCTTGGCGAAGAACGAGGCGTCGAGCGAGTCGGCGAATTCGTCTCCGCGACAAACGTGGATGTATGGCTCGCGGACATCCGTGCCTTCTTGACCCGCCTCCGCCGACCTTATCCATGCCCTCGGCCCTTGCGGTCGTTCTCGGCCCCATCGCCACCCACGGCATTGCACGCAAAGCGGAGCTTCTGCGTCCGACACTTCCGGCGGTCCGTCCAATGCAAACATGCCGGAAGAGGTGATCTCGTTGATCGTTTTGGCTCTGTCATCGGGCTCAGCATCGTCAGTCCCGTCCGCTCCACTCCTCGGATTCTCGACTCCCCCTGTCCAATACGTCTTGTCCTTGGAGGAGCTGGGCGAGGACTCCTTCGATCTCCGCCGGACTATCGTCGTCCATGGCCCGCTCTGCGGGCGGCACGACCTGCGCCGTTCGCGTCTTCTCCCACGCAGACGGCTCGTTCCGCTCCATGCGGTCGTAGACCACCCGCGGCACACCGTGTGATGGTGTTCCCCAGCTATCCATTTCCGCCCTATCAATCTCAATATCGGCGTAATGGGGGTTATTCTTCTTCAACCAGATAAGCGCTCTCTCGACGACTTGACGCCTCACCGACAAGAGACCCGATAAGTCGCACGGTGCTGGCTTCTCCGCGCCCTGCCACGAGACGTGGATCTCGTCCATTGTTTGCCAGAGCGGGTGCGGGAGCACCCTTCTCGCCAGCTCCTGCACGTTGTTTGGAAACACCGTGATGTGGCCCTTGACATGTCTCGGATACCTCACTGCCTGCGTCTGCCCGCCCGGAATGTTATACCTCGTCACAAAGCCGTAACACGAGTTCAACGAGATGAGCTTCTCTTCGACCGGCGTCAGCCCTTCAGCTCGTCGGGAACATGTGCTCGCATCCGAGGCGACTGTGAAGGTGGACCGCCGACGACAGGCTCCCGCGCCCCAAGCATCGGGCACACTCCACACAAACCGAGACGGGCTCACCCCGGAAAGCAGCTTCGGCACGCAAATGGTGAGCGCTCACCCCGAGGAACGGGACTTGATAGCCACTGATCCCACGGAATCTCCCTCAACTCCTTCCTTGTACGCTTGCGGTAACACAGCCTGCAGGTCATTATCGGCAAGGTGCTCACATCGTGGAACGCCCGATAAAACTTTCGCACCGTCGATACCTTCCTCTCATGCGGTATTGGTGTGCACCAGGTTTGCTCCTTAGACAGCCTTTCCTTCGCGACGAATTCCCCTTCGAGGTAAAGCAAGACACTGGCCAAATCCTCTGCCTGCAGCTCACTCCTCCTCTGCCTCGGATGGCTTCCTCGAGTACGTTTCGTCGGGGTCTGGTCTCGGTCACGCTGGCGGTTCCTCTTTCTCTGTTCTACGGCCTGCGAGGATCTTTCCGCTGCCTCGTCTCGCCACGGCCGATCTTGTTCTCCCGCCGCCGCCTGGCGTGATGGCCGTGGTGGCAACCATCCGGATGACTGCGTATCTCCTGCCCTGCCTTGCATCTCTCTGGGTTGGGTTGGCTGAACGAGGGCTCCTGACGACTCCAGACGACATCGTGACAGCGGTTGCCGGCCAATCCTGTCCCGCCTGGCATCCGGATGACTGTATATCTCCCGCTCTATCTTCTATTGCTCTAGGTTGGATTGGCCGAATGAGGCGCTCCCTGACGGCTGTAGACGAAATCCCGACACTGTTTGCCGGCCGACCCTGTCCTTTCTGGCGTGATGGCGGCGGTGGCCACCGTCCGGATGACTGCGTATCTCCTGCGCCATCATCCATCTCTTGAGGTCGGATTGGCCGAACCAGAAGCTCCCTGACGACTCTAGGCGAGTTCCCGACAGGGCTTGCCGGCCGATCCTGTCCTCCTGGGCGGCAGGTGTCCTCGGAGCCCATTGGCCCTGTCCGCGCACCACGGCTTCGCCTTCCAGACGTGCCCTCTGGACGCCCTCCACGAGCCCTCCTTCGAGGAGGAACTATCGACGTTAGTCGTCCTTTCCGCGGCCAGCCGCCTCGCCGACTTCCCTTGGGCAACGCTCTTTTGAGTGCCTCTGCCTGCTCTCTTCGTGAGGCATCGTCGGCCGCCGCGGCCGGCTTGGCCTCAATAGGCCGGAACCTGGGTGCCGCGTTTCCTTGACTTTTGTGGCCCGACGCCCGCTTCGGCCCTTCGTCCATTGCGATCGGTCTCGCCGCCGCGATACTCCTCGTCGCAGCAGCGGCCGCTGCTGCTGTCCCCGTTTCGCACTCTCCTGCCACCGATCTTACCTCGCGGCTACGATTCTCCCCCATGCTGGTGCTGTCTTATCGGCAAGGCTCCGCAAACGAACGATAGATTAGGAAGCCTTCGCCCGGGATATACCCCGAGATTGTCTCGCTTCCTGGCAATGGCGTTCCGCCGCGTTGGCATTCTTCTTGCTAACGGTTATATCCTTCCTTGTTAATATCCCTTTCTGCATTAGACCTCTCTCTCGGACCTGCCGGGCTTCCTTTGTGCCTATCGACAGGCCTATCTGCCGACAGCCCTAGTTTTCGCCATCCTATGCCGGTAGCCCTGCCGGACACTTTAATCCGCGTCGCCCTTGCTGCCCGATCAGTACCCAGCTCCGCAACACCACGACGCATCTCTTTGACGTCTGCTTACTTACAGCGGCAAGGCTCCTCGCTCTTCCCGGCGAATCCATACCACTATTGATCTACTATAAGTGCGTCTACGCTCGACTTCTTCCCTACTCCTTTCTTGACGCTGAGAACCCGTCCTTTTAGTGCGTGCAAGTGGCCTATCGACCTGCGCAGATGCACTATGTCTTCCTCTCTACTTCGTACCGATATGCCCGCACCGCACCTTCGAAAGCCGCTCGATAGCCAAAGGGGCGCTGGCGGTGAGATGTCTATGATGTCTTTTGTCCAGCCGGACTGTCCTGCTAGATTTTCCCACCAGGACGACCACCGCATCAGGGGTCTTAACGCCGAGGCCATGGCCCGCGTCTTCCTGCCTCCTCCCGCCTGGCTGCTCGCGACGGAATATGCGCCCTCCGATCGGATGCCGATGATTCCCCGACATCCGTCTTTTAGCCTCAACCTCTCCATCTACGGCCAGCCTATTGATCCTCCGACTGGACCGAAGAGTGGTTTTCATGCATGCCCGCGTCCACCCCTACGCGCTCGCATGGGAGGTTGAGCAACGCGACGGCCTCGAGTCTGACACGGGCCGCACCTTTCTATACGATGCCCGCCCTTGTCGTCCGCGATCAGGGCTACCAGCCGTAAGCCGTGCCCTGACCCTTCGCGAGTGCCGACGAAACGGTATATGGCTAAGATGGGCTTGAAGTGTTCTCCTAGGCTCTTTGCCTCCATGGGCGACTTCCTGCATCCCGCCTATTGTTTCCTTTACCGGCCTTATCGTCGGCACCGGCCACTCGCTGCGGCGGGACCTACTGCCCGGTCCAGGCGCCGCCCAACTTAACTGTTGCGGATTTGTCCGCCTTTCTACCTATGTCGCTCCTGGGATGCCTAATAAGGTCCCCTTCAAGGGCTTCCACCCGTTCCAGGTCTTCGTTATCTTCCCTGTTCGCGCTAACCCCTGGGCCATCTTGTGTAGGAAGATGGCCGAGAGGCAGGACTCTCAATTTCAGCCTAACGTCCCCTTTACCTGCACAGGCAAGGTCGCTGGCCTGCTCCGTCATGATGTCATGCTCTACCCCCCGGGCTCGGACCGGGACAACGTCTTTATCGTCGTCCCGGATTCCTGGACTTTTCTCGACAAGGCCGCCGCCGCCGTCACCACGATGGCACCGCTTCTCTCTACGCCACAGAGGCAACAAGCTTCCTCCGCTTCCGCGGCCTTCCGGGACGTGCGCGCTGCCTCTTTGTCTTTGATCACCCCTGGCACCCTCCCGCTCAGTCCTCCACCCTTGGCTTCGGCTTCGCCTCGACCGGCCACCTTACGCCGCCCGAAACGATATTGCCCTGAGCCTGCCGATCCGCCGACGAAGCGACCGTGTCTGCTGCATAAGGCCCCGGTGATCTCGTCTTCCCTAAGCCCGCCTCCTCTGCTACCCACTCGTTCTCTGTTTCGGCTGCCTCCGCCGCTCATGAGCCGGACAACCTAAGCCGGGTCCTGACTTACGGGACTCTTCCCTCGATTCCATTGTCGCCCATGGCTTGGGCTCGCCGGCCCGTCCGCTTCGAAACCGCCACCTATCTAAGAAAGCTACGGAAATGGAATAGCGTACGCTGCTATAACTCCTTAAATGGGAAGTGTTTTTCGTCCAGCCTGGCTGCCCCTTGGTCGTCGTTACCTTTCTGCCTCTGTACATCTGTCTGCCCCTTGTCTAGACGTTTTTTTCGTTCCTCAAGGCTCTTTGCGCAACCCTGTTGGGTTGCCTCTCCCGTATGCCCCACCCCCGGTTTTGCCCCTCGAAATCCCCGCTTCTGATTCGCTCGGTCGATTGGCTACGGTCATTTCGCCTTCGGTTGGGCCTTTCGCCTTCTGTTTGTCATGTCCTGGGGCATCTGATTCGCTTGTCCGTGCCCTGAGACTTCTGATTGCCCAGAATAATAAACCGCTTTCGCTTCTGGCCCGTTGAAAACCCCTTCCCATTCGCTTGTGCCGCCTGCTCCACCGGTCGCCCCGACCCAATTTTTCCCATTAGTAATGAAGTCCTTGCAAGGGTCGGGGGTGGGGCATAGCTAAGTTATTGGTGTCGCGCCCTCTTGGGTTAAGTTACCTACTGCTCACCGTCTCTGTCCCCCGCGCTCTCACCGAGCCTGTTGCACATCGCTTCCCGAACAGTTCTATCGCTCAGTTCCTCCAGCCTCGCTTGTGCGGCGGTCATCTCCCCGGGGACCCGGTTTCCCACTAGGTCTCTCTCTCGCACTTTCGACACGAGCATGATGCCGTCCAGCGTCGGGCACCGTGACAGCTGCACGTATAGGCTGTACGGGTCGCACTGCGACGGGACGGCGCGTCCGCCGACGTTTGTCGTCCTCGTCCCCCGCAGCTCGAGCGCCACGCGCTCCAGCGTCCCCCCCTGCACCTTGTAATCCGTGCACGCGAAAGCGGCGGCGCACGGCAGGCCCTTTCGGCTGACGTCGTTCTGCTGCCACGGTCGCTTCCGTTGACACTGGATCCTGACGCTCATGGGCGTCAGCAGGATCGTGCCGGGCGGCATCCCGACGAAGTGGAAGTCCTTGGTCGTCTTCGACCCCAGTATTATCGCCGCCGGCGGCCCGAAGTGGATCGTCATGTCGGCCGAGATCCGATGCCCCGGGTGCGCCTTGTCGACGATGACCTCCACCGCCGTGTAGCTAGCACCGTTCACCAGCTTCAGCCCCTGGTGGTGTTGTGGTTCACGACGACCGGCATCCCCGGCACGAACATGAAGACGGCCGGCACCGGGATCGCGCTGTCGTCGCCCTGGTTCAGCATCATGATGGCCTCTTCCTCGGTCGGCAGGCCGTCCTTCCACTTGTGCTCGGAGAGGAAGATGCGCACCGTCGACCGCTGCTGGATCTGGAACGCCAGGCTCGCCTCCATGTTGAGGTTCCACCGATTCCTGTTGAGCGGCGTCACCACGGTGATGCCCGTCTCCCACGGGATCCGCCTGCCTTCCCGGTGGCACCTCGAGTTGAGGAGATCCAGGTCCGTGTGGTCCTGCACGCCCCCGCGGATCCGCTTCAGCAGCCGCTGCAGCTCCGGGTCGCCGGCGGCGCGCATCTGCTCGTCCAGCATGACGGCCGTCGTGAACCGCCTCCACAGCGCGTGCGCCTTGTCGTGCTGGTGGCGCTGCTCGGCCCTGAACGAGTTGTCCTCGTCCCACGAGACGGCCGCGCTCGGCAGCAGGATCGACCTCTCCTGGACCGGGCGGAACTGGTGGAAGTCCCCGCAGAAGAGGACGATGGGGATCCGCCGAAGTCCCGCTGCGATCCCCGCAGCTGGCAGATCCGCTCGTTGACGGCGTGCAGCGTCCGCGCGCCGAGCATGCTCACCTCGTCGATGACGAGCATGTCCTTATCCTGCCAGTCCATCCGAGACTGGCCGTTGACGAACCGCTCCGCCTGCCTCGGCAACCGCACGCCGTCGACGTCCCTCGCCGTGTTCGCGCCCGGCCCTTGGTCCTGGGTGAAGCCGCAGGCCGAGTGGATGGTGATGCCGTTGACCCGCGCGGCGGCGGTCCCCGACGTCGCCGTGATCAGCAGGCGATGCGAGAGGTCCTTCGCGGCGAAGAGGCCCACGAGTGCTTCGATGACGCGCGACTTGCCGGTGCCGCCCTCGCCGCCGACGAACTGACAGAGCTGGCTGACGTCGCCTCCGTCTCCTTGCCGCATCGAGTCCAGGTGGCGGCATATTATGGAGAAGGCAATCGCCTGCTTCTTGTTTAGCGTCAATCGTCTTGTCAAGTCTTTCCCGGCCTCGTGAAAGGAGGTGGATGGGCCGAGGCGGACTTCCATGCCGGCCTCCGCGTTACCTGCCCTCTCCTCGGTTTCCACTCGCGTCACCTGGATGTCTTCCTCCCCGAAGCCGGCGAGCACGCTCCGCTCCGCTGCGCCGCGATCGGTACCGTGGGCCGGGGCCATGCTTTGTATGCCCTGGATCATCTTCACCCTCTCTCTGGAGGCGCATGTCTGCTGCGACTTGATGGCCTTGACCTGATCCTGCGGCGGCACTGCAGCCCCGAGAACACCTGCCCGGGCATGTTGATGTGCCCCACCCCGTTCGGTCACGACGGTGGCCCGGAGCTCGGCCGTCGAGGCTAGCGCTGATTGCTGGAAGCGGGAGAGCTGCTGCATCATTCCCGAAAGCTCCCGCGACCCCGCCGTGATCTGGTTCGCGCCGGTCGCGCTTCTAACGACATCGATCAGTCGCGTTGCGTTTCCGACGTTGTCGGACTGGTACGCGGATCCCGCCTCGCGGTCCGCCTCGCCCGGCCCTCCCCATCCTCCCCCAATCGCCAGGTGCGCCGGCCGGATCCCCGTCGCCGGACGACGCTGCCCATTGCTTGGCGTCTCGCTTTGCGTCCTCGGCGGACCGCCGGAGTAGTTGAACGTTATCGACGAGGCACGAGGTTCTTGGCGGAAGCCGCTCTCGTGCGCGCCTCCATATCTCGTTGATGTCGCCTCGCTCTTCGCTAAGAAAGGTCTCCCACGGCGCGAATAGGGCAAGATGCTGCACGGCTGCTCTGTAGCGGCACGGTTAGTCACCGCGCGTTGGGACCGCTTTTCGACCGGCCATCCACCGCACCTACTTACCGGCGGTGGCATTGTTCCTCGTCGTCTTGCTCGAAATCCTTGCTAAGGTGGCCGTCAAGGCAGACGACGGCGTGCTTTCCTGGCCGCCTCAATACCTGCACCCAGTCTTTGCCGGCCACCCAGCCGCTCTCGAGGCACCTCTCCCAGGCACCGGAGCACCCGTCCTTGCCGACGCGTTGGAGCCTGACGAGCGAAACATAGTCATATAGGCACAAGCCTCGTAGGACGTGTCCGCGATGATGGTACGCCTCGGCGAAGCTGATCCTCTCGCCTGCTTCCTCCACGGCGACCGACTCGTCCACGGACACGTCTGCGACCGCGGTGCCGCTCTCCTGCCGAAGGTGTCGCCAGCGCCTGGAGACGTGCCAGTAGAGCACCGACACGTTCAGGTACGCCCAGGCGCTGCTGCTCGTGAACTCGCTCGGGTATCCCAGGAGATGGGCGACGACCTCGACTTGCGACAGGGCGCGCTCCGTGAATATCCTGTTCGCCACTCTCATCAGAAACTGCCGCGTCTTATTATTCTTGGTTCCGTCGTCGCCGCCGACGACGCCATTTCCGGCATCCTCCCTGGCACCCGGCTGGCCACCTGCTGCGACGACGGGCAGCAGTTCCGCGGCCGCGGCGACGCGCTTCCACGTCGGGTCCTCTACCTTGGTCGCGTAATTCGTCACGTAATAGACGAGAGCCATGGTCTTCCGCTGCGTCGCTATGAAGGAGATGTCGTGGTTGTGGCGGAGCCCCACGGCGATGGCCTTGTTCCACCGATTCACCATGGGATGCGTCCTGCGGATCCGCAGCACGCCGTCCTGTGAGCGTCGTCTCCTCGACCAGCTTCCATGGCGCCTTGAAGCGACAGAGGTCGCCCTTCGCCCCTTGTTGCCCAGGGAGTACTTGACGCATGTCGGGCTGTGGGTGTGGATCTGCGTCGCGCCGGCGCAGAAGTTGGCTTCTTCGAATCCGGCCGAGAACTGCTCGGCACTGTCCAGCAGGGATGAGACGTCAGACGTCACCGAACGCTCCGCCTGCACGGCGCAGAAGCCTTCCTGGTCCAAGTCCTGCCTTCCGCGTCAGCCTGCGTCTTCTCGGCCCATGACAGCAACGCCCTTGCTGTTACCTACCTCACAGAAGACGCTATCGACATAGCGGATGATTCGCTCACGGTACGCCGCCTGCTCCTCCCCGTGGGCGTCGGAAAGCATGGAGCTCAGGTGCGCGTTTCCGTGTAACCAGAGCAGCCCGTGGACGTGAAGGGATCCTCGTTCGTTGGTCTCCACGGCACCGTAGTAGTGGCCGATGCGCCCGAACACCGACTCCCCTGCATTTACGTAATGCTCGAAGAACAGCGTCATCTCCCGGTGGAAGAACATGGCTGAGCTCATCGGGTCGGAGACGGACAGCCTCACCCGTTTGAACGACATATCGAGGCTCCGCAGGAACTCCTCGGCCGCCTCAGGGTCGCGCGTGCGGTACGCTGCCAGTCGGAGCTTCACCGGGTTCGTGATGTCGTTTGGGTTGATCGTGAACCAGATCGCAGGCACGCCGTAGCGGACGATGAGCGCCAGGATCTTGTGCCGCATACTGAGACGGAGCTCTCTCGACATGGGCTGACGATAGCCATAGAGCGAGAGGCTCCTGAGAAGCTCTTTCACGCCGTCGTCGGTCGTCTTGCCTGTGCTCTCCAGCTCGGCTCTAGCTGCCGCTAACCCGTCTGCGGTCAGCGACCGTACGATGCGCTCCACCTTGCGGAAGTTCTTCCTCGTCACGCTCAGCATGCTGACGCGGCGGTTCCTCGACCGCACGCCCATGTTGAAGACGAGGAATGCGAAGATGTGGTGCGTCGCGAACCGGCCGCCGTGGCGTCGCAACACCGTGTCGGCCCACGTACGAAGGCTCATGTTCCGGGATGACAGGAGGTCCTGCGCCCCGCCTCCGCCGCCGCGCGCGTGTTGACCGAGCCTCTGCCCAACTGCGAGCTTGCTTCCTCGACCGGCCGCGGCCCTCCGACACCGAATGGTAATAGCGTGGAAAGGTCTTTGCGAAGAAAGAAGCTTCGAACGAGTCGGCGAATTCATCCCCGCGGCGGACATGGATGAATGGTTCAGGACCATCGACGTGCCCCCTTGCCGAGGATTCGACCCACGTCCTCGGGCCCGTACCGTCGTCGGCTGCGCCTTGGCGAACGGAATCGCATGCGAACCGCAGCTTGTCGACGTCGGCCACGTCGGGCGGTCCGTCCAACGCAAACATCCTGACGAGGTCACCTCGTTGACCGTCTTCGCATTATCATCGGCCTCGCCGCAGCTCTGACCACGCACCTCGTCCACCTCGCTTGCCTCTGGCTCGCCGGCCTCGCGACTCGTCGTGCTTTCCCCTTGGTTGAGCATGGCGAGGACTTCTTCGATCTCCACCGCCCCTCGTCGTCCATGGCCCGCTCCGTGGGCGGCACGACGCGCCGTCCGCGTCTTCTCCCACGCCGACGGCTCGTTCCGCTCCAGGCGCTCGTACACCAACGGCGGCACCCGTGGGCCGGGTCTCCCAGCTCTCCATCTCTGCCGCGTCGATCTCGATCGCGGCGTAGTGGGGGTTGTTCCTCTTCAACCAGACAAGGGCTCTCTCGACGACTCGCCGCCTCACCGATAGGAGACTCGACAGATCGCTCGGTGTCGGCCTTAGCGCCCCCTGCCACGAGACGTGGATCTCGTCCATTACCTGGAAGAGAGGGTGCGGCAGCACGTCCGTCGCCAGCTCTTGTACGTTGTTTGGGAACACCGTGATGTGGCCCTTGACGTGCTTGGGATACCTTAGCGTCTGCTTCTGGCCGCCTGAGACGTTGTACCTGGTTACGAATCCGTAGCACGAGTTCAGCGCGATCAGCTTCTCCTCCACCGGCGTCAGGCCCTTGAGCTCATCCGGGAACGTGTGCTCACAACCGAGACGTCTATGAAGCTGCGCCGCTGGCGACAGCACACCGCACGCCAAGCGTCGAGAACACTCTGCGCAAACCGGGACAGGCTCGCCCTCGCGGAAGCAACTCCGGCACGCAAATGGCGACCACCCAGCCTTAGGGATAGGACTTGACAACCACTGGTCCCATGCCACCTCCCTCAGCTCTTTTCTCGTGCGCTTCCGGTAGCACAGCATGCACGTCCGTATCGGCAGCGTGTCCACGTCGTGGAACGCCCGGTAGAAGCTCCGCACCGTTGATACCTTCCTCTCGTGCGGCACTGGTGTGCACCACGTTTGCTCGTTGGACAGCCTCTCCTTCGCGGCGAATTCCTCCCCAAGGTGACGTAAGACGCCGGCCAAATCCTCCGCCTGTGACTCACGGCTCCTCTGCCTCCGATGGCCGCCTCGACTACGTTTCGCCTGGGGCTGGTCTCGGTCGGGCAGGCGGTTCCTCTTTCTCTGTTCCACGGGCTGCGCAGATATTGCCGCTGCCTCGTCTCGCCTCGGCCGATCTTGTTCTCCCGCCGCCGCCTGACGTGATGGCCGTGGTGTCAACTGTCCGGATGACTGCAAATATCCGGCTCCATCCTCCATCTCTCTAGCTTCGATTGGCTGGAGGATGCCCTGACGACTCGGGCCAAGTCCCGACACTGGTTGCCGGCCGACCCGGTCCCGCCTGGCGTCCGCATCGCTGCAAATCTCCTGTCCCATCTTCTATTTCTCTAGGTTGGATTGGCCGAACGAGGACTCCCCGACAACTCGAGACGAGATCCCGACCCTGGTTGCCGGCCGATTCCGTCCTGCCTGGCGTGGTGGCCGTGGTGGCAGCCGTCCGGATGACTGCACATCTCCTGCTCCATCCCCACCTCCTAGATTGGCCGCCTCGAGTACGTTTCGTCAGTGGCTCGTCTCGGTCGGGTTGCCGGTTCCTCTTTCTCTGTTCCGCTGGCCGCGAAGATCTTGCCGCAGCCTCGTCTCGCCTCGGCCGGTCTTGTTCTCCCGCCGCTGCCTCCCCTGATGGCCGTGGTGGCAACCGTCCGGATGAGTGTGTATCTCCGGCTCCCTCTTCCATCTCTTTCGGTTGGATCGGCTGAACGACGTACTCCCTGACGACTACTCTGGGCGAGGTCCCGACCCTGATTGCCGGCCGACCCTGTCCCGCCTGGCGTCCGGGTGACTGCAAATCTCCGCTCTGTATTTTATTTCTTTAGGTTGGATTGGCCTAATGAGGCGCTCCTGACAACTCGAGACGAAACCCCGACACTGGTTGCCGGCCGATCCTGTGCTCCTGGGCGGCTTGAGTGTCCGTCGGGGCCCTTGGGCCTCGTCTGCGCACCACCCCTTCGCTTTCTAGTCGTGCCCCTCTGGACGCCCTCCACGACCCGGACGCACGATCCGCCCTCGTCCGAGGGAGGTATGTGTCCGGCCGCGCCCCTGATCCCTTTCGGCTGGATGGGTTGTTGCGGCAAGCGCTGGCTTACGTCCTCTGGCCGAGATCTTGTTAAACGTCGCGCTGCCTCTCCCTTTGCAGAGGCACCATCAACGCGCGCCGTATTTTTCGCGACCGACTGCCTCGCCGACTTCCCTGAGGCGACGCTCTTTCGGGTGCTTCCGCGCTCTCCTCCTGAGACCTCCCCGGACATCGGCGCTTGCTTCGCCTCGATAGGCCGCAACCCAGGTGCCGGGCCCGCTTGACTTTCGCGGCCCAACGCCCGCTTCGGTCCTTCGTCCGTCGCGCTCGGTCTCGCCTTCGCAGTATTCCTCCTCGTAGCAGCGGCCGCTGCCCGATGCACGACCCGGCCTCGCCAGAAGGACGATTGTGCCCGGCCACGTCCTGATCCCTTTGGGCTGGATGGGCCGGGGCGACTGCAGGCTCGCCTCTCCCAGCCGAAATCCCATCCTGCTTGTCGGTCTCCCCCTCCTCTGTTCCCCCCCGGCACCAGTTGTCCGCCTAACAAGACCCTTCAGAGTCATCCGTACGCCACCGATGAGTTGCCCAGGCCGAACGATCTCGTGGCCACCTCCGGCCGCGACGGAAGATCCCCTGCCGCTTAGGCATTCGTTTCGCCCAACCAAGACCCCTGGGGCGGGTGGTGCTTGCAGAGCAACTATGCCTGGTGCGCCTCTCGCCACTCCTAGCCCTCATCTCCTTCGCCAACGTGTGCCGCTGCGGTACGAGGTTGTCGGCCGCTCCCTCCAACACAGCGCCAACGGACGGCGTAAGACCCCGCCTAGCCGGCTCAGCAACTACCGACCCTATTGTGGCAGCGTCTGCTTCTATGCTTGGACACCTATCACGCGCGTTTATCGCTTCTGAGCGTCGCGCCCGCCCTCCCTTCGAGGAGGCGCCATTGACGTGCGTCGTCTTTTCCGCGGCCAACCGCCTCGCCGACTTCCCTTGGGCAACGCTCTTTTGAGTGCCTCTGCTTGTTCTCTTCGTGAGGCCTCCTCAGCCAGCGTTGCCTGCTTGGCTTCGATAGGCCGGAACCTAGGTACCGTATTAGCTTGGCTTTCATGGTCCGAGGCCCGCTTCGGCCCTTCGTCCGTTGCACTCAGTCTCCCCGCCGTAATGCTCCTCGTCGCAGCAGCGGCCGCTGCCACCGTCGCTATTTCGCACCCTCTTGCCACCAACCTAGCCTCGCGGCTAGGATTCTCCCCCATGCTGGTGCTTTCTTGACGGCTAGGCTCTGCAACCGTACGATGGATAGGGAAGCTTTCGCTCGCGATATACGCTGGGATTGCCTTGCTTCCCGGCGATGGCGTTCCGCCGTATCGCCATTCTTCCTACCAGCGGTCTGTCTCCAGCAACCTTATAGTCTTTATAACTCGGGGACAACGCGGCAGTGCTTGTCCGGGACAGACCCCCTCCCTTCTCCCCCGCGGTTCCTAACTCCGCCGCCACGCGTCTTCCCGGCGGACGGCCTCGACTAGCCCATGCGCAGGAGCTGACACCATAAAAATCTGCCTGGCGAGGTCTTCTCCTCCCTCCTCGGTTCTCCTCCGCATCTTTCTATTTGGCCGTTGCAAATAGGCGGCCAAAGGAACATTGTGCTAATCTTTCTTTTTCCTCGGTATCTCTTAGTATTCCTGCTGCACCGAAAGTAGGAATGGCCCTCCCTTCAGCTCGCCCTCACCTATAACGGTTGCTTCCGGTCCCCTCTTTCCCGACCTTCCCTATCAAGTGTAACCACGACCTTCCCTGCAACACCTCCCGTGCGCTTTGTACGTGTTATATATTAGGTCGGTCTCTACCCCGCGAGGAGGGCAAACTAATTGGTGTACAACAGGGCGTGGAAAGGTATGACAAGGTTCCTGTGCTGATCTTGCCTGCTTCATCCCCGCCCCTTATCTTCAGCCTTCTAAAACGCCCCCTGTTTATGTCCTTCCTTATTGATGTCCTCCTTTTGCATCAGGCCTCTGCTCTCCCAGGCCTGCTGGGCTTCCTCTGGACCTATCGGCAGGCTTATCTGCCGACAGCCCTAGCTTTCGGCCTCCCATGCCGCCAGCCCTGCCGGACACTTTAGTCCGCGCCGCCCTTGGTGCCTGATCGGAACCCAGCTACACGACACCACTACGCATCTCTTCAACGTCCGTTTACTTACAGCGGCAAGGCTCCTCGCCCTTCCCGGCGAATCTATGTCACCATTGATCTATCCCAAGTGCTTTCACGCTCGACTTCTTCCCTACTCCTTTCTTTCTTGACACTGAGCACTGGTCATTTTCGTGCGCGCGACTGGCCTATCGACCTGCGTTGCTGCACCATGTCTTCCTCTCTACCTCCCATCGATGTGCCCGCACCACACCTTCGAAAGCCGCTCGATAGCCAGAGGGCGCTGGCGGCGAGATGTCCATGGTGTTTTTCGTCCAGCCGGATTGCCCGTTAGATTTGCCCACCAGGACGAGCACCGCATCAAGGGTCTTAACGCCGAGGCCATGGCCCGCGTCTTGCTGCCTCCGCCCGCCTGGCTGCTCGCGATGGGATATGCGCCCTCCGATCGGAGGCCGACGATTCCCCGACATCCGTCTTCTTTAGTCTCAATCTCTCGATTTACGGCCAGCCTATTGATGCCTCAAAATGGACGGAAGAGTGGTTTTCATGAATGGCCGCGTCCACCCTACGCCCTTGCGTGGAGATTGAGCAGCGCGACGGCCTGGAGTCCGACACGGGCGGCACCCTTCTATACGATGCCCGCCCTTGTCGTCCGCGACCAAGGCTACCAGCCGTAAGCCGTGCCCTGTTCCTCGCAAGTGCCAACGAAAGATACATAGCTAAGGTGGGCCTGAAGCGTTCTTCCTGAGGCTCTTGGCCCCTATGGACGACTTCCCCTGCGTCCCGCCTATTGTTTCCTTTACCGGCCTTATCGTCGGCACCGGCCACTCCTTGCTCCGGCGGGACCTCCTGCCGGGTCTAGACGCCGCCCAGCTTAACTGTTGCGGCTTTGTCCGCCTTTCTACCTACGTCGCTCCTGGGATGCCCAATAAACTCCCCTTCAAGGGCTTCCACCCTTCCAGGTCTTCGTCATCTTCCTATTCGCGCTAACCCCTGGGCCATCTTGTGTAAGAAGATGGCCGAGAGGCGGACTCTCAATTCCAACCCAACGTCCCCTTTACTTGCACAGCCAAGGTCGCCGGCCTGCTCCGTCATGACGTTATGCTCTATCCCCCAGGCTCCGACCGGGACAACGTCTTTATTGTCGTCCCGGATTCTTGGACATTTCTCGACAAGGCCGCCGCCGCCGTCACCCCAATGACACCACTTCTCTCTACACCACAGAGGCAGCAGGCGTCCTCCCCTTCCGCGGCCTTTCAGGACATGCGCGCTGCCTCTTTGTCTTTGGCCACCCCTGGCACCCTCCCGCTCAGCCCTCCACCTTTGGCTTCGGCTTCGCCTCGACCGGCCCCTGGGCCGCCCGGGAAGCGATGTTGCCCCGAGCCTGCCGATACGCCGACGAAACGACCGCGGCTGCTGCATAAGGCCCCGGTGCCTTCGTCTTCCCCTAACCCTGGCTCATCTGCCACCCAGTCGTTCTCTGTTTCGGCTGCCTCCTTGACATCTAAGCCGGATAGCCCTAAACGGGGTCATGTCTTAGGGGACTCTTCCCTCCATTCCATTGTCGCGCATGGCTTGGACTCGCCGGCCCGTCCACTCCGAAACCGTCCCCTATCTAAGAAAGCTACCGAAACGGAATAACGATGCGAAACCATAAACTGCTACAGTTTCCTAAACGAGTAAGACAGTTAAATCTTATACTTTAAGTTAACCTACTCCTTAACCCTACCCTGGTTCTATCACTCTTTTTCACTCCGTCCTTAAGTCCCCCCTGTTCTTACTCCATCCTCAATCCTCACGTCTGCCCCTTTTTTTTCTTCCTTAAGTTTTTTTCCCTGTAGTCTTTCGTTCCTCAAGGCTCTTTGCGCAACCCCCGTTGGGTTGCCTCTCCTGTGCCTTGAGGAACGAGAAGCTCTTCTGGACGCGAAAAAAAAACCCAAAACTTCAAAACTCATTCACCCTCGAAAACCTCGGCTTCTAATTGGCCCAAGATTTCCTTCTTTCGTCTTAGCCCCTCCTTGCAAGCTTCCTTCTTTTATTGGTTGTTTGGTTGTGTTGCTTTAGCACTTCGGCCGAGGTCCGAACCGCGACCTCTCCCGCATCCCTACTTAATACGAGCACGATGCTGTCGAGCGTCCGGCATCACCATGGCTGCACATATATGCCCCTGGAGCTTAAAGAGTCGACGTCTAGCCATCCCGAGGCCTCGCGAACAGTCTTGTCGCTCAGCTCACCCGGTCTCGCTTGTGCGGCGGTCATCTCCTCTGGAACTCTATTGCCCACCAAATCTCTATCCCGCACTTTAGAGACGAGCATGATGCCATCCAACGTCGGGCAGCGGGACAGCTGCACGTACAGGCTGTACGGGTCGCACTGCGAGGATACGGCGCGTCCATCGATGTTTGACGTCCGCGTCCCCCGCAGCTCCAGAGCTACACGCTCGAGCGTCCTGCCCTGCACTTTATAGTCTGTGCACGCGAAGGCCGCCGTACAGGGCAGACCCTTTCGGCTGACGTCGTTCTGCTGCCACGGCCTCTTTCGCTGGCATTGTATCTTGACGGTCATGGGCGTCAACAAGATCGTTCCTGGCGGCATCCCGACGGAGTGAATGTCTTTCGTTGTCTCGGACTCCAGCATTATCCCCGCCGGCGGCCGAAATGGACCGTCATGTCTGCCGAGATGCGATGCCCGGGTACGACTTGTCGAGGATAACCTCCAGCGCCGTGTAGCTGGCACCGTTCACCAGCTTTAGCCCCTGATGGGTGTTGTGGTTCACGACGACCGGCATCCCCGGCACGAACATGAAGACGGCCGGCACCGGTATTGCGCTATCGTCGCCCTGGTTCAGCATCATGATGGCCTCCTCCTCCGTCGGCAAGCCCTCCTTCCATTTATGGCCGGATATGAAGATGCGCAGCGTCGACCGGTGCTGGATCTGGAACGCCAAGCTGGCCTCCATGTTGAGGTTCCACCGGTTCCTATTCAGCGGCGTCACCACAGTGATGCCTGATGCCCACGGGATCCGCCTACCTTCCTGGTAGCATCTTGAGTTGAGGAGGTCCAGATCCGTACGGTCCTGCGCGCCCAGTCGGATTCGCTTTAACAGCCTCTGCAGCTCTGGGTCGCCAGCGGCGCGCATTTGCTCGTCGAGCATGACGACGGTCGTGAACCTCTTCCACAGCGCGTGCGCCTTGTCGTGCTGGTGCCGTTGCTCGGCCTTGAAAGAGTTGTCCATGTCCCACGAGACGGCCGTGCTGGGGAGGAGGATCGACCGCTCTTGGACCGGGCGGAACTGGTGGAAGTCTCCGCAGAAGAGGACAATGGGGATCCTCCAAAATCCTGGTGCGACCCGCGCAGCCGGCAGAGCTGCTCGTTGACCGCGTGGAGCGTCCGCGCACCGAGCATGCTAACCTCGTCGACGACAAGCACGTCCTTCTCCTGCCAGTCCATCCGGGATTGCCCGTGGACGAACCGCTCCGCCTGGTTCGGCATTCGCAACCCGTCGAGATCCCTGGCCATATTTGCGACTGCCGCGAGATCTTTGGAGAACCCGCAGGCGGGTGGATCGTGATGCCATTGATCCGTGCTGCTGCCGTCCCTGACGTCGCCGTTATTATCAGGCGATTCGATTGATCCTTGGACGCGAAGAGTTCGACGAGCGCCTCGATGACTCGCGACTTGCCCGTTCCGCCCTCTCCGCCGACGAATTGGCATAGCTGACACCCGTTGGCTTTCTCCCTGCGCCGTATGAGGTCAAGCTGACGGCATATGATTAGGAAGGCAATCGCCTGCTTCTTGTTCAGCGTGAACCTCGCTACCAGGGCCTTACCCGCCTCGATAAAGGAGGTTGAGGCGCCGAGCCGGATCTCCATTCCCGCGCTGGCCTCTACCGTTTCCTCGAGGTCCGCCGCCGTCATCAGGATATCGTCATCCCCAAAACCCGTGAGCACGCTGCGCACCGCCGCCCGAATCGTTGGCCGTGTTTATTATAAAAGGCCTAGCAAATTCTTTGTACTGATATGAGCTTACCTGTTTATTTCCAAGATATATTCCTCGATAGTATTTATTCTCGCTCTCTGAGTATCTTGTTCTCTCCCACGATGCTCTTCCTGTGAAAGGCCTCTAGTGAGTTGATACAACTAACTAGTCCCTATGCTGTTTACTGTCAAGATAGAAAAGAAAGAAAGAAAGAAAGAGAATCTACTACATAAGAGCATAACGGCATTTTATAGCTTCGAGCCAATGAAGGTTCTAGAAGCTAGGCGGCGCAGCCGCCGTTAAAGCAACTTGCCCGTTACATTACCTCCCTCCCGTCCAACGTTTCCTCTTCCTTGGGATCGTGGCAATCTGTGTCAAGATGACTTGAGAAGGTGACACTCTTTTATGTTTCTTCCATTGCTTCCATGCATCAGTGTGTCGAATAGTGGGAAGGGCTCCACGTAGGCTGCGAGTAATCATGCCATTTTACGAGCACCTTCTTATGCGTACCTTCCATTCTTTCATCCAGAATCCTTTCGACGAGGTACATTTCTTGGCCGTCCACCAGCACCGGTGGGGCACTCTCTTGATCGATTTTCTGCGAAGGCAATGGGTCTCCGGGTACTGGCCGAAGTAGATCGACGTGAAAGACTGGATGGATACGTCCAGGCACATCCAACCTATAGGCATGTGGGCTGACTTCGGCGAGCACTTGATATTTGGCATGTAACCAATCGAGCTTCTTGCAGGGTCGCGATGTTTTGACATTTCTCAAGTTGAGGTATACCCAATCCCCAGGCTTGTATCTCGGTGCGGCTGTCCTGTGCTTGTTGGCTTGCGCTTGCTGTATTTCCTGGGCCATAGCTATCGCTGCTTGCGCAAACTCCGTGGCATCCTGTAGTCTCTGAATAAAATTCTCCGCTGCAGCTTCTTCCTGTGTTGTGTCTTCCGTGCTTCGATGCTCAACTAACTGGATTGGCTCATTGTGGTAGCCGTGCATGAAGAAGAACGGACTCAGTCCGGTGGAGGTTGCTTCCCGCTCGTTAATTGTCGCCATCGCGACTGGAAGCAAGTCCAACCAGTTCTCCTGCAGATAGTTTGTCCATATCCGAAGAATCCTCTCTACCTCTTGGTTCATTCGTTCTGTTGCACCGTCGGTTTGTGGATGGTACTGTGATGGGTTCTAATAGTGTAAATTACAGCTATGTAGTCCTCGTGCGTTTTACATTCGAGCTGAGGAAAGAAGAAGGAAAGGAAAATAGAAGGACAGAAATCCTCCAACAAAATAGACTAAGCCGTTACTGGAGCAACAGTGCTTAGACCGACAAGGCACTGCCTTGTCCAGCAGAACCTAGCCCGTTACAGGTACGCCGTTGACAACCGCTGCTCGATCCCTAGCAGCTGACAGAAGTGTTTCCACATACCACTGACAAACTGGGGACCCGATCACTGGTAATAGCCGTTGGGATGCCATGGACAGGGTAGTGTCGTTCGAAGAGTCTTCTTGCAACCGCTTCTGAAGAAATATCGTGTAATCCTTCGAGTTCGACGCCTTTGGTGAGTCGGTCCGTGACCACCATGCAGTTCGTCGCGCCATCTTTCCCCGACGGTGGGAGGTCAGTAATAAAGTCAATGGTAATTTCGCTCCATATGCGTTGCGGAATAGGGAGCGGCTTTAGGAGTCCTTTCTTTGTATCCCTCCAGATGGTGTTTCGTCCGCAAACCTCGCAGTTGCGCACAAACCGACGTACATCGCTAGCGGCACCCGGCCAGAAGAAGCGTCTCGACAGAGTCGAGTACGTGAGGTCCCTTCCAGGATGTCCGGTGATATGAGAGTCGTGAGTTTCCTGGATGATCTTCGTACGTAGCGGCTCCGAACCGGGTATCCAGACGCGTTCTCTAAAGCACAGCAGGCCCCTATTGTCTAACGAGCATTCTGAAATGCTGACAACCTTCTCCTTCTGTAATCCTGTTGGCAAACTCTTCGCTCCATCTGCTACCAGCTTCGTGAGTTCTTGATAGAGCTTGTCTTCTTGGCGTGCGGCGTGCCACAGCTGCTGTAACTCCTCATCTTCAAATATTGTAAGGCGCACACACAACTAAACAGAGAGTGAGGAACGGGGGTCAATCATTCAATTCATTGATCTCTGACGAGCTCCATCAGGTGCTATGCAACCCTACTTTTATAACCACGAGAGGCCTCCCAGCCCCGTGCTTTTCCCTGGAAAAGTCACTCCAGCCAGTGGTTGGAATCAACCAGCCATCTACCGTGGTCAAGCACTTTAGGCGCGTGACAGGTTGCCCTTCCTCCTGAAGAGTTCGTCCCGAACTCTTAAGTTTCAAGACAGACTGGTCGTAGTCCGCCAGAAACGCTTTATCCACAAAGTCGCTTCTGGACACCCAAGAGTTCTCTTCATCTCCATGTCTTTTCCATTTCACAAGATACCTCCGACGACTTTTCGGCCCTTGATGATCGAGAATCTTTTCAACGTCATAGGTAGACTCGGGTATAAACGGATGATCCTCAGGCTCAATAGGCTCTTGATTTCGAGTCCGATAGAGCTCCAAGCTGCTGACAGGCAAGACATTGTGAATCTTGACTGTTGAAGGCAGGCGTAGGCGGTAGGCTGGTTTATGACCCCAACGACTTGGTCAATCTGGTATGGCCCGACGTACTTGTCAGTCAGCTTTTGGTCGGACGTCTCAACGGAAGGTTCTTGGTGGAAATAAGGACCCAATCACCCTCCTCGAAGGACATTTGCTGTCGAGTCTTGTTATAGTGTCGCGCTTGTCGCTCCTGGGCTCTCGTGATAAGGAGGGCCGTACGTTCGTGAAGTTCTCTGAGGCCTCGGACTCGGTCCATGGCGCGAATGCTGAAGGTTTCGAGTTGTCCCTTGACATGACCCTTAGACCGTGGCTGATAGCCCATCAAAACCTCGGCTGGAGCTCCTTTCACCGTGTCATGGTATGAGGTGTTATACGTAAACTCCGCCAATGGCAACTTGTCCATCAATCTGACTGCTCTTTGTTGCAGAAAGTCCGTAAGTACTGTTCGATCGTCTGGTTGACCCGCTCGGTTTGACCATCAGTCTGAGGATGAAAAGACGTGCTGAGGCGTCGCTTGCAATGAAGCAAATGGCAAAACGTGGCCCAGAAGTGCCCCGTAAATAGGCTCCCTCGATCGCTGACAATGCCATCAGGCATTCCATAATGCTTGAAGATTTCAGGAACACATCTGCCAAGCCATCACTGGATATGCGCGACGACACCGGAATGTATCGTGCGTAGCGGGTCAGGCGGTCGACCACGACCAGGATACTGGAGTAAATCTTCTTCTCACATCGGACCGGCGGGAGGTCCGTGATGAAGTCCATCGAAATCTCTTGCCACGGACGGCTTGGCGCTGGCAGTGGCGCTAGCAGCCCGTACGGCTTGTCACGACCCTGCGCGCCAGCGTAGAGACACCAGCGCAGAACCTCACCAGTGTCACGTGCCCAAGCAGCATCACGTGCCCACGTGCGACCTCGTGCTTACCTGAGCGCTGCTGAGGTAACCTCGTGCATATGCACATAAGGGCCAGCTCGGTCGTGTAGTCTAGTCTTTCTTTCTTGCTCCTTAGCTTTGAGTCTTTGTTCATAGTGCCAATACATCTTTATAGCCGTCAAGGCTCGTATGTGCCTGGCCGTAACACGGCTTATGATGCCTCGGCTTTGCGAGCTGACATTCGCGGCAGGTAGAGACATAACGACGCACGTCTCGACGTAATCCGGGCCAGTAGTACTGCACCTGGATCCGCTTGCAAGTCTTGGTTCCGCCTTGATGGCCGGCAACCTCATCGTCGTGAAACAACACTAGGATCTCGTTTCTCAAACCCAGAGGCACGAAGATCTTCTTGCGGTAACACAACAGCCCCTCGTCATTGGTGCTCCAGACTTCTGACGATAGCCCACCGGCGGTAACGCTACCAGGGACAGTGACAAGCTGCTTCTGTTGGGCAACAAAGGCGTCCCTGCCGCTAGCAGGGCCTCTTGCAGTGACTCTTGTAACGTTGATGCCGTTACAGCGGTGCCCTCCTCCTGAGACGTCGTCCTCGACGTCCTCAAGACTCGTGCAACACGCCTGAGACGGTCGAGCTTAGCTCTTCCATCAGCGACAGGGACAGCCAGGGGCGACCTGGTCTGATCGCGTAATTCGACAGCCTGTCTAGAGTGCATACGGTCCCTACCCGCAGACTCACAGGGAAACAGCCGATCAATCTTTTCGAGGGCGACGGGGACAGCCGGTCGCGAACCGGACTGCTCGCCAAATCCGACAGCCTGTCTTGAACACACACGGTCCCCTTCCGCGGGTTCACAGGGAAACAGCCGGTCAACATGTGCATGGGCGACAGGGACAGCCGGTCGCGAACCGGACTGATCGCCAATACCAGCAGCCTGTCTTGAACACGTACGGTCCCCTTCCGCAGGTTCACAGGGAAACAGCTGGGCAAACTTTTCAAGGAATGACGGAACGCACGGATCTCGCAGCCCGGCTGTTCTCATCACCTTCTCATGGTCCGGCCGTCTTGATAATCCATCCGCAGGATTCTTCAAGCCCGGTCGGTAGACGATTTCAAAGTCAAAGCTGCACAACTGGTCTAGTGCATTCATCTGTCGATTGGTCAGCTTAGCTTTGGACATGAAGTACTTATGGTTCAGGTGGTCCGTCAAAACGGTGATCTTCTGCTCCGTATACGCAAGGTAGTGGCGCCAATGGCGGAAAGCTTCGGTGATAGCTAGCAGTTCGCAGTCCGGGATTGCGTATCTTGTCTCTGCGTCCTGAAGCTTCCGCGAAAGGAACGCTACGGGTGCCATCGATCGGCGTGCAGTTGAGAGATTATTGCTCCGATAGCGAACTGGGACGCATCTGTTTCGATTCGTATTGTCTTGGAAGGATCGAAGTGTCTGAGAACAGGCCCACATGTGAAGGCCGTCTTGAGATCCTCAAAAGCCCTCATTGCTTTTGGATCCAGCTTGAAAGGCTTCGATGCCCCCTTGCGGAGACGATCCGTGAGCGGAGACACGATCTTGCTGTAGTTCTTGATAAAGCGGCGGTAGAACCCAGTAAACCCTAAGAAAACCTGTATGTCTTTTACAGAACGGGGTGCTGGCCATTCTGTGATAGCATGGACCCGTTCCTCTTCCATGTGGATTCCTTCCTCATCGACCACGAACCCCAGGAAGGAGACTTTCTTCACCGAGAATTCGCATTTGCTCAGATTGGCGTAAAGTCCGGCTTTTCGTAACCTTTGCAGGACGTCCTTGACATGGCCTTCATGCTGTTCCGGGTCTTCACTGAAGATAAGGATGTCGTCCAGATAGACAACACAGATGATGTCAACCAGGCCTTCTAGTGCATCGTTGATATATTGCTGGAACGAGGCGGGAGCATTGACCAGCCCAAATGGCATCACCTGGTATTCGTAATGGCCATAGTGGCACCTAAATGCTGTTTTCCACTCGTCCCCTTCGCGAATCCGGAGTCGGTGATATGCGTCCTTTAGGTCGAGCTTGGTGAAGACTTTAGCTCTACCCAGTCGGTCCAAGATCCCCGAGATCAATGGCAAAGCCGCTCGGTTCTTCTTGGTCACCTTATTCAACCCACGGTAGTCGACACATAACCGTAGTTTCCCTCCCTTTTTAGGAACGAAGAGAATCGGAGAGCCTGCAGGACTGATTGATCGTCGAATCCATCCTTTCGCCTGGGCCGAAGCGATGTATTCGCGTAATACCGCGAGCTCATGTTCTGACAGATTATAGATGGGTCCTGGAGGGGGTATTTGCCCATCCTCGAGGTCGATTGGATGGGAACGCCCTGAAAGAGGGGGTAACCTAGCAGCCTCTTCCTCTGAGAAGACGTCTGCCCAATCTCGGTATGCTAAGGGAACTTCTGATAGGGCTGCGTCTTCTAAAGGAGCCACCGCTTCGTTGTTGTTCTCGTGGGTAAGGGGTATACCAAAGTGAGATTTCGCGAGACGCCTGATCTGTTTCGCGCCGCGAACGAACGATGTCCTTTGCGGGGGCGCAGCGAAAGCCCAGGTAAGGTGATCTGCCCTCTCCAGCAACAGACTGATATGTTTTAGCCAGGGTTTGCCCAGCCAAAGTCCTTCCTTGTCAGCTACAGATGAGACGAAGCAGAAGACCCGAAGAATTTTCTCGGTTCCCCAGCTATCCCTTGCCTTGAGCAAGACGTGGATAGTTCCTTTTGTGTCAATCCGGCTATGGTCTGCCGTTTCGGGTTGCTCCATCGTTGGTTCCACTCGCTGCCAATCACGTTGAGTGAGCAGCCTTGGAGAGATCAGGTTGTAGTGGCTGCCTTGATCAAGCAAAGCCAAACATGTCTTGGACCACCGGCCATCCTGTCGCAACTGGTAGGGTATCCAGTTCTCACCGCTCTGAGACAGGAGCCGGTGTGGTTCCTAATCCTCATCCTCCGGTTCTTGTTGGACCCTGCGTATCCCATTGGGACCCGTAGCCGGGTCGGAGTGACGGGCCGTAGTGTGTCTGCCGTCACCGCATCGTTTGCAATCAGGCTCGGTGCACTTTGGTCGTATGTGACCGGGCTTCCCGCATTTGAAACAGGCGCCGGGCTTCTCCTTCCTTGTTGATGTATCCTCTTCGCCATTCGTTTCTGTCGACCTCGGATCACCGGCGCTGCGGTAGGGTTGGTAACCCTTGTCATGGAAATCGTCGTCATACTCATGGCCCTTTTCTACCAAGTCGGTCCACGATTTGGGGTAGTTTTGGGATCGAAAGAGATCCTTGATATCTTTGTTACAGCAGAAGAGAAACATCTCAATGCGTAGCCAGTCGGGAACAGTTTGAGGGAACTCGCTTTCAATCGCACGATATTGCCGAAAGAAGTCCCGGAATGACTGGCCGGGCTTTTGCTTAAGCTTGGTCAGGCTGGTGTATGCATTCCGGGTACGACCTCGGGGATTGTTGATATTGCTCCAGAGCCAGTCCTCCATATCTCCCCACGTCATGTTTTCTTCACTTCCATCGAATTTGAGTCGCAGATTGTCTAGGAAATCCCTTCTCAACGTCTGGCTGAGATGGCCCGCCGCTAGCCTGATTCTCCTCTGCTCATCCTGGTAGTGGCGGGGGTGCTCCCGAAACACCCACTGAAGGGTTCCGACAAAGGTAGAAAGCTCGGCTGCCGAAGTGCCCCGGAACTGTTGAATCTGTACCTGGTTTTTGTTCTTGGGCTCGTAAATGGGAGAGCGTTCCCGAATCCTTTGCCGCGGTGGTGGGCTATACTCTGGCGACCTGGACCGTCGTCGTGAGCCACGTTCGCCCGATTTTTCTAAGAGGGCGCTCAGGAGCTGCTGTATCTGCTCCCCTTGCCGCCGCGAATAGTCGATCTGCTGATCCAGCTGTTGCCGGATCTCTCCTAGTTCGGTTTGCGTTCCCTGAGCTCCATTGAAGGCCACGTTGGAGGTGGTGGGTTCAGCCTGTTGCCCCACATTCTCACCCCGCTGGAGCCTACCATGCGACTCTTTTCTTTTCTTCGCAGCTCTAGCCGCTGCGAGCTGATCTAGCCGTTTTTGTGTCATGATTTTTCTTCTGTTCGTCGTCGGCGAAGGTCTTGGTTCAGCCTCGCCGCTATCTGATGGAGATTCCGTTGCATCCGATTCCTCCACAGGGGGAACCTGCGCCGAAGATGGGAATGCTGTCTGTGATGCAGATTCCGCCACCTGAGATTGGTGCATGTGGCGCTCCACTGCTCTGGCCAGTTCTGGAGGAAGCTGCGATAAGTCCATGATTCAAGCCGGTCCCGTTCAACGGTCTCTGTGCCCTAAAGGGGAGAGAGATCAAACTGTAAGGCGCACACACAACTAAACAGAGAGTGAGGAACGGGGGTCAATCATTCAATTCATTGATCTCTGACGAGCTCCATCAGGTGCTATGCAACCCTACTTTTATAACCACGAGAGGCCTCCCAGCCCCGTGCTTTTCCCTGGAAAAGTCACTCCAGCCAGTGGTTGGAATCAACCAGCCATCTACCGTGGTCAAGCACTTTAGGCGCGTGACAAATATCCTGATCTCTTTTCCGACGTTGATTTCCTGGGCACCCTCGGTGTTGGTAGACAATGTCGATATTGGGACCCTTCTAAGGTGGTCGTCTTGGAATAGCCTCATAATGCGTCCCTTTAGTCGTTCATCGGAGTAGTTGGCCGGCATATCCTGGTCCCGTCGAGAGAGCGCGTCAGGCAATCCACCCTTGCGGCCTGGCCTCCATTCGAGCTTGAATTGGAACTTGGACAGGAACTCCGACCACCGCACTTGTCTCTCTGTCAACCTCCTTTCCGAGTAGAAGTATCTCAGGTTCTTGTGGTCCGTTAGGATCTTGAAGTGCTCTACTGCCCGTAGCTCTGGTTCCCACTGCTCCAAACATCTGAGAATGGCGAGTAGCTCCTTGTCATGGATAGCGTAGTTCGCTTCGGCTGCCGAATGTTTCTTCGAGAAGTATGCGACAGGTCGTACCAGTCCATCCTTATCATCTCTCTGCAGGAGCACGCCTCCCGACGCGAATCCTGAAGCGTCCGCTTCCACGATAGTCTCCCTTTCTGGATGGAAGTGTGCAGGATCGGGGCCGTGATCAACAGGTCCTTGAGCTTCTCGAAGGCTTCTTCGCACAATCCATCCCAACGGAATGGCACGTCCTTCTTCGTTAGCCGCGTTAGCGCTCCGCTATCACCGAGAACTCTGGCATAAACACCCTGTAGAAGTTCGCGAATCCGATAAAACTCCTCACGGATTTAATATTCGTCGGGGTTGCCCATCCCTTCACAGCCTCAACCTTCTCTGGGTCGACTCGGATCCCACACTCCGCCTCGATGATGAACCCAAGGTATTTCACAGCCTTGACTTCGAATTCGCTCTTGTTGATGTCCAGTTGCAGCCCAGCGTCCATCAGTCGTTGGAGGACCTTGCCGACTTTGTCGCGGTGGTCTTGCAGGCTTCCAGAGGAGAAGATCAGGACATCGTCGATATACGCTGACACAAAATCATCGAGGTAATCCTGGAGCACGCTGTTAATATACCGCTGAAAGGCTGCTGGTGCGCCTGTCAGGCCGAATGGAACTACCAGCCATTCGAAGGATCCATAGCGCGTTCTGAAGGCTGTCTTTTCTTCGTCGCCAGGGCGACCCTGATCTTATGGAACGCTGCTATAACATCTACCTTGGTGAACCACCTTGCCTTGGCTATCGTTCGCAAGGTCTCGCTCAGTAAAGGCAAGGGATAGCGGTCCCTCTTCGTTATGTGATTCAAACCTCTGTAATCCACGCAGAAGCGGATGCCTCCGCCGGGCTTCTTCACCATAAGGACTGGTGCTGCGGCTGGCGAACTGCTGACTCTAATAAATCCCTTGTCGAGTAGTTCTGTGAGGGTCTTTCGTAGCACCAATAGCTCCTCGCGGGACATGCTGTAAAGCGGTCCCCAAGGTAGGGGCTTCTCTCGGCCATGCTCGTCTTTCAGCACTTCGATCCTCAGGTCCACACCTGGCCGATGAGGGGGCAGCTGGTCGGCCAGTTGCTGAGAGAAAGCTCGAGACCACTTGTGGTACTGTGGTGGCAGCTTCTCCATTACGTCAGTCTTCGGTTTCGGTCTTAGGGCCTTGTCAATATCCGCCATCGTGACCGAGTGAACTCCAATGCCGCCTTTTCGTTTGTCACGGCGTGCCTCTGCTAAAAAGGTTGCGGCCATGACGTTAGAGACGTCTAGATGGGAGGCTGGTAACGTCGTCGGTCTCGTACTTGAACTCCATTGGACCCAATCTCGAGATATCCTTCCTTTGCGTGGGTGTGAACATCCTGGTCTTCCATCCATCGTTTACCCAGGATCATGTCCCAGTTAAGATCGTCGATGACGTACATGAAAACACGATGCTGCTGATGTCCATCGAGGTCGATCGACACATACGTGTGTCGATTTTGACCTCTTTGCCGTCTCCCGCTGCATTCTCCAAGATGCGCGGCTGGACGCGTATATGTGGCAACTGGAGAGTGAAATGTGCGCTTGCTAACCGCGCCGTAGCAGAGGCAGCCATAGTCGACAAGAGATGGCACGAAGTCTGTGCCGTTCACCCTGACGTCTGCTATGAACGGTTCTCCGTCCATTTTTGCTTTTCCGCTCACATCCCATTCTCTCACAGCCGCCGCGTGTCCCTAGTCTGAATCTTCATCGCTATGAGAAGAAGTATCGTCTTCGGTGACCTCGGCTTTAGTGACCGCTGGTCGTGACGGGGTCACGGCATTGACCTGAGTGCGTCGGGTCGTGTTTGCGGGTCGGATAGGCGCAGCCAATGGACAGCGCTCGATTCTGCAGTTGTCTCTTCCACAACGGAGGCAACGCCCTTCACGGTAACGGGCGTCCATCTCGGCCTGGTCGACCCACTTGGCACGCTTGCCCAACAGCGCTTGGTCTTCTGGTCGCTTGGATTGGTAACCATATGTGTTCTTATCACTGCGGGTGCGCGTAGCGTTCACTTTCGCGGATGCTTGTAGAGTTGGTTCCCATTCCATCATATCCTCTCGTCTAACTTCGGTTTTCTGGCCAGACTGTTTCTGGGCAGCCTGGCCTCCATGATTCTGGTGGTTGTCATAGTTGTCCGAACTCTTTGTGTTGCCTCGAGGCCTTTTCCACTGACCCAACAATTCCATCTGGCTGCTCAGCGAATCGCACCTCCTCGCCAGCCCAACATAGCTGCTGATGGCAGAGGGGTCAGAGCCTATGAGGGCTGCTTTCATTTTATCGTTTAGGGCCTCCTGGAGGTAGGAAATCTTGCTGTCATCTGGCCAATACTCGGCGTTGGCGTTGGCGATCTCCCTCTCAAAGCGGGGGTAAAAGGACGTGAACGGTTCATTCTCTCCTTGCTTAATCGAATGCAGGTTGCGTGTAGCTCTCTGCTTGCGATCCCTCTCCCCGTACAGCAATTCGAGGCGGTTGAGTAGTTCAGCAACATTGAACGTTTTCTTCTCGGTTTGCATCTCCACAAATGTGGTCACGTTGTCTTTAGCCTTGCCTTCTAGGCTCATGAAGATGTACATAAAGTGGCCTTCTGCATCTCCAAGGGCTTCTTTGTCGACTCGTAGCTTTCCTTCGGTTTCTAGTTTCCAGCTTCGCCACTGGGCCTTGTCGCCGCCGAATTTCGGTATGTCTCGTAATTTGGGGCGCTTGGTTGGGTGAGGGTTGTGAGTGGCGACCACACGGGTGTCCTCAATGGGGACAGCCGGGGTGACAGATGGCGTTGGCTCTAGGAGTTCAGACGAACGGGCTTGCTGGTGTTGTTGGAGTTCCAGGGCAATAAAACGTTCTTCAAACTGGGTGTTTCTTCGGGAACTCTCTTCTCTCAGACTTCGTATCTCGGCAACCAGGGCGCTGAGGACGTCCGGCTGCATGTTGTTGTTATCTTCGGCCATCGCGACTTCGCTGAACGCTAATAGTTCGACGGGACTCAGTTTGGTGTCTTCAGTGTCTTCGGTGTCTTCGGTGTCTTCAGTGTCTTCGGTGTCTTCAGTGTCTTCAATGTCTTCAGTGATCTTGATAGTATGTGAAAGGCCTCTAGTGAGTTGATACAACCAGTGTGTCCATCAACCAAGTAAAGCAGAAAATGACACCCTTACTTGACTTGGTTGAAGGATCCGTTTACTCGACTTGGTTTACTCGAAGAAATGGCTGTGCTTTACTTGGTTGGTTGACATTACTTGACTCCGGGAGCCGATTTGCTTGACTCCGGGAGCCGATTTGCTTGAGTGATCTCTATATCTTGTCCGCCTGTGACCTTGGGACGAGGGGAAAAAAAGTGCTCCTCGAGCATGACTACGATAGCATGCCAGATCGAAGTAGGTGCTTTTGGCATTCGATAGCTGCCACGGTGTTGGAGCTGAGGCGATTCCGCTCATCCGTGATGACCTTTTGGTCTGAGAAAACCCGCTCACATTCAGCACTCATTGCTGGACAAGTGAACAAGTCGAAAGCCATTTGCGACAGAACTGGGTAGTCTGCCGCATGACAGATCCACCATTGCAAGGGATCTTCGACTTCCGAATCAGCCTTGTTATTCCTAGCCATGAACTCGTCGAGCTCAGAAGTTAGTCTCGCTCTTTTCCTCCTTCCCTTGCCGGACGCCGCAAGCTCAGCCAGCATCTGTCGGCGTTTGCGAGCTTCCTGGAGTGGGTCAAGGGCGACGAGATCATCGCCAGCCTTATCAGCGACGACTTCTCCTAGGGCCAGCGACGAAGCCTCCTCATGGTCCGCAGCGTCCGCTTCCATGTATGCGTCTTCGTATTCTGCGAAAACTTCTTGAACCACGCTCTTTGCCTCACTGATCCACTGCTTGTTGTGACTCCACTCAAGTTCGAAGTAAGCAAACTTATTCGCCGGATGCAATGCGACAGCGCACCGATAAGCTGGGGTGGCATCGGTAAGGCCAAAGTACTCTTCTAGCTTGATGCGAGCAGCATCGATTGCGTGGGAATAATACGTTGAAACCACGTCGGGATGGTCATCGGCAAATCTTCCGGCCTCTTGGAGCTTTTGAAGAGGACATCGAATGATTCAATTGTTTCATGAAGGAGCCATGTGATCCTTCCAGGCCAGCTTTATTGGCTCGGCCCTCCATGCGTTTTGTCAGATCTTTGAAAGGCTTCAAGATGTCGAGAAAATGGTGCAAGTCAATCCAATCTTGTAGGGTTAGTACGTCTTGCGAAATGTCGTACCCTACGCCACCGTAGCAATAGTTGAGGAAGAACAGATCAATCGCATGACGGAGCTTGACCGCCCTCTGAATCATTGCATATGCAGAGTTCCAGCGGATTCCGCCGTCGACCAGGACTCTAGTGTAGAGCAGTTCAATGCTGCCTTCCTCGTAAGCCTGCAAAATATACCGTTTCAGCTGTTCCGCCTTTGGTCACTTCTGTTTACCCAAACACAGAAATTGTGAAGTTTACTGACGAAGCTATGCTTTCTCCAGATTTCAAAACGCTCCACTTCAGACGCGCCGCAAAGCTGTTTCTCCAACTTGCCGACACCCTGCCCAAAGAGAAGGGCTTTGACGATTAGGTTGAGCATATGGCCGACGCAGCGCAGGCGACTCTGAGGCTTGATGACAGGATAGCGCTTCGCCAGCTCTCGAATGCAAGTGTCGTTACTACTTGCGTTGTCCATCATGAAGAAACCAACGTTCTGACCGATCTCGTATGACCCCATGACCGCTGCAAGGACTTTGGCGATATTCTCGCCAGTGTGGGGGCCCTTCAAAACTGGCAAATCCAGCAAAGCCGTTTGCAGCTTGTATGCAGCGTCTAGAAAGTGAGAAACTATAGCCAAATAGTTGGTACCTTCTTCAGATGTCCAAGCATCTGTCGAGACGTGGATCTTGCTTTTGGACAGGCGGAGCTGTTCTTTCAGCCAGGCGCGCCTGCCGTTGTCACCGAACCATTTTTCGCTGACCCAACTGCTCAGCGCTGACGGGCTTTTCGGCAAAACTTTGTCGATGTCTTCCAGGCACAATGCAAATATTTCATTTGTTCGTCGGTGAGTCGCTTGGCGGAAAGTCAAATCAAGATCAATGACCCAGTCGGCAAAATGACTTCGAAACTGGAGGTCATTGAACACCATGCGTCGGCTCCCCAAGTACGACGCGGCCTTGGTGGCTCCTTGAGAGATACTGAAGGGGTCGGACCCTGCCACTTTGTAACCGAACTCGGCAAGTTTGTGGTGGTGCCTAAGGTGATAGATGATGCTCGTCGTACTCTCGCTGGCAAAGAGCGCTGTGTCGTGACGTCCGCTCACATGGCAATATTTGCAGAGCCAGTACTTGTTGTCGCCGTCTGTCGTGAGTTGCGCACCGTGTTTGTAGATTATCGATGGTTGCGCCTTCGAGTTCATTGCGCGCTTGTGAGGCTGACGATATCGTATGGTGGCCAACTGGTGGCCAACGGTTTTCTGTCGTAACGAATCTTCTCCCAAGATATAGGGAAAACGCATTGCGATGCCTTTGGCAAGTCCCTTTCATGGGAGATGCTTGGCTCGTCGGGGACCGACTGGGAAGGCGTCTTGGGAGGCGTGACGTGCCGAGATGATTGCAAGGATCGAAAGCTGAGTGAGAGGGCATTGCTGGCTTCCTCAGCGTTGAACAGTTTCTGCAGGATGTTGATGAATCAGGCACGAAGAAAGTAACTGTAATCACCAAGCTCAATCGGCGAGAGGAAAGGGGTTCGTCCACTTTCATGACATGGGTATCACGAAATTGCCTGAAATCAACGCTAGTCAGGTAACTCGGAGTAAACCCGAGTAATGCAGAAAGCTTTACTTTTGCTTGGTCGGAGAGATCGTTACTCGTGATTGACTGTTATGTAATCAACCAACTTCAAGCAACCAAGTCAAGTTACTTGATTGATGGACACACTGGATACAACTAACTAGTCCCTATGCTGTTTACTATCAAGATAGAAAAGAAAGAAAGAAAGAAAGAGAATCTACTACATAAGAGCATAACGGCATTTTATAGCTTCGAGCCAATGGAAGGTTCTAGAAGCTAGGCGGCGCAGCCGCCGTTAAAGCGGCTTGCCCGTTACAAATAGCGGAGTTAAACTCTTAGGCGGTTAGAGAGTTAGAGCTAAAACTTAGAGATAAATTAAGCACCGCGGTCGGAGATAATATTATCGGGTATACTATAGAGGCAATCAAGGCATCCTTTCGTTCCTCACCTCAAGGCATCCTTTCGTTCCTCAAGGCATCAAGTGGCGCGAGCTCTTGATCGTGTGGATCTTGATCTCGGCTCCGCTCTCGACCCCCACGGGCCTAGCCAACGACACGAACGGACAAGGCCTAGGCCCTAAACGGCTCACCATGCGCTCGAATCACCGGGCATCATCCTAGACAGTGACCATCTTCTCGCCCAGGGGGTTGAGGACATTGCTGCCGTACTTGTCGCCGATGTTGCCTGTAATCATCGCGTCAGTACACATCGAACCAAATTTCGAAGGCGAGGGAGAAGTACTTACCTTGAGGGTTGTAGTTGCAGACCGTGTACCAAGAGTCGAAGGGCGACACAGTGCCAGCGGCGCATTTGACGGTGGCGCATCCAACCTTGGTAGTGTCCTTCCAGACCAACTGGGTAAAATGAGCCAATCCCCCCGAGGAGCTCGAGGGAGGCTTGTCCTGGCCATAGAACTGCCAGTTGGCCATCTCGCTGTTGTACCACTGCATGGTGACAGCGGAAGCAGCAGTCTTGACTTTGATGCTGTCAATGTCGCCGCTACCCGCAAAGGCGAGGTTCTGGCCGTAGCCGCCGCCGCCTTGCTTCCTACCAGGGAGTCAGTCTTAGCACCGTAACAAAGTGTCTGCAGTTTCTGAAGAGTGGTGTCTTACATATCATGCTGGAAGATGCAGCTCTTGGCTGTTTTCTCGGCGTACTGAGCCAGAGTGTTGTCCCATGCCAGGTCAGAGGCAGAATGGTTGTGGCGGTGGATGTTGTGCTGCTCGAGCATCGTCTGCTTGTAGTCGCCAAAGTTGTCAGTGGGAGGCTGTGAGCCGGCGCCGGGCTGCGAGGTCGGCGGAGTTGGCTTAGGAGGGGGAGGAGCCTGCTTGGTGGGCCTTGGCTTGTTGATTCGAGGCAGTGGAGGAGAACCAGGGTTGGTCTGGCCGTCCCGACAACCAACAGGATTGGCCGGGCCGACCTTAGTGGGAGGAGCGGTCTCGACTTCGACAGCCGGAATGTTGGTCCGGTTGCTGAGTGGCACGGGTACCAGCTCAACCGGCTGTGCGTCCACTGAACTGCCCGGGGAAGGCTTCCAGCCGTTTTTGACGGCCTTTTTGTGCGGCAAATTGTGCCATTCGGAGCTACCCATCTCCTGGGATGGGCCATTCCACTTGAGCCGGTCCACCTCGCCTTTGGAAGGAGCCGAGTACGTGATGTTTTGTTTGGACACCGCCTCTCCAAGAGGCAAGGCCGCAATGGGTGGCAGCGCCACGCTAAGGAGCATAATCAATCGCATCTTTGCGGATGATCAAATAAGTGTCCAAGCAAACAATGAACGGACAAAATGAACAAAAGACAAGGAGTATAATAGTTGGACAACTACGAGGAAAGAAATGATGAAATTCAGCGCAGTGGCTTTGTACAGTTGGACAAATTCCCCAATGGAAATGGAAGAGGGAATGAAGCTCTCTTATCACCAATCAGGTCGGTCCAGTGATTGTTGGTCGGTTTGCCGCAAGGTCTTGGTGGGCAAACACACGGCTCCGCACGGTTCATTTCAAAATACCATCTCCGTGATTCGTTCTCGTTCGATGCATTCTAGAAGCTTTGCAACTTCATCTCCAGGGGTAACTTTAATATGGAGAGGAAATAGGCCGCTATTGGCCGAGGTACCAAGCCAGCTCAACAGGCGCGAGGATGCGGGTGGGAGGGAGGGATGGGCTTGTAGGAAATCTGGGCTGCCAATCCTAGATGGAGTTGCTCTCTCAGCTGCCTTGGACAGGAAATTACCGCAGCAGACATTGCGTACGCGGGCGAGTGGGCTGGATTGCCGATTCGTGGAATGCTCCCCACATAAGTAGGGGAAAATTTCAGGAGAGTTCGTTTCTGACTGGTCCCATCCCAGGTATTCGGGGGGGCAGGAGCAAGGGGGGAGCCTAGAGGTCCCTTGCTAGTCAACCCCCCGAGTACACTCTGATCATGTTGAGTCCACCTGCATGGTGTAAATATCATCTGAAACTCGCTTCTATCTTGTAGATTAAGGACGGGACGAAAGCTTGGCATGTGATTCCAAGAACTCATAGCGTACCTCCGCAGTCATTACTCGTGCGTGCGGGAACGCTGCTGGGTCGAAAGCCCCATCGGCCGGGGCCCGTTTCAAGTGGCACCGATATCATGTCCTGGCGGGCGGTTAATAAGGCCCAAATGTTATTATGTTCATGCAACTCAGTTGGACTTTTGCTCTCATTGGAGGCTTCCTTCGGGCCAGAGCAGCTGATGAGTGAGGGGCAGTGCGCAATAAGGCAGCGGCGTCCAATGACTCCAATCCGTTCACCGTGGGCAAGGCCAAAGGAACAACAAACCCCACATCATATCACAGGGGCCGGCGCCTGGTATTCAACGACCTGCAATTTAAAGACGACTTTACCGACTGGGTGATCGATCTTGATCTCACCTTTCGTCAAGCAACCCATCAACGCACCCATGAGATATTTACCAACTACCTGGAAGACATCGACAAGATTCTGCCTAAAAGTCCGTCAACTCTTAGTAGCTGGGTTAAAGAGAAATGGGTTGGTGATGCTGGGAGACGTGCTTGGCTAAGGGAAAAGCTCCATCTCGCCATAAGCAAGATTCACGTCTCGACAGATGCGTGGACATCTGAGGAAGGGACAAACGATCTAGCTGTTGTTGCTCACTTCTTGGACGAAGGACATAAGATACAAACATCGCTTCTGGATCTTCCCCCTCTGAAAGGCCCTCACTCCGGCGAGAATATTGCCAAGGTGCTGTCAACAGCTATCGACTTCTACGATATCTCCCAAGACATTGGCTTCTTTATGATGGACAACGCTAGCAATAATGACACATGCATTCAGGAGCTAGCAAAGCAGTACCCTACAATCAACCGTCAGAGTCGCCTTCGGTGCGTCGGTCACATGCTGAATCTCATAGCCAAAGCTCTCCTCTTTGGGCGGGGCGTTAGAAAGCTGGAGAAACGGCTCCGCGGCGCATCTGATGTCCAGGGCGGCTGCCTCGACCTGTGACTTAGTCGCTGGAAAGCCACTGCGTTGTAGCCAAATCACATAGGCGGCGATAGCATCGTCTTCTTCCTCTGTGATAAGCCTTGGCCGCCCAGAGCCTCGAATGCGGCCTTGGTATCGTTGAACACCCTTCTGGACCGTGGATTTGGGCACACTGAAGATTTGGGCTGCCTGGCGTATAGAGACGGCCTTTGGGGGCGGCCCGCGGGTCTGTCGGCGTCGATCCTGTGCGAGGTCATTGCGAGACTCAATAACTAGCTTCACAGCCCTTGACGCGGCGGTTGACTCGAACATCATAGGTTAGGACAGTGAAACACGTCTTGAGCATCACGCGTTCTCGTGTTTTGGTGGGAAAACACACTAACTACGAGGGAGCTACGATAGTGGGGTGGTGGCCACGCGTCCACACCTTTTGGGGCTGTCCACGCTTTTTGCAGCCAACTAAGGGGCTCCCCTTAGTTGGCTGCCAGAGGCCCCGCCAACGGGTAAGTCCTTTCGTTCCTCAAGGCATTTCGAGGGGGAAAAAGTCTGGCGGGGGTGGGCCGGGCGCGGGGCATAATCCTTTCGTTCCTCAAGGCATCGTTCCTCAAGGCAAAGTGGTGCCCACCTTTGGGGGGGTTGACTTAATCCGATTACTGATGGTAGGCACCTATGTGCCTACAGATACGCATGCGCACAAGCTGTAGGCTGAGTCACAGTCACGACAGGTAGGGTAACCGGTGATGACTTCAATTGTAACTAACTAGGGAAGAGGAAGCTATTCACAAGAAACGGAATGTGCACCCGGTAATGGGGGCATGCAGCCGGGGCTGCGTGCCCTGATCGCGGGGTAGGGTGTCACGTGGGAGTCGTGCATGAACCGTGATGGTATCCCGATTGCACGGGTTACTCAGCAGGTTAGTATTCCAACAATTACCGGATTATTTACCGGTCAGCCTGCCCCTGGACCAGTGACACGACTGTGGGCCTTCTGCACAGCCTCCACCCTTGATTCTTACTAGACACACTAGGACGATTTTCATGCCAAGAACATTTTATACAAGCAAGACGCGGCTCAGCTCGTCCAGCATTGCCACACGTGTGTTTATGCGGTGCCGGCGGAGTCGCCTATGGAAGCCGTAACTCTGTGTATAGGAACTTTTGCGGCCAGGCGCAGTCATATATATATGTTGACGTGCTGGACTGCGCCCAGGCCCTGCCGTCTCCCTCAAAGAGGCAACTCCCGCTCGGCAACCAGCTAAGTTCAATTGCCAAAACTTCTATTATTCATATATTTATGTAGAACATCAAGGTCGTTCACAAGCGCGAATATTATTATCTTATACCCAACTCCTCCGAGGTACGCCAACTTATAAGTAGGACCTTTGCAAACATCTACCCAACATGCGAGCTTCCATATTAGCAAGCCAGGTTATCTACATTGCTTACACAACTCTCTCGGTATATGCAGCACCGCCAGATGCCTCAAGCAAGTTTCCCCCACTTCTGGATGCAACGCTCGACCAGCTTCGGCAGGGGCTCGACGGCGGTGCATTTACAAGCGTCGACCTCGTCAACGCCTACGTCGCCCGCATTAACGAGGTGAATTCTGCGCTCCGTCCCGTTGCCGAGATCAACCCCGAGGCTCTTGCCATCGCCACGCAGCTCGACTCAGAGAGACGCAGCAACGGACAGGCCACAGCCTCGAAGCCTCTTCACGGCATCCCCATCCTCATCAAAGACAACATCGCAACTTGCGACTTGATGAACAACACAGCTGGCTCGTACGCGCTGCTTGGAGCCAAAGTGCCTGAGGACAGCACCGTAGCTGCAAAGTTGCGCAAAGCAGGTGCCATAATCTTGGGGAAAGCAAACCTATCACAGTGGGCGAATCACCGAAGCCTCAACACGTCAAATGGCTGGTCAGCTTATGGCGGACAGACTGTCGCCGCCTACTACCCAGGCCAGGACCCGTCGGGCTCGTCTTCGGGTAGCGGCGTCGCTTCCTCCATTGGCCTGGCATGGGCATCTCTGGGCACCGAAACCGATGGGTCTATCCTATCGCCCGCTCAGATTAGCAACATAGTCGGAATAAAGCCATCGGTTGGTCTGACTTCGCGCTACTTGGTAATCCCTATTTCAGAGCATCAAGATACGATCGGTCCTATGGCAAGAACCGTCAAAGATGCGGCCCATCTCCTTTCAGCAATCGCAGGACCGGACGGCAAGGATAACTACACCTCTGCATTTCCCTTCCGCAGTGTTCCGGATTACGCCAAAGCCTGTACCAATGATGGTCTCAAGGGGAAGCGCCTCGGAATCCCTCGGAAACTCACAGACGGAAACGGGACGGATCCAACAGCGGCCGCTTTCCAGTCGGCCCTAAAGGTATTGCGCGAGGCTGGCGCTGAGATTGTCGACAACTTGACGTTTCCTGGCCTTGATGTTCTCAATGAGAAGTACCCTAACGCTGAGGATGTGGTACTCCGTACCGACTTCGTCTCTAACCTCAAAGAGTATCTGTCACATTTGGTCTCAAATCCTAATAATATCACGTCCCTCGAGGACTTGCAAGCATTTACGCAAGCCTCTCCCAAGGAATATTGGCCAGAGCGCGATACTGGCATTTGGAATGAGACGCTGGCCCGAGGCTTGAACAAAACCTCTCCTGAGGCCTATAGCAACGAGACGACTATACGCTATCTAGCGGGCCAACTCGGGTTGACGGGCGCACTCAAGAACTATACTCTTGACGCAATTGTGCTCCCTACCGACTTCATCATCAACGTTGCTGCTCTTCTGGGTACCCCGGTTGTGACGGTTCCTCTAGGAAAGATGCCAGCCAACACATCATTTACCAAGAATTCGGTTGGAAACTTGAATGAAACGGGACCGAACAAGCCGTTCGGGATTGGGTTCGCGGGCGACAAGTGGACCGAGGAAGCGCTAATTGGAATGGCGTATGCCTTTGAGCAGAGGATGCAGGTTCGGACGACCATCAAGCTGTTTATCCAGCCTCGAACGGAGCTGAAGGATGTCGTGAAGAAGCAATAAGAAAACACCGTAGTTGGAATAAGTTGTTATCCGAACAAAGGTACTACGAAGCATTATCGGTAGCCGATCACATGGCGTTATAGCCAGTTTACTGTACCTAGTTCAAGATTTTCATGACCTATCTCCCCAAGCCCGTGACAGAAAAACAGAGACCTCAAAATAAAAACACATATATCATTAGAGTAAAGCTCAATATATATGTACCTGTTGGTGGAACGTTATGCCAATACACATCGGAATAAGAAGGGGGTCATACACGAAGGTTCAAGATGCATGTTCTATGTCTAAAGGGGCAGTCTGAAGGGGCTATTTATACAGGAGGTCTTAGGGACTTCTGGGGACCTCCTGAGTAATGGGCTCTACCCACGCATACGTGGCTGTGCTCACGCATAAAGGGGTTGCCTTCCTTACTCAGGGAGTCCTCATGCGTTCCTGCTACATGGGCCAGGAATCCCTTCTCCGGGTCCCTCCCTAACAGGGCTACCCTGGTCCACCGACAGTACCTAATAACGGCCTTTATAGGGCCCGACTAACCAGCAAACCCCTCTGACTAGAGAGCAAACTTAAAGTGGAGAAGGTGTGGCTTGTCAAGACGCAGCGCCGATACCGCACACAGGAGACCGGCCCTGCGGGGCCGCCAATGCCTTGAGGAACGAAAGGAGAGGAAAGGAGAAGTGGCGCACAGGTGGCGCAAGAGGAGCACGGATCGCTTGGTGGTCTGTGCGTCCAGGGGAAGGGGGCGGAAGGAAGAGCCTTTCGTTCCTCAAGGCACAGGAGACCGGCCCCTTGCAGGGTCCGCCAATGCCTTGAGGAACGGGACTGAATTTGGTTCCACACTGGCAGGTCTGCTGAGACGATGAGGCTTGCTCCCGGTAGTGTGGCTGCTTGGACGCCATTTTACCCCGCCACAACAAGGTGGGTTGAGGGCGGGCGGGGTAAGAACGCGGAGGTAACTTGTAGGCCATCATCTCGAAGGGCAAAGGAGTCTGAACTGTTCGCGAATCATGCAGTAAAGTGTAACAGTTTGTTAAGAATCGACTCAATGCCTCCGATTGATTACTCAAAGTGGGACAACATCGACACCGATTCGGAGCCAGAGGCATCGCCCCAGCAAGCGCCAGCAGCAAAACCCACCCGCCGCCCACGCATGCCTCCCCGCCGATGGGTACATCAGGTTTGAAAACGCACAGCAAGTCGGGGCATGTCGAAGCTGTCATTGTCCGATGTGAGGCCGAGAAACGCAAGTTTCCCCTTTGGTCTGCCACTACAATCCCTGCGAATCATGTCGTGTTTTCGCAGTCGGTGCCGTCCGTCCCAGGGCTCATCGAGGTCCCGCTGGTCCTGGATCGGACGGGGACTCAGTCCGTCAACGAGGCAGACCTCGACAACCAGATTGCTACGTACCTCAATATTGATGCCAACTCCGGGTTTGCACCTCCAGACTGGCAGTCACAAGTTGGCACCGTCGTGGTCGCGCGCAAGGACAGGAAGCCATTTTATCCGCAGCATCTCGAAGGAGTGTGGATGTTCTGCGACCATATCCTGGACCTGTTCGGGGAAGGAGACGGGCCGCCGAGGTGGCTTTACAGCCGCCAGGCGTTCGAGGAATGGTGGGTAAATTATTGTGAGGAGCAAAAGCGCTTACGTCCTGGGAAGGGAGGGGAGCGAGATCCGGACGACTGGCGTGCGGTCCGGTCACCTTATGAAGTGTAGGACGTCTACGTGCCGCGTTACGACGTGCGAAAGGTCAAACTATAAGGATGGTTAGTATACTAGCACTACTTTTCGAAACCTTGGTCCTTGTATAACCGTCTCGTTTCCGCGGCCAAGTTCTTGAGTCTCTGCATTCCATCAAGAATGGCCTGATCGAGCCCATTGCCAATGAAGTCATGGTGTCTCACGGGATTAAGAAGCTTGATGCCCCGAAGCGAGGTGCACCTGGATAGTTGCACATAGAGGCTCGTAAAATCGCACCTGGAGGGTTCACCATTGGTCACACGATTTCCACGCAGCTCCAACAGTACTTCGACGAATGTTTTACCCTGGGCTTTGTAATCAGTGAGAACGAACGCTGGTACAGCGGGCAGTCCACGTCGCGTGCATCTTGCGGATAAGAACTTGAAGTGAGAGTTAGTCGAATCAAGTGTATGCGACATGGGCCGGATAAGTACTGTCCCCACCGGGAGGACGGTATCGCCAAGGTCTTCGTCTCCTCGGACTGCAGAAGAATGCCGAGCGGCGGCCCGAAGTGGATGGTCACGTCATCTGCCAAGCAGTATCCCGGGTGATTGGGATCGATTATCACGTCCACGGCAGTAAAGTCAGCCCCATTCACCACCTTCAGGCCAGTGTAGATGTTCTTGTTCACAACCACGGGCATGCCCTGGGCGTAGAAGAAGACGCCGGGGACTTTGCAGGCAGAGTCGTCGCCTTGTCCGATGGTTCGCGCTATGAGGTTTGGAGACAGCGTGCCGTTGCGCCAGGTGTGAGTCGAGACAAAGATACGGATGTGCCGCTTGTTGAAGCGCGCCCAGCCCACAACAGCTTCCATGTTGAGGCCCACCGGGTGCGGTTCAGCGGCGTTATAGCGCGCAAACCATCGTGGAAGGTGATTTGCGAGCGTCCTACAATGTTGGCATTGAGCAAGCTCAGATCTTCATGGGTCTGGCGCCCGTTACGAACTCGATCCAGGAGTGCACGGAGCTGGGGATCGTTGCGTGCGCGGACTTGGTCTTCGAGGAGCACCACGGTTTTGAACAGATGCCACAATCTGCAGCCGCTGTGGTGAGATATGGTCGCTTGTCGCAAGGGGGTCTCTGTTCGGTCCGGCGGTCTGATGATCAGTAGGCTTGTCTCCCGCACGGGGGCGAACTGGTAGAAGTCTCCCATCAGTAGAACGACGGGCATGCCGCCAAACGGTTCGTCCGGACAGTCACGGAGTGCCTGCAGGTAATGACTGACGTTGTGCAGAGTGGCTCCTCCCAGCATACTGACCTCGTCAATCACGAGTACCAGCTTCTGTTTCCAGATCCACTTCTTCGCCTCCGAGAAGGGGGGAGGCGGTTTGTTTGGATCGCGATGGGAATCTAACCCACAGGCCGAGTGGATCGTCGTGCCGCCAATCTGGGCCGCCGAACTGCCCGACGTGCCGGTTATCTGCAGAAGATGCGGCTGGTTCCTCGCCGCGAACACGTCCTTCAGGGCATCGATAATCCTCGACTTTCCCGTGCCACCCGGCCCGCCGGTGTATTGAAGATGCTGACCCGCTGAGTCCGGATTAGCAGTATACTTGTCCAGAAACAGGCAAACGAGTTGAAGGGCCATGGTCTGTAGATAGTTCAGTGTAAAGCTGGCCGCGGCGGTGTGTCCCATCTCCGCGAAGCTAGTTGCCGGACTGACGTCGACAAGCATCCGAGGGCCTCGTTCATTGAGGTCGCTGCCCGGGAGCGCAGCAGGGGACTCCGTATCGCCGTAGCGAGCTAGCGTATCGTCGATGTCGGCGCCATCCGCGGAAAGCATGGTCCCCTGGGAACCACCCTCAATGTCGTCTAGCATCCGAAGATGCAATAGTTGTTGGGCCTTGGCCGCTGCCTGGACATCGTCTCGAGATATGGGGAGTTGACACAAGGCGTCACCTTGATCATGGGGCATATTCCGGTACAGATCCTCTTGACGTTGGACAAAAGGTTGCTCTTCTCCAGCCGGGTTCTCTTCGCACAGATCGTGTATTAAACCTCCAAGGACGGGTGAGTCTTTTGTGGCGTCCGTGTCCTGCACGGCATTTCGCAAAATCTGGAGTAGAGCTCTGTAGGCCTGACGATGAGCCATCGCTGGAGGCTCTTCTTCGTATCGGCCATCGTCAAGCGGGTACTCAACGTCAATTGTGTCGTCGCCCTCCGACCGACTGGCCCAGAGCTTCGCGTCCTTACGCGCGTCTTCGGCAGACTTTCTCAAAAGACAAATGTTAGAGACGTAGAAACGGAGGCGGGGACAAAGGCCCGCTCGATGCGTCGTCCATATGTCGGTTATATCACCTAGGCTCTCAGAAGTGAAGTTTTCCCAAGGGACGAATAACGCCAAATGTAGGACAGAGTTTCTACACAGAGTGTCAGACGGAGCCAAAACGGTGCCGGGGGTTAGAGCGTACCGCTTAATATAGACTGGGTGATCGTCCTCGTGGTCGTCGCTGATGTATCCTTGGAAGATCGGGACGGCGTACTGGTCGGGCCGTCGAAGCTTTTGCATCCAGCCTTCACAGTCTGAATCCTGGCCATCGAGAAAAATGTGAGAGTCATCTTCACTCCGACCATTTCGACGCACCAAGTGAATCATTGACATGTAGTCATACAGGCATAAGTCTTGTAGAACATGACCGCGGTAGGCGTACGCCTCCAGGCATAATAGGGTTCGCCCTCCTTGCCTCAGAGGGATTGTCTCTGGGGGCTGTTCGGCGTCCGTGAGCTCGCCGGCCTGATGGCGGAGATGCGCCCATAGCCGAAAGATTGTCCAGTATAGGGCCGTCAAGTTCAAGAAGGACCAATGCGGCACGTTGGTAAAGTCGGTGTCATATCCAAGGAGGTGGTAACAAACCTCGACAGCCGAGAGTTGTCGCTCGGAGAAGATGCGATTTGCCGTTCTCATCAGGAATTGACGGCTTTCGTTCAATACCGCCTGCTGCCTGCCGTCGGGCAGGGCGGGACCTGGCGCGCGAGACGTCGGACGACCGGCCTCGCGAAGTTGGCGGGCAACCTCGGTGGCGAGAGCAATGCGCTTCCACATCGGCGTATCCAGTTTGGTGGCGTAGTTCGTGATGTAGTACACCATGGCCAGGCCCTTGGTCTTGGTCAAGATCATCGAGACGTCGTGATTGTGGCGAAGGCCGACCGCCAACGACTTGTTGTACCGGTTGACGAGTGGATGGTTGCGCTGAATCTGAAGCAAGCCATCCTCTGTGAACCCTGTCTCCTCGACGATTTTCCACGGTGCCTTGAAGCGGCAGGCTGTCCGTCTCTGTTGATCTGCCCCCCGGTCGATGACCCCCTTCAGAGAATACTTGAGGCAGGTGTATGTGTGGGAGTGCGCTTGGCAACAGTATGCGATGAAATTGGATTCGTCTTCAAAGGCCGCAGTGAGAGCCGAGGTGCTAGTCATGACCTCCTCCACGGGATCGATGGGCTTCCTCTGCTGTCGCACGGCTTTTCCGGCATCTTCATCTAGACACTCATGAAAGACGGAGTCTGCGTATCGGATCACCTGGGCACGATATGATTCTTCCGCGGGATTGGCCATGTCGTCCATCAGGTTCGGCAGTCGCATGTTGCCGTCCAGCCAGAGGAGTCCATGCAAGTGGAGGCTGCCTCGCTCGTTCGTTTCCACGGTGGCGTAGTAGTGGCTGATCTTCCCGAAGATCGATTCCCGGCCTGTATTCACATACTTTTCAAAGAATAGGGATATTTCTCGGTGGAAGAAGATGGCCGAGCTGACCGAATCCATGGTGCTCAGGGCGATCCTGTCGTACTTTTCACGGAGATCGGCCAAAAGCTCCTTCGCAGACTCATAATCGTGGAGCCTATGAATGGCAAGCTTCATCTTTACCGGGTTATTGATGTCGTTGGGACTGATGGTAATCCAGATTGCAGGCATACCGGCGCGGATGTCCAGAGCTTGTATCTTCCTCCGCATAAGCAAACGGGATTCGTTCGAGAGCGGCTGTGCATGGCCAAAGATCGACAGCTCGCGAAGCAAGAGCGATATGTCGGGGTCCGACCAGTGTGGCTAACAGACAGACCGTCTGACAGACCGTCTGAAGGTGGTCTGACAGACCGCAGACCGACCGACCGCCAATTCTCATCAGACCGACCGACCGGAGCAGTCAGTCGGTCTGGGTGGTCTGAGTCGGTCTGACTGGACTGGTGTTCCCGTGATGCCATTGGTCCGTTCCGCCTTAAGGTAGCACCTACCTAATGTCAACAAGTTACGCGTCTGCCCTGCCAATTTTCGCGTCTTCCCATCCATCTACGAGCTACAGTGTATCATACCGCGTCATTATGTCTTCTAGTAGGGATACGAGCCCCGTGTCGTCTGTACCGCAGTCATTTGCATCCCGTCCACATCCCACCCCAGTTAATGACAGTCATGAGGCTACGCCTGCCACGTCCGAGGCCAGAGCAGACGAGACAGATGCTTCACAATGCGAATTTGACATTGATTGGGAGAACATCTGGCACGGCGGCAAACGACTTTGGGTGCCAAATGAGACCCCGTCACAAAAGGGTGGTCGGCACAAAGATCAAAGAGTCGTGGATCTACAGATACGGCGCGAACTTGGAGCATAGCGGAGTACGTTACTGGCTTTGCAGAATCTGTCACGGGAAGAAGAACTATTCGACAGCGTTATACGCCTCCTCAGGGACGTCTCACGCCGCGAAGCACCTGCGTCGTCAGCACCAAATCACGGAATTCGGCGAGAGTCGTCCCGGATTGAAGACTCCGTTTACCTTGGCGGCTACGTCACCATCCTCTTCGTCCCTACCTTTATCTCGACAGGCCAGCCTAGGCTACCAGCTCGCCTCCCATTTCGACGAGAGGACATGGAAAGCTCGCTTTGTGGACTGGGTCATAGTGGAAGATGTCACCTTTCGACAAGCATCCAGCGAGCGGCTTGGGTGGCTCGTATCGAATGGAGGAGAGCTTGCAAGTCGGCTACTTCCGGAGCATCACACCACGATCTGCTCATGGATTCGTCAAGCCTTTGAACGCCGACAGCAAATTGTCTTTGATCTCGTCAAGAACGCGAAGAGCTCGGTTCACACCAGCTTTGATCTATGGACTGCTTCAAATGCGTTTAACTACGTCGGAATTGTCGGACATTTTGTTGGCAGTGAAGGCCAAAAACGCGATGTCCTTCTTGGACTTCCGCGCTTAGTCGGTCCACACTCCGGTGAGAATATCGCCGCCTATCTCAAGGAGGTAATCGATCGATACGAGTTGGGGTCCAAGCTTGGATACTTCATGCTTGATAACGCCAAGAGCAACGATACCTGCCTAGAGACGCTTGCTAGGTGGTTTCCAATGGATGTCAGCCGACGCCGCCTACGCTGTATAGGCCACGTTATCAACCTGGTTGTCCGAGCAGTTATTTTGGCTCCAACGTCAGTAAATTCGAGGCTGAGCTTCGTGGAGCTACAGATGAGTTCAAGTTCGACATTTGGGCCAAGAAAGGAGCTATCGGCAGACTCCACAACATTGCCACCTACATTCGACGGACAGATCAGCGACGACAGGGTCTTCGGCATTTGCAGACCTGAGCTCGCTGGTGACGATCCTATTTTTACCCTGGAGATTGTTGTTGACGGCAAGACTCGCTGGAACTCTATATACATGATGATCAAACGCGGTACGTTTCTCGTCCGAGGTTGCTTCCGTATTCTGAGTACTGACAACTTGTCGGCTTACACCAGCACTCGAACTGCGCTGCGCCATTGAGCTCTATCAATCTCGCTGGCAAAAGCCTAAGAATGACCCTGATCACCGTGACCTACCGGTAACTAACGACTTCCTCAACGCTGGGGACTGGGTTGAATTAGAGCGTTTCTACGAGTTCTTGAAGCCGTTTTATATCCTGACGAAGACTATAGAGGGCAACGCCAGTAAGCCGGGGGCGGAGGGCGGCCACGGCGCTCAGGCGCTGTGTGGGAGACACTTAAAACCATGGACTACCTGTTCATGAAATTCAAGCAGGCCGCGGAGGATACTCAGTTCGAGGAGGCCTCCCATTTTAAGTCGGGAATTGACTGTGGATGGGCGAAGCTTGAAGACTATTACGTCAAAACCGATAGGACACCTGTTTATCGGGCAGCTCTAGCACTGCACCCGTCGTATGGGTACGACTACTTCGAACGACACTGGAAGAAGGCGATGAACAAGCCGCAATGGTATAGCGACATGCAGTCGGCTGTTGGTAGCCTATTCGATGAATACCGGAGGCAGACTGAAGTTGAAACTCAGGCTCAAGCTGGGTTTTTGGAAGACGAATCCGAGGAAGTCGACGCTGACAATGACTACAGCTCGTTTGGAAAGAGATCGATTAGCTCGTTAAACACACAGCGGAAGAAGGTCAAGGCAGTGAGTGAGCTTGACTTATTCCAGACCAGGCCAATTTACGCCCAAGATCTTGACGTTGCAAACCCTCTTGAATGGTGGAGCCGGCATCAACTGGAATACCCAGTCTTGTATCGAATGGCGCTAGATCTGTTCTCAATTCCTGGCATGAGTGCTGAATGTGAGAGTGTTTAGCCAGACAAAGAAGATGATCACAGACGAGCGCAATCAGCTATCGCCTGAAATAGTCGAGGCTGATCAGCTTCAAAAGCAGTGGCTAATGAGAGGGTTGGTAGCTTAGTAGGTGTCTATAATGAAAGAAAAGGTATTTTTGGTCTGTGGTTATTTGATAATACCCCATACCGTAGCACCACGGAATCAGTCAATCAGACCATCAGACCATCAGACCGACCGGCCCTCCAACCCAGACAGACCTAGACCGACAGACCGACAGCCACGGCAAACCCAGACCGACAGACCGAAGGGGCCGGTCTAGGTCTGTCGGTTTGTTAGCCACACTGGGTCCGACGTAGTCCTCGTCTCCCGCATCTCCGCCTCGGCCCTCTTCAGTCGGTCCTCGGTCAAGTTCGCATAGGCCTGCTCAAGTCTGTGGAAGGAATCTTTAGCGACACGGACCATGCTGATGCGGCGGTTGGAGGAGCGAAGGAGGGTGTTGAATACTAAGAAACAAAAGACAGGATGGGTGGCGAATCGGCCACCATGCCGTTGCAATACGTATCTGGCCCAGTATTGAAGAGAGTGATTCGGACGACGGTCGGCAGCGTCGCTTTGTCGGCCATGACTCGAGTCGCCCTTCGATTTCGGGCCGCCCCTTCCCCACGGGAAAAGCTTCGGAAATGTTCGAGGGAAGAAATCTTCGTGCAGGTTGTCTGCAAAATCCGCACCACGCTCTACTCGGACAAACGGCTGGTCTCCTGTAGTTCGGACCTGCATAACGCATGGCACAGAGGTACCCTGTTGGTCCGGATTGGCGTTGACGATGTCGGCCAGAAACGACAGTTTATCGGTCTCGGCGAAGGCAGCCGGACCATCGAGAGGAAACATGCCGGACGTAGACGTCTCGTAGACAGGATCAACTTCCTGGCCGATGGCGGCCGAGTCGGGGACAAGAGTCGCCGGCTCACCAGGGGAAGGTTGAGTCTGCTCAGTCGACAGAGCACAGTCCAAATCGCAAGATTCAGCGATGAAGATAGGATCGATGGAGTTTACGAGTTCATCGATGCTTGTAAAGCTGTTTTCCGCCAAGCCTCGGCCCTCGATCAGTGTTCGGGACTATATGGTCCGTTTGTGTCCTCTCAACGGTCGACGGTTCCTCTCTTTGCATGCGGTCCATGATGACGGTCGGAACACTGGACCCATCGGCATACTGCCAGCCGTCCATCTCTGCTTGGTTGATTGAGATATTCTCGTAAAGCGGGTTGTTCCTCTGGAGCCATGCCAGGGCGGCTGCCACTCGAGATTTGCGCACCCGAAGCAGGTGTCCGACGTCTGCGGAGCCAGGCTTAGCCGAGCCGCTCCAAGAGACGTGGATATTCTCAATGGCTTGCAGCAAGGGATGGGGAAGAACGGTGGCAACAAGATCGTCCACCTTGTTCGGAAAGACGACAATATGTCCTTTCACGTGCTTGCGGTAGCTGATTCCCGAACGGGTCTTGTTGTCCACTGTGAACTTGGTGATATAGCCAAAAGGCGCATGTAGGGCAATGAGTCTCTCTTCGACGGGAGAGGTCATCAAGCTCGTCGGGGTACCGATGCTCACAACCGATGGCCATGTTGTTGACAGAGCAGGCCTTGGGCAGCCGTCCACTGTCGAAGCTGACGCGACACTCGCGGCACACGTCAGCTCCGGCGCCCTGGTGTGACGGAAGGCACGCACCACACTCTTGGATGGTCCTGGTCGCCCACATCATGGAGGGCGACAAGCGATCCCTCCACTGCATGGTGGCGAGTTCGCAAGGCGGTGTCTTCCTGTAGCAGAAGACGCAGTGGGACACCGGCAACGTCCGTTCCTCGGTAAACGCTTGGTAGAAAGATTTAGCAGCTTCTACCTGGAGGGCAACTGGAACTTCGTTGCACCAGGATCTTGTCGATGATGCCTGCTCTTTAGAGCGGAAACAGGCGTCATAGTGATGTAGCGTAGACTTGACGGAGTCTCGTTGGAGCTGAACGGTTTCTCGCGTAGGCCCGGGCCTCGTGGGGAAGCGCCCCGCCCGTGTGAGCGATGAAGGGCGAAGCGGTTGTTCCGCACTGGATCGACTCGGTGATGGAGAGGCCGGCGTCTGCGTGTGTCTTTTGGAGGAGCGCCTTGGCTGCGTGGGGGGTGGAGTGGGAGGTGTCTCCTCTTCTCTGTGTCGTTTCGGTGATGGAGCGGCCGGCGGCTGCGTGTGTCTTTTGAAGGAGCGCCTTAGCTGCGTGGGAGGTGGAGGGGGGGGTGATTGCCCCTCTCTAGGTCGTCTCGGTGATGCAGTCGCTGGCAGCTGCGTGTGACTTGTACGGGAGTGTTTTGGCTGCGTTGGGGTGGAGGAGGGCGCTTGCTCTTCTCGGGGTCGTCTCGGGATGGGTTGTTCGGCTGTTGCGTGTGTGCGGTATATTGGAATTGAGCTTCACGGCGGCGGGTTCGTTCTTCGGCGCGCTGGCGGTCCATATCGTGCAAGACGCGGAGGATCTCGTCGTGGGGAACCCTAATAAGCGGTGAAGGTCGTTGACAGGAACGGCGCTGCTGGGATCTCTGCGATTCAAGATCACCCAAAGTGCGGCGAACTTCCTCGGGCGAGACCGTGACGGGGTGTTCTCGTGGCATGGTGCACGGTGATGGCTGTAAAAGGTGAGTTGGCCCCGGGGAGTGGGACCGGAGCAGGAGCGGGACGGGAACGGGACGGGAACGGGCAGCAGGAACAGGAAGTTGGTGGGGAAAGAAACAGGTGGCGGTGAAGAGTGGCTGGTGGGCACGGAGCGGCATGCGGACCGTGCGTAAGGGGTAGAGGATGTGGAGGTGTGGCGAAGGGCGCGGAAGAAGGATCCTTTCGTCTCTTCGTTCCTCAAGGCAAAGAGGCGGAAGGAAGAACCTTTCGTTCCTCAAGGCAAGGCAAAGATCCTTTCGTCACGTCGTTCCTCGTTCCTCAAGGCAAAGCCATGCTTGTTTAGAAGCTCCCGTAGCTGCTTGTTCTCCTCGGCTACTGTCCTCGCGGCCATCTGGATCTCGGTCGAAGCCTCGATGCCCTGGAGCTCGTATACCCTCAGTCGCTGTTCGAGCTCCTGGACATACTCTCTCCGTCGGGCGCGCGATCTCCTTTGGTTGTCTCGAATTCGGACTAAGCTATTCTTCTGCTAGAGCAGAGAAAGAGACGGAGTTTCGTGTTAGAAAAGGCCATTCCTGTCGATGGCATCACCTGGGTTTATGTCACTTACTGCGGGGGCCGACATTTACCTTGCAGGCTCGTCTAAAGACTGTTTTTGGCTAGTGAAGGAGGAAAGTAAAATAAAAATAAAAACCAGGTGAATAGTCCCGTAAGTAGAGTATCGGCCCAATGCTGGGTGTCGGGAAAGAATGGGGGTTGGCAAAAGGAAAAAACGAGGAAATGGACAAAACTTGTTAGATCTCTGGCAAGGGAAGTATTTGGGGAAAGAACGAGTAAGATAGCTACAGCAGCTTCACGCCTTCTTTGCCTGGCTGCGTGCTGGTCATGGCGTAGCCGTTGCAGTCTTCCCAGGGGCTTGGACAAAGGACAGTCGGATTTGCATTTTACGGGTCACATTTGCCCCGTGTTGGTGGGAAATAGAACACTCGCCCCTGAGTAAACGTGATGAGTCGGTTGGTTAGCCGGACCGAGTCTTGGGAGCCGCTCGCTTTAGAGCCCCTGCCTGTTTGCCAATATTTCATAACTGTCATATCCAACCAGTATTGCAGAACATCAGTACCTCGGCAGCCGCGGACGCAGGTCTCACAGAGGCTACCTTCTTCTTCCGAGGTGGATGCCGACGTGGGCAGCCCTTCCCTTGTCACGAGGCTTCCTTCCCTGCGAGCTTCGCCACCCCCCCAGCACTTCCCATGCCAGGACGAGGGAAGAGAAATCAACAGGCAGAATCCTGCGTCACGCTCACCCCCTGACCCCCACTGCAGGGGAGCTAAGGGCCAGTCTGCATGCATGGTTCGGAAGAGGCGGTCCGCCCAGTCACCCTAGACTCTAGAGATTCGTCCCGGTGCCTATTTGGAAGTTGGCTGCTGGTGGATTTGGGATGTGATCGACGCGTAGATGCAGAAGCTGGAGGTGTCCTGGTCAGGGATACACGGACTATTTGATGCAAGGGATGGTTGAAGACTTAGGCTGACTGGTAGACGTCCCCCCTAAAGGGTGGCTCACAGGCATCAGCCAAGCAACAGCGGACCACAACCCCGAAACAAGAGGAAGGTGCATGAGCCAACCCGGCTGAAAGCTGGCACGAAGTGGCCAAGGTCACATTGCGGAGGACTGGCGGGATAATTTGCTGGAGCTTGCATCAGGGGTTACAGACAAGCTCGACCCGGGAAGCCCATTCCACACTCGTGCTGAAAGCAGATATTATTCTTCTCTATCACTCTTCTTGTTCTTGCAGCTCTCCTAGGGCCAACGAGCGGCGGACGATCTAACGAAGGCCCTTCTGCCCGCCATGTCGACTGACTCTGCCTCGACGACTCAGGAAGATGAGAGTCCCCTTGACACTAAGTCGGTTTCCTGTGGACAAACTGGTCATCTCCGTGCCCTTGATAGGTTTCTACGTCCTGTCTCGCCAACTTCGGAGGTTTGGGACACCGAAACTCAATACAACGGCGCAGGACGTCGCGATGAACAGGCGCAAGGCGAGATTGCAGAGCCACCTACAGCAGCGGCACATCCGGTGCTCGCACCTAGCCATCTTCATGACTCTTCCTCCTGCAGCGACGGGAAGGAGAATCGTCCTCCTGGACTTGTATTTCAGGTCGCCGTATCCGACACTTGCCATCGAGTAGAGGCCAACGGATCCATCGATAGCGGACAAGACGAACAAATTGAACTGAAGTTCGGCTTCCCTCTTCGCAAGCCTGTTCAAATCACCTTGAGGTTCTCCCAGTGTTCTCCTCCAGGCTCGTCACGATGCACCAGACAGCGCGAGCGGAGGAGCCATGATGAAATCACCGGGAGGAAGGATGCATGGCTTCGATCGCCTGAGCAAAGATGGCAAGCTCCTAGGCAAAGGCACAAGAGGCAGCGTGCTCAGAAATTTCGGAGGAGCAAGCGACCGGCCGTGGAAGAGTGTTGAATTTGAGTATCTTTACCAGCCTTAGAATGGGGGTGGTCCCTTGATGCCTCCTCCATGAAACATTGATTCCACAAGCTAGTATCAACATCCTCGGTCGTCTTCATACGAGACTTGTCGGGGAACTGCCTTGTATTGGCGATTCATGCGATGTGTGCTGATAGTTCAATCCGTTGTAGCCTGTAAATGCCCCCTGCTGCCTTTATTTACAGTTACCGTGCATTCAAGGAACAAGGTTCGATGACAGCATCGGCTCAAGCTCCGCATAACATGCCCCATCACTCCACGAATACTGTAGTGCCTCTAGGACACGGCTTACATACTGGACATTCGGTAAGCAAAGGTCACAGCGTAAGGTAAATCGTCCTTACCGTTAATCCGAAGCATTCCATTCCAACCAGCCGCTGACGCAAGGCATTTTGCTGGTATGGGTCGACGGTAGCAATGTGTCAAGATCAAGACGCTCATTCACGGTGCTGCCTAAAAGGCAGCAAGCAGTTCGTAATGCCATATTAGTGATGGATTCGAACCTTCTAGGTTGTCACAAGTAACTGGAAAGATGCCATGCATGTGAGGGTTATTTTGAGTCAAATTGGCCTTGACCACTGCCCAAGTCAAGGGGACAAAGGTCCCAGTTATATACACAAGAATGGTGCCCCTGTAGGTTGGGACGCCTCCTCGGCTGGGGCGGAATATCGCTTGACACTCCCACTCGTTCCAGTCCGAGGGGCCTTACCTCCGACCTCTTGGTTACACTCTGACGGTGGCTGGCTAGGACGCCTCCCCTGTGGACGCCAAGTGGTGAGGCCAGTTACGTACTCCTCCCACTCGTTTCAATCCACAGGGCCTATCCCTAGCCCTTTGCCTTGGTGTTCTGTAGACCCGGTCAGGACGCCTCCCCTATGGCCACCAAGTGGTGAGGCCCGTTACGTACTCCTCCCACTGGTTCCAAGTCCATAGGGCCTATCCCTGACCTAGTGCTGTTGCTTATAGGTGCTAGGGCACCTCCCCCTATGGCCACCATGGAAAGGGGCTGTTAGGCACTCCTTCCACTGGATCCATGTCCATGGGGGCACCTTTCCTAGCCCTCTTTGCGACTTTCCCTGTATTCTTGGCAGTGATCCTATACCATGCTCCCACTCACGCAAGGCCCAGCGCACCTCTGAACACCTCAAACCTGTCCTTTGGAAGCGCTTTTGTGAGGCCGTCTGCAACTTGTTGGTCCGTTGGGACGTACTGAAGGTCGACCTCACCACTGTGCTGCTTCTCTCGGACGAAATGGTGTTGGACATCGATGTGCTTCGTCCTTGCGTGGAACTGAGGATTTCTTGCCAGTGCAATTGCTCCCTGGTTGTCCCCATAAATGATTGTGGCTGCTGGCGCATGTCCCTCTTCTTCTGATACCTGTAGCTCTGTTAGGAGCCTTCGTAGCCAGATGGCCTCTTTTGTTGCCTGGGTTTGTCCGATATATTCGGCTTCGCAGGACGAGAGGGCTGTTGAGGACTGCCGCTTTGATGACCAGCTAATGGCACCACTCCCAAGGTTGAAAACATAGCCTGAAGTCGACCTCCGCGTCTCGCGGTCTCCAGCCCAGTCTGAGTCAGTGAACCCGGTTAAGGGTTCAATTTCCCCACCGTACACTAGGCATAGGTCGATTGTGGCCTTCAAATAACGCATGATCCGTTTTGCGGCTGCTCGGTGTGCCTCTGTTGGCTTAGCCAGGAACCTGCTGCAATACGACACTGCGTATGCAATGTCTGGCCTCGTCCCCAACATGGCATACATCAGACTTCCGATTGCCTTAGCGTACCATGTCTTGATTTCATCGTTTGGCTCGTAGTCCTCTGGGGTTTCAATCTGGTCGGTCTTCATGGGTGTGTACTGGGGCTTAGCCTCGCACATCCCGAAATCCTTGAGGACCTTTTCAATGTACCCCTTTTGACTCAGCCGAATCGTCCGGTTCCTACGGTCTCTGGTAACAGCCATGCCTAGATAGTGATTGCAAGGGCCAAGGTCTGTCATTTGAAACCGATTGCTCAGAGCGTTCTTGAGCTTCTGGATTTCCTCCTTCGAGGGTCCAGCAATCAAGAGGTCGTCCACATAAACGGCGATGTAGGTGTGGCCCTTAACAAAAATTCCCACATCTGAAGTCAGGGGGTAGAAACCAAGGCCTTCCAAGAATGTGGTAAGTGTCTGGTACCAGATCCTGGGGGCTTGTTTAAGCCCGTATAACGCCTTGTTCAGTTTGCAGACCCTTCCGGTGCCGTCGTCAAATTCGGGTGGTTGTTCCAGATAGACTTCCCCGTCTATGTTCCCATACAGAAAGGCTGTCTTCACGTCCATTTGCTCTAGCTCAAGGTCAAGAGCTGCAGCAATGGCGAATATGGCCTTGTAGCTCATGGGCTTGACCACAGATGCGAACGTCTCATTGTAATCAATTCCTTCTGTTTGCTCAAAGCCTCGGACAACCCACCGAGCCTTGTGTCGAAGAATTTCTCCGTTGGGGCCTTTCTTTAGCTTATAGACCCATTTTCCACTTAGGATCTTTTTATCGGCTGGACGTGCCACCAGTGACCATGTCTTGTTGTCTGTTAGGGACTTGTGTTCGGACCTCATAGCTTGTAACCATTTTGGCCAGGTTACGTCTCCTTTGGCGTGCTTGTAGGACGGTGGCTCTGTGGGGTTTTGTGTGTAAAGAGCTGCACCGAGGAAGGAATAGGCTAGCATTATATTCGGGTTGAGCGGAAATGGATGCCGGATCCTGCGATTCTTTTGCTGTCCTGGTTCTGTAACAACAATCGTATCGAGAATGGTCTCACTGTTGCTCCTACTAGCTGCTGGCCCGATCTCTGTAGGCACTTCTTCCGCTTCCCCCTCTGCATGCGGAGTCGGGTGGAGGCAGGTCTGATCTTCGTCAAAGGTAACATTGTTGGACACAGTTATTCCAGAGTCTGTGAGCACGATGTAGTTGGTAGAACCCTGATAGCCTAGCATTCGGCAGGGCTCTGAGACAGGGTCGAACTTCCGGTAGCCGCCTTTCTTTAGCCAGACGAATCCTTTGGCTCCAAGGGTTCGTAGGTGCGCAAGGTCAGGAGGCTGGCCATACCAAGCTTCGTACGGTGTCTTTCCAATTGGTGAACTAGGGGATCGATTCCTGAGATAGACAACTGATCGTAAGAGGATAGGCCAGTGCTTAGATGGGACGTCTTCATCGTCTAGGCTAGCAAGGACTGCTGTGAGACGTTCGAGAATAACTCCATTTAGCCTTTCCGCAATGCCGTTTTGTTCGTGTTGCTCAGTTGCTGTTGTGGATAGCGCAATCCCACGGTCCTTGCAGAAGGCTTGCACCTCAGCAGATATATTTTCTCCAGCCTTATCGACGTGAAGGTTGTAACAACGCCGTTCCGGTCGCTCTGAAGTGTCTAAGACGGACTTGAGGCAGCCGAGAAGATCAGAGCGATGTTTGATTGGGAATACCCAAGCGAATTGAGTGAAATCATCTGTGAAAACTGCCCAGTATCGTTCTCCGCCGTATCCTTCAATGTGGAAAGGCCCTGAAATGTCGGCGTGCACATATTCGAGTGGTCTTGTGCCCTTGTGAATCTTCCCCTTATGTGGAACTTGTTTAAGACGGCCTAGTGCACAGCCTTTGCATAAGCAGGTCCTCTGAATAGGCTTGATCCCTGTGGACATATCCATAAGCTGTTTGATGCCCTGCTCAGAGAGGTGTGCGAGCCTGCCGTGCCAGATTTGGAGTGTCGGATCTGAAATCGAATAGGCTGCACAAGCAGCAGATAGAAGGGTTGAATTCCGATTCTGGTCCAGGAAGTATAGACCGTTTTGCTGTATTGCAGTCATACGGAGTTTCTTCCCTGACCAGGCTGCTGCAGAACTGGCACAAAATTCGACTTTTATACCGTCTGAAGTAAGCTGTGAGATGCTGATTAAGTTGACGCCAGCTTCTGGGTTCCAGAGGGCATCTTTGAGGAGTGCAAAACTGTGTTTTCCGTTCACAAAGGTAGGAACTTTGTAGGTCCCGGTCGCCTTTGGGTGGGTGATCTGGCCTCCGACACCAAGGATCCCGTCTCCAAAATAAGACCTTAGGCTCACAAAGTTTTCTTTAGACGCGAAAGTGTGTTGTGAGGTGCCTGAGTCGAAGATGTGGGTTTTTGAGAGTTTCTCAAGTGTCCTTTGTATTTTAGAAACAGGTGTGGCCGCAAGACTTGTTTGGGCGAAGAAGGCGCCAATTTCAGACTCTGCTGGAATTCCAGCGATTTCCGACTGGTCGGCTGGTCAATCCCTTGTTTCGGTTACGGTTCGGAGGGAAGCCACAGGTAAATCTTCCTTCTGGCTATCCTGACAGTGAGAAGACAGCTCAGGGGTCCTTTGGCGGTCGTTGATTCTAGGCCGTTTTGGTCGAAGTTCTGGGTGTAGGTTCCAGCACCTGTCTTCACTATGGCCCGGTCTTTTGCAGTGGCAACACTTTTCTCGGTCGTCTCGGCGTCTCTTCGTTGCTAGGAGAGCCACTTTAGCCTGCTCCTCTGCCTTCTGATTCTTCTCGAAATGTTGCGCTTCTCGAATTGTTGTATCCCAAGAGACCCCAGGGGTCTTGACTTTCCCCTTCTTATCCATTTCTGGGATCAGTCGATGAGTCTGATAGAATGTGGTTCTGAAGGCTGAGAATTTGTCTCCTAATTCGATAAGAAACTTGTTGACGAGCTGCGGAGTATTGTAACCAAGGGTTGAATTAATCCCCAGTAGTTGATTGTTGGCTTCCTGGAGCCTTGAGGCAAAGTTCATGACACCTTTGCAATTCTCGAGGGATAACTCATGGTAGTTCCGATCCAGTTCCTGGTAGTTGGCACTCCCGGTGGGCTTGTAGTGTTCCTCAACGGTTTCTAGGACGTTGTGTAGCCGGTTGAATGGTTTCTCGTCTATCGGTTTGACGATCTCTCGAGCATTGAAGCCAAGGGTGGCACGTACGCAATTACATGCGTTATCCTGCTTCTCTTCCCACTTCTCAAGGGCATTGGCATACTCGCGTTCAGTGTCTGACTGCAACCTGAGGGGTGGCTCCTTGAGAGCGTTGAAGAGTCGGCCATAGTTGTGGGTGCTCAAGAAGTCTGTGATCTGTCTATGCCATTCGATATACTGATCTGGGGATTCAAGCTTAGTGATCTTCTGTAGTCCGGAAACAATGTTGTCCATCCTGAAGATGGTAAAGGGGCAGGGTAATTGGTAGAACTGTGGAGGATAAATCTGCCTTGTAATCGTGGGAGACTTGATTACGAATGAGTTGGTAGTTGTTCGAATATCCTCCTTTCTCTAATAATATGGCATCTTATGGCAGTGGAAAGCTCTCTTCTCCTTATTAGGGGGTTGTGTTCCTTTCTGTCGGAAGAGTGCCTCATTGTCCTCGAGGCAGACCGCTAGGCTGTGCGTGAGGCAGATCGCTGGGCTGTGCGTGAGGCAGACTCCTGGGCTGCGCGTTAGCGACGGAGATAAGCAGGACTTATCGTGGGGTCGATTTGCGGAGTAATTTCGGGAAATCGTATGCGATTACACATCTACCATCTGATAAGTGCCCGGCGGCGCGCACGCGAATATCTCCACGGCCAGCAGCCCAATCCAGGCCATTCCGGGGCCTGGGGGACTACTACACTCCGGCGGCGCGTTTGGTCGAGGACTCCGTATAGGCTACTGCCCGTCGAGATATTTGCGTTGCAGCGCCGCGAATGGGTAATGGGGGGCTAGGCTCGGCCACAGGAACTGTGAGATAGTAATGCACTGATCCTACGGCCCTTTGATCCTCAAAAATATGTCTAGTTACATGGATATAAATATGTGTAAAGACTCTACGAGGCGGCTGGCTTACGTCGACGAGGGGGCGGTCCGCTTTCCCAGCCGGGTCCTCCGCCCCCGACGGCCCTGACCTCGAGTTGGACCTGGTCCCGGGCCTGGACCTGGGTCATCGGGCACGGGGGTCCCTACCTGTACCCGTATCTGGCCCTGGCCCTGGCCCCGATCCTGGCCCCGCCGTCGGCGCTGTTTGAGTTCGTCGACGAGTCGGTTCAAGCTTGACAAAAGGACGAATCATCGATCTCGATCTCTGCGACAATGCATTAGTCGAAAATTAGCTCAAATGGCAACACTTAGCGTTTGAGAGCCAGTCCGGGCTCATAACCTGTCACAAATAACTGGAAAGATGCCATGCATGTGAGGGTTATTGAGAGTCAAATTGGCCTTGACCACTGCCCAAGTCAAGGGGACAAAGGTCCCAGTTATATACACAAGAATGGTGCCCCTGTAGGTTGGGACGCCTCCTCGGCTGGGGCGGAATATCGCTTGACACAAGGAACAGCACTGGCGCTGCGTGTTGGGACTGCGCAAAGGGTGAAGGATTTTCTGCCTGCTAAGAGTGACGAGCCATTGATCAATTTGAATCTATAGGTCTCTCTTGATGCTGTACGTGTCTTTGGGGCTAAATCGGCACCTTACCTGACGTACTGCTGCGCATCACAACAACTACGAGCTTGCTGCCGCTCCAGGACCTGTCGTGAAAACGGGTTAACGATCTAAGTCCGAAGGTCACCTAGTCGGGCTGACTCTAGCAAAGGTGACTGAGAAGGATGAATAATGTCGTTGGTAAGCGGTGGTATCGAACCTTCTAGATGACAACGTCATCTCAGTGTGGCTAACAAACCGACAGACCTAGACCGGCCCCTTCGGTCTGTCGGTCTGGGTTTGCCGTGGCTGTCGGTCTGTCGGTCTAGGTCTGTCTGGGTTGGAGGGCCGGTCGGTCTGATGGTCTGATGGTCTGATTGACTGATTCCGTGGTGCTACGGTATGGGGTATTATCAAATAACCACAGACCAAAAATACCTTTTCTTTCATTATAGACACCTACTAAGCTACCAACCCTCTCATTAGCCACTGCTTTTGAAGCTGATCAGCCTCGACTATTTCAGGCGATAGCTGATTGCGCTCGTCTGTGATCATCTTCTTTGTCTGGCTAAACACTCTCTCACATTCAGCACTCATGCCAGGAATTGAGAACAGATCTAGCGCCATTCGATACAAGACTGGGTATTCCAGTTGATGCCGGCTCCACCATTCAAGAGGGTTTGCAACGTCAAGATCTTGGGCGTAAATTGGCCTGGTCTGGAATAAGTCAAGCTCACTCACTGCCTTGACCTTCTTCCGCTGTGTGTTTAACGAGCTAATCGATCTCTTTCCAAACGAGCTGTAGTCATTGTCAGCGTCGACTTCCTCGGATTCGTCTTCCAAAACCCAGCTTGAGCCTGAGTTTCAACTTCAGTCTGCCTCCGGTATTCATCGAATAGGCTACCAACAGCCGACTGCATGTCGCTATACCATTGCGGCTTGTTCATCGCCTTCTTCCAGTGTCGTTCGAAGTAGTCGTACCCATACGACGGGTGCAGTGCTAGAGCTGCCCGATAAACAGGTGTCCTATCGGTTTTGACGTAATAGTCTTCAAGCTTCGCCCATCCACAGTCAATTCCCGACTTAAAATGGGAGGCCTCCTCGAACTGAGTATCCTCCGCGGCCTGCTTGAATTTCATGAACAGGTAGTCCATGGTTTTAAGTGTCTCCCACACAGCGCCTGAGCGCCGTGGCCGCCCTCCGCCCCCGGCTTACTGGCGTTGCCCTCTATAGTCTTCGTCAGGATATAAAACGGCTTCAAGAACTCGTAGAAACGCTCTAATTCAACCCAGTCCCCAGCGTTGAGGAAGTCGTTAGTTACCGGTAGGTCACGGTGATCAGGGTCATTCTTAGGCTTTTGCCAGCGAGATTGATAGAGCTCAATGGCGCAGCGCAGTTCGAGTGCTGGTGTAAGCCGACAAGTTGTCAGTACTCAGAATACGGAAGCAACCTCGGACGAGAAACGTACCGCGTTTGATCATCATGTATATAGAGTTCCAGCGAGTCTTGCCGTCAACAACAATCTCCAGGGTAAAAATAGGATCGTCACCAGCGAGCTCAGGTCTGCAAATGCCGAAGACCCTGTCGTCGCTGATCTGTCCGTCGAATGTAGGTGGCAATGTTGTGGAGTCTGCCGATAGCTCCTTTCTTGGCCCAAATGTCGAACTTGAACTCATCTGTAGCTCCACGAAGCTCAGCCTCGAATTTACTGACGTTGGAGCCAAAAATAACTGCTCGGACAACCAGGTTGATAACGTGGCCTATACAGCGTAGGCGGCGTCGGCTGACATCCATTGGAAACCACCTAGCAAGCGTCTCTAGGCAGGTATCGTTGCTCTTGGCGTTATCAAGCATGAAGTATCCAAGCTTGGACCCCAACTCGTATCGATCGATTACCTCCTTGAGATAGGCGGCGATATTCTCACCGGAGTGTGGACCGACTAAGCGCGGAAGTCCAAGAAGGACATCGCGTTTTGGCCTTCACTGCCAACAAAATGTCCGACAATTCCGACGTAGTTAAACGCATTTGAAGCAGTCCATAGATCAAAGCTGGTGTGAACCGAGCTCTTCGCGTTCTTGACGAGATCAAAGACAATTTGCTGTCGGCGTTCAAAGGCTTGACGAATCCATGAGCAGATCGTGGTGTGATGCTCCGGAAGTAGCCGACTTGCAAGCTCTCCTCCATTCGATACGAGCCACCCAAGCCGCTCGCTGGATGCTTGTCGAAAGGTGACATCTTCCACTATGACCCAGTCCACAAAGCGAGCTTTCCATGTCCTCTCGTCGAAATGGGAGGCGAGCTGGTAGCCTAGGCTGGCCTGTCGAGATAAAGGTAGGGACGAAGAGGATGGTGACGTAGCCGCCAAGGTAAACGGAGTCTTCAATCCGGGACGACTCTCGCCGAATTCCGTGATTTGGTGCTGACGACGCAGGTGCTTCGCGGCGTGAGACGTCCCTGAGGAGGCGTATAACGCTGTCGAATAGTTCTTCTTCCCGTGACAGATTCTGCAAAGCCAGTAACGTACTCCGCTATGCTCCAAGTTCGCGCCGTATCTGTAGATCCACGACTCTTTGATCTTTGTGCCGACCACCCTTTTGTGACGGGGTCTCATTTTGGCACCCAAAAGTCGTTTGCCGCCGTGCCAGATGTTCTCCCAATCAATGTCAAATTCGCATTGTGAAGCATCTGTCTCGTCTGCTCTGGCCTCGGACGTGGCAGGCGTAGCCTCATGACTGTCATTAACTGGGGTGGGATGTGGACGGGATGCAAATGACTGCGGTACAGACGACACGGGGCTCGTATCCCTACTAGAAGACATAATGACGCGGTATGATACACTGTAGCTCGTAGATGGATGGGAAGACGCGAAAATTGGCAGGGCAGACGCGTAACTTGTTGACATTAGGTAGGTGCTACCTTAAGGCGGAACGGACCAATGGCATCACGGGAACACCAGTCCAGTCAGACCGACTCAGACCACCCAGACCGACTGACTGCTCCGGTCGGTCGGTCTGATGAGAATTGGCGGTCGGTCGGTCTGCGGTCTGTCAGACCACCTTCAGACGGTCTGTCAGACGGTCTGTCTGTTAGCCACACTGGGTCAATGCGACCATCCAAGCTTGCGACCACTTAGACGGTGTAGAAGATGGCATATTGTCCCTACCTGGACAGTGCAACTTCGATCCGTACTCTATGGTCGGTGCAAGAGTGCTCTGCGAAAACGGAACCGTCGTTATAAGTCCAGAAGACGCGCAACTGGTACAGACGATCTGGGATGGACCAAAGCATGCGGATGGAACACCTATATGGCATGGCATGTCAAAAGGAAGCTCGTTCGAAGATTTAGCCGAGACGATCTGCCAAGGTACGAAGTGTACCGGCCATCCATTTTCAACCGGCGACGAGTGGATCAGGCTGTTCGTTCGTCAGGATAAGGACTTCGACCTCGATAATATTTCAGCTGACGACTTTGACGCCGTTGTGAATCTATCTGTAACGGGCAAGTTGCTTTAACGGCGGCTGCGCCGCCTAGCTTCTAGAACCTTCCATTGGCTCGAAGCTATAAAATGCCGTTATGCTCTTATGTAGTAGATTCTCTTTCTTTCTTTCTTTCTTTTCTATCTTGATAGTAAACAGCATAGGGACTAGTTAGTTGTATCAACTCACTAGAGGCCTTTCACATACTATCAAGATCACTGAAGACATTGAAGACACTGAAGACACCGAAGACACTGAAGACACCGAAGACACCGAAGACACTGAAGACACCAAACTGAGTCCCGTCGAACTATTAGCGTTCAGCGAAGTCGCGATGGCCGAAGATAACAACAACATGCAGCCGGACGTCCTCAGCGCCCTGGTTGCCGAGATACGAAGTCTGAGAGAAGAGAGTTCCCGAAGAAACACCCAGTTTGAAGAACGTTTTATTGCCCTGGAACTCCAACAACACCAGCAAGCCCGTTCGTCTGAACTCCTAGAGCCAACGCCATCTGTCACCCCGGCTGTCCCCATTGAGGACACCCGTGTGGTCGCCACTCACAACCCTCACCCAACCAAGCGCCCCAAATTACGAGACATACCGAAATTCGGCGGCGACAAGGCCCAGTGGCGAAGCTGGAAACTAGAAACCGAAGGAAAGCTACGAGTCGACAAAGAAGCCCTTGGAGATGCAGAAGGCCACTTTATGTACATCTTCATGAGCCTAGAAGGCAAGGCTAAAGACAACGTGACCACATTTGTGGAGATGCAAACCGAGAAGAAAACGTTCAATGTTGCTGAACTACTCAACCGCCTCGAATTGCTGTACGGGAGAGGGATCGCAAGCAGAGAGCTACACGCAACCTGCATTCGATTAAGCAAGGAGAGAATGAACCGTTCACGTCCTTTACCCCCGCTTTGAGAGGAGATCGCCAACGCCAACGCCGAGTATTGGCCAGATGACAGCAAGATTTCCTACCTCCAGGAGGCCCTAAACGATAAAATGAAAGCAGCCCTCATAGGCTCTGACCCTCTGCCATCAGCAGCTATGTTGGGCTGGCGAGGAGGTGCGATTCGCTGAGCAGCCAGATGGAATTGTTGGGTCAGTGGAAAGGCCTCGAGGCAACACAAAGAGTTCGGACAACTATGACAACCACCAGAATCATGGAGGCCAGGCTGCCCAGAAACAGTCTGGCCAGAAAACCGAAGTTAGACGAGAGGATATGATGGAATGGGAACCAACTCTACAAGCATCCGCGAAAGTGAACGCTACGCGCACCCGCAGTGATAAGAACACATATGGTTACCAATCCAAGCGACCAGAAGACCAAGCGCTGTTGGGCAAGCGTGCCAAGTGGGTCGACCAGGCCGAGATGGACGCCCGTTACCGTGAAGGGCGTTGCCTCCGTTGTGGAAGAGACAACTGCAGAATCGAGCGCTGTCCATTGGCTGCGCCTATCCGACCCGCAAACACGACCCGACGCACTCAGGTCAATGCCGTGACCCCGTCACGACCAGCGGTCACTAAAGCCGAGGTCACCGAAGACGATACTTCTTCTCATAGCGATGAAGATTCAGACTAGGGACACGCGGCGGCTGTGAGAGAATGGGATGTGAGCGGAAAAGCAAAAATGGACGGAGAACCGTTCATAGCAGACGTCAGGGTGAACGGCACAGACTTCGTGCCATCTCTTGTCGACTATGGCTGCCTCTGCTACGGCGCGGTTAGCAAGCGCACATTTCACTCTCTCCAGTTGCCACATATACGCGTTCAGCCGCGTATCTTGGAGAACGCAGCCGGAGACGGCAAGGAGGTCAAAATCGACAAGATCACGTATGTGTCGATCGACCTCGATGGACATCAGCAGCATCGTGTTTTCATGTACGTCATCGACGATCTGAACTGGGATATGATCCTGGGTAAACGATGGATGGAAGACCAGGATGTTCACATCCATGCGAAGGAAGGATATCTCGAGATCGGGTCCAATGGAGTTCAAGTACGAGACCGACGACGTTACCAGCCTCCCCAGCTAGATGTCTCTAATGTCATGGCCGCAACCTTTTTAGCAGAAGCACGCCGTGACAAACGCAAAGGCGGCATTGGAGTTCACTCGGTCACGATGGCGGATATTGACAAGGCCCTAAGACCGAAACCGAAGACTGACATAATGGAGAAGCTGCCACCACAGTACCACAAGTGGTCTCGAGCTTTCTCTCAGCAACTGGCCGACCAGCTGCCCCCTCATCGGCCAGGTGTGGACCTGAAGATCGAAGTGCTGAAAGACGAGCATGGCCGAGAGAAGCCCTCCCCTGGGGACCGCTTTACAGCATGTCCCGCGAGGAGCTATTGGTGCTACGAAAGACCCTCACAGAACTACTCGACAAGGGATTTATTAGAGTCAGCAGTTCGCCAGCCGCAGCACCAGTCCTTATGGTGAAGAAGCCCGGCGGAGGCATCCGCTTCTGCGTGGATTACAGAGGTTTGAATCACATAACGAAGAGGGACCGCTATCCCTTGCCTTTACTGAGCGAGACCTTGCGAACGATAGCCAAGGCAAGGTGGTTCACCAAGGTAGATGTTATAGCAGCGTTCCATAAGATCAGGGTCGCCCTGGCGACGAAGAAAAGACAGCCTTCAGAACGCGCTATGGATCCTTCGAATGGCTGGTAGTTCCATTCGGCCTGACAGGCGCACCAGCAGCCTTTCAGCGGTATATTAACAGCGTGCTCCAGGATTACCTCGATGATTTTGTGTCAGCGTATATCGACGATGTCCTGATCTTCTCCTCTGGAAGCCTGCAAGACCACCGCGACAAAGTCGGCAAGGTCCTCCAACGACTGATGGACGCTGGGCTGCAACTGGACATCAACAAGAGCGAATTCGAAGTCAAGGCTGTGAAATACCTTGGGTTCATCATCGAGGCGGAGTGTGGGATCCGAGTCGACCCAGAGAAGGTTGAGGCTGTGAAGGGATGGGCAACTCCGACGAATATTAAATCCGTGAGGAGTTTTATCGGATTCGCGAACTTCTACAGGGTGTTTATGCCAGAGTTCTCGGTGATAGCGGAGCGCTAACGCGGCTAACGAAGAAGGACGTGCCATTCCGTTGGGATGGATTGTGCGAAGAAGCCTTCGAGAAACTCAAGGACCTGTTGATCACGGCCCCGATCCTTGCACACTTCCATCCAGAAAGGAGACTATCGTGGAAGCGGACGCTTCAGGATTCGCGTCGGGAGGCGTGCTCCTGCAGAGAGATGATAAGGATGGACTGGTACGACCTGTCGCATACTTCTCGAAGAAACATTCGGCAGCCGAAGCGAACTACGCTATCCATGACAAGGAGCTACTCGCCATTCTCAGATGTTTGGAGCAGTGGGAACCAGAGCTACGGGCAGTAGAGCACTTCAAGATCCTAACGGACCACAAGAACCTGAGATACTTCTACTCGGAAAGGAGGTTGACAGAGAGACAAGTGCGGTGGTCGGAGTTCCTGTCCAAGTTCCAATTCAAGCTCGAATGGAGGCCAGGCCGCAAGGGTGGATTGCCTGACGCGCTCTCTCGACGGGACCAGGATATGCCGGCCAACTACTCCGATGAACGACTAAAGGGACGCATTATGAGGCTATTCCAAGATGATCACCTTAGAAGGATCCCAATATCGACATTGTCTACCAACACCGAGGGTGCCCAGGAAATCAACTTCGGAAAAGAGATTAGGATATTTGAAGATGAGGAGTTACAGCAGCTGTGGCACGCCGCACGCCAAGAAGACAAGCTCTATCAAGAACTCACGAAGCTGGTAGCAGATGGAGCGAAGAGTTTGCCAACAGGATTACAGAAGGAGAAGGTTGTCAGCATTTCAGAATGCTCGTTAGACAATAGGGGCCTGCTGTGCTTTAGAGAACGCGTCTGGATACCCGGTTCGGAGCCGCTACGTACGAGGATCATCCAGGAAACTCACGACTCTCATATCACCGGACATCCTGGAAGGGACCTCACGTACTCGACTCTGTCGAGACGCTTCTTCTGGCCGGGTGCCGCTAGCGATGTACGTCGGTTTGTGCGCAACTGCGAGGTTTGCGGACGAAACACCATCTGGAGGGATACAAAGAAAGGACTCCTAAAGCCGCTCCTATTCCGCAACGCATATGGAGCGAAATTACCATTGACTTTATTACTGACCTCCCACCGTCGGGGAAAGACGGCGCGACGAACTGCATGGTGGTCACGGACCGACTCACCAAAGGCGTCGAACTCGAAGGATTACACGATATTTCTTCAGAAGCGGTTGCAAGAAGACTCTTCGAACGACACTACCCTGTCCATGGCATCCCAACGGCTATTACCAGTGATCGGGGTCCCCAGTTTGTCAGTGGTATGTGGAAACACTTCTGTCAGCTGCTAGGGATCGAGCAGCGGTTGTCAACGGCGTACCATCCACAAACCGACGGTGCAACAGAACGAATGAACCAAGAGGTAGAGAGGATTCTTCGGATATGGACAAACTATCTGCAGGAGAACTGGTTGGACTTGCTTCCAGTCGCGATGGCGACAATTAACGAGCGGGAAGCAACCTCCACCGGACTGAGTCCGTTCTTCTTCATGCACGGCTACCACAATGAGCCAATCCAGTTAGTTGAGCATCGAAGCACGGAAGACACAACACAGGAAGAAGCTGCAGCGGAGAATTTTATTCAGAGACTACAGGATGCCACGGAGTTTGCGCAAGCAGCGATAGCTATGGCCCAGGAAATACAGCAAGCGCAAGCCAACAAGCACAGGACAGCCGCACCGAGATACAAGCCTGGGGATTGGGTATACCTCAACTTGAGAAATGTCAAAACATCGCGACCCTGCAAGAAGCTCGATTGGTTACATGCCAAATATCAAGTGCTCGCCGAAGTCAGCCCACATGCCTATAGGTTGGATGTGCCTGGACGTATCCATCCAGTCTTTCACGTCGATCTACTCCGGCCAGTACCCGGAGACCCATTGCCTTCGCAGAAAATCGATCAAGAGAGTGCCCCACCGGTGCTGGTGGACGGCCAAGAAATGTACCTCGTCGAAAGGATTCTGGATGAAAGAATGGAAGGTACGCATAAGAAGGTGCTCGTAAAATGGCATGATTACTCGCAGCCTACGTGGAGCCCCTTCCCACTATTCGACACACTGATGCATGGAAGCAATGGAAGAAACATAAAAGAGTGTCACCTTCTCAAGTCATCTTGACACAGATTGCCACGATCCCAAGGAAGAGGAAACGTTGGACGGGAGGAGGTAATGTAACGGGCAAGTTGCTTTAACGGCGGCTGCGCCGCCTAGCTTCTAGAACCTTCCATTGGCTCGAAGCTATAAAATGCCGTTATGCTCTTATGTAGTAGATTCTCTTTCTTTCTTTCTTTCTTTTCTATCTTGATAGTAAACAGCATAGGGACTAGTTAGTTGTATCAACTCACTAGAGGCCTTTCACATTATCTGTCAGCGCATATAAATACATCACCAGCACGGACAACCCTGATTTGACAGATTTCCGCCAGGCGGGCGGCAAACTACTCCACTGGCACGGGACGGCCGACCAGCAGATTTTTAGCCCAGGCTCAGAGGCTTACTATATGCGCGTTGAAGCTAGATATCCTGCCGTGCGAGATTTCTATCGCTATTTTGAAGCCCCGGGAGTCGGCCACTGTGGCGGCGGTAACGGCTTGGTTCCTGATGATCCCCTTTCCGTCCTCGTCAACTGGGTGGAACATGGCATTGCCCCCGATATCATGCCTGCGGCCACAGTAGATGGTAGGCAACGTCGCAACCTGTGTCCCTATCCACTAGTGCCAGTGTATCAAGGCGGTGACTATACTAAGGCTTCGTCTTTTACGTGCCGCGAGTCTTATGGATAGGAAGCTTCCTGTGTCATCGGTGGCTAGGATGGGGCGGCTGATATACTGGCGCCCGGGGCGGGGTCCAATAGGTGCACGGGTACCACCGCAAGCACACCGCGTCGCACAGAGACCAGCTGTCAGACAATTGGCTCCACAGGGATCACAGTTGGCATCGTTTTAATTGATGAGGATTACTTGAAGAGCTAGCTGTAGAAAGGAGAGTTCTGCTTTGTGATGCAGAAACCTTGGAAACGAGGCCGCTGGCGATGCCTGACTGTCTGTGTTTGAGCTTTGACCTCAACGGGTCCAGCACAACGCATCCAGGTGCTCGACCTTAAGCTTAATACGTGGGTTATAGCTTCGGACTTCCGCGAGCAACTACTCTGATCGCAGATGGTATGCGACATGAGGCTGGTGTCGCGTATAACCCACATATTAACCTTAAGACCGAGCACCTGGATGCCAGACATCCCAGTAGTAGTAGTAGTAGTAGTATTGATTACCGTCTGGGACATCCCTATAAGGGCAAAAGACGTGCTAGGCTAGGTATAGTACAAGATGAGGGTGCTCGCCGGAAACCCGTCGCGCCTTCCTTACTTCTACTCCCCTATCTAGCAATTCTTGGACTCTGTGGCCGCTCGGATTCTCAGGTCCCTTCCCCCGTCAGCGGGTTCCGGGCACGGCGGTAAAGCCGTAATATTAGTCAGTCTTCGGTCAGAGCCGGGTGACTGAGAAAGCCCACGCAGTCAGCTGGGCCGTAGGCCCACGGGAGCCTACGGGCAGAAAACATAGAAAGAGAGAATTGTACATATTAGGTTGGGGTTGCCTCGAGCTAGTGGCGGTGGCAAATCCGATCAAAGAATCCTGCCTCCGTTACTAGCCCGAGGAACCGGTCAAATCCCTTCCTAGTGCCTGGTTGATAGCCTTGCCCGCCGTGGGGCTAGCCTTAGGCGGTGTCGAGTACCTACCTTCCGGCAGTAGAAGGGTGTGTCGGTGATTTTCTCCTCCCGCAGGAGCATTCGATCCGGGCCTCTTCGTGGTTAAACCTCTCGTGGTAGTCGGCGAAGTCCCCGTGCCCGCTCCTCGCAGCGAGCAGGTGATGGAGGTGCTGTCGTTTGGTGTGCAGCTCGGGGGCACCCGAGCGAGGCCTTGAGCCCTAGGCTCTTGTAGCTGCTCAGGGCCCCGCGGCCCACCAGTCCTGGAAGTCGCGCCTGGCCGCAGCCTTGGCCTGTCTCTTGATGTTCGCGTACGTCGGCGGCCTGTCCGGGCCGAGGCCCGGCAGCCCTCCTTTGCTAGCTGGTCGGCCCGCTCGTTGCCGGCGATCCCCGTATGGCCGGGGCACCAGCGCGTCCTGACGTCTCCGTGCCGAGCCGCGGCCTCAGCGAACTTCTCCGCCGCCGCTTGCGACGAGATCGATGGGCTGCCTCGTATGGCTCTTATAGCCGCAGAGTTATCAAGGCAGACGACTATCCGGCACTGCTGGTCCGGGGTCCTGGGGGACCACGTGAGTGCCGCTCGAAGCCCCTCGAGGGCGCCTTCCACCTCTGCGTCGTAGACCTCAGCGAGTAGGACCCGACCGCTGCCGTAGGTCACTTCGCTGGGGCCTAGCCACACTGAGTACCCATACCCGCAGGCGCCGTCTTCGCTCTGCGAGCCGTCAGTGTAGACGATGAGGGTATCTTCAGGGCATACCCGGAGCCACGAGTTGAAGTCTCTCGCCGCCTGCGTTTTGTCTACGCCCCCTGTCGGGTCGGGCTGAGGGGGTGCTGGGGGGAGAAGTCGGGGCCTCGGAGCATGGGCCGTCATTTGGTGAAGACGCAGGAGTCTCGAGGCGTGCTGCTTCTGGGCCGCGCGAGGGGCCCGCATACCGTGCCTCTTCATTAGCTCCCGGCCAGGCGTTGGGAGGATGCTCATACGGGGTGTCAAGGGGTGCCGCTCATCTAGGGAGCGTAGACGGACCGCGGCGCGTCTCTGAGCGTCTGCGAGGAGCAGCGTGGCAGGGGGGATCCCGGTCTCTCGGTGGAGGGCCACAATGGGCATGGTACACCAGACGGGCGCGATGGCGCGCATCGCGACGTTTAAGGTCAGCTGGATCCTATTCTTCAGGTAGGTGATCCGCGACGGAACTAAGCGGGCAGTCCCCCACACAGGCCGAAGCGCCCCCGGGTACCATACATGGGCGCCGTATAAAGGATCGGGAGGACGCAGGCCGTGACCGCATGCCGTGTCGACCGGGAGGATTCCGCGCCGGGTGTTTGAGAGGTTCTGGAGGAACCCTGCGGCCGTCATCGCCTTCGCGGCCCACTTCTCCACATGCGTGCGGAATGAGAGCTTTCTGTCGTACCAGACGCCGAGCCAGCGCAGGTCCTGCTGTGGCTCCTTTCTACGGACCCGTGCCAGACCGACGGCAGGTCCCCTTTGTATCTCGGTCTCGTGAAGTGGATGACTTCTGTCTTGCCCGGGTCGAACACTACGCCATTATCGGCTCCCCACTGGATGAGCTCACCCGCGGCGCGCGCCCGGGCGGCCGTCTCCTGTAGGGACCGGCCCCGGATCAGGTGGCCACGTCATCTGCGTAGCCGAAGCGCGAGTTCGGTTCCCCTGTCGAGTAGATGGGCACTGTATAGAGGAGGAAGAGAATCGGGAGGCCGGGGAGCCCTGTGGCAGCCCGCACGTCAGGGGGGTTGTCGGCGTCGTTATATCCTCGAGCCGTATTCTGGCCGATCTCTGCTCCATAAAGCAGCCTGCCCACCGGACCAGGTTTGTTGGCCAGCCCTGTTCCCGTAGGCGTAGGAGGAGCCGGTTCCGCAGAACCGTGTCAAAGGCGCCCTGTATATCCATCGTGATTAGCGTGGCGACTTTCCCCTCGGTGAGGGCCGTCTCCGCGTCGTGGAGCAATGCTAGCGCTAGGTCGAGCGCTGAACGTTTGGGCAGGGCACCCGCATGCTGGCTGTGGATGACTCGTTGTGTGATCGCAGCCCAGGCTAGGCGCCGGGCTATTAGGCGTTCGAGTCCCTTGCCGAGGCAAGCTAGGAGAGAAATCGGCCTCCAGCCTCTCGGAATAGACAGGTCCCTCTTGCCAGGCTTAGGGATCATTACGACCTCTGCTGCGCGGAAACAGGCGGGGTGGTAGCCCAGGTGTAGGCAGCCTTCATATAGTCCCCTCACCGCCTCGCCGATGTGGTTCCAGACGCGACGCAGCATTCGGACCGTGATGCCGTCGATCCCCGGGGAGGTGTTGCCCGTAGAGGTGCAGGCGCATGCCGCATCCGCGAGCGTGACGCTGCAGTCGAGAGTCCTCCTGGGGCCAGCACCTCTGGGGCCCAGGGGTCCGGGATGTCGTCCGCGGCCCCGCGCCTTTCTAGGATCTCGACTCGGAGCGCGTTTGCCTTTTCCGTCTGGGTCTCGAAGACCTGGTCGCCTACCTGTATAGGCGGGGCCCGGAACGGGCTCGGTTTCCTCGACCACCGCATGATCTTATAGATATCCTGGTTGCTCTCGGCGCCTTCTAGAACAGTCTGCCAGAAATGTCTCTTACCCCGCCGTACCGCCCGGCGCAGCTCCCGCCGGGCAGTCTGGACCTCTCTGCCGTGCCCTGTGGGGTAGATCCGCCGCATAGCTCTTAGTTCGGCCGCTGCACCGCGCACTGATCGTTCCACCATGGGGTGCCTCTCGCGTTCTTCCTGGGCCGTCGGCCCGCTGCGTCGGCCGCCTCTTGGAGTAGGCGAGACAGCGCCTCGGCCAGCCTCTCAGGCCTCTGGGCTCAACGGCCAGCCGGGGTAGTTCTGTGGCCCCAGCCCGCACAAGTTCCTCGAATCGCTTCATTTCTTCCTCGGAGCTTACCCTTGGTCTAGCTATCGTCCTTGGGGGAATCCGCCGGGGAGCGTAATGCTGATCGTGTAATGGTCCGAGCCGGTATGAAGGTGCTCTTCGATAAGCGCGTCAGCAGAGGGATATTGGCAAAGGCTAGATCAATGGTATTTCCGCGGGCGTGTGTGGCCTCGCCTGGCGTGGTGAGCAGTCCGAGCCCCTTGTCGGCCGCCCACTGGGCGATGTCCTTTCCGTTCCTCGCACTCCGGGCTCCAGGCTGCCAGGAGAAATGACAGGCGTTGAAGTCGCCCGCGATGAGGCATCTCTCGGGGACGTCCTGCTGGTGGAGGAGGTAGTCGAGTGGCTCGGGTGTCTTCGCGTGTCGATAGAAGTTGATAATAAGGGTGCTGTTTACCCGGAGCCACAGGATATCACGCGTAGGGGCGGGGCAGAGTTGCTCTGCCCGTATATCTGGGTGGTTCCGGACATACGAGATCACTCTCGGGGCCTGATCCGGTTCCCAGGCGCGTTCTGGGGCGAATGCGTGGAAGGAGCGGTGCGTCTGGGTCCTGCAGGCTCCGCCTTCTTTTCTATCCAAACGTTCGGTTCCTGGATGAGCACGACGTCGTAGTCTTCTGCTTCCGCTAGTCGTAGGGCTATGCTATGATAGGCCCCTATTTTGGCCACGTTGGCCTGGAGAACTCGGATCGTCCTCCTGTCGCGAGTTGTTAGTGTTAGGGGCCTATTGTTCATAGGGGTCCAGGGATACGTTTCGTCGGCGCCTCTTCATAGGAGACTCGGATCTGTCTTCCTGTGGTGGAGGGAGCGTTGTGGAGTCTGGCGCCTGCGCGCTGGTGGGGGACAGCCGCTGGGGTCGACATTGCTGCTGCTGTTGCTGCTGCTGTTGCTGCTGCTGGTCTTGTTGCTTGCCTAGGCGGGCCTCGGCAGCTCTCATGCAGGGCGACGGGGTCGGTCCTTGGAGGGTTGGGGAGGCGGTCGCCGTGGCCCGTTCGAGCTCCATATTGGCTTGCCGGTATAGCTGAGAGCCGATCTTCCTTACGGCGTACTTCTCGATCTTGGAGAGCCGCACGAGTTGGCCGTGAGCGCCTGGGTCTGGCAGGGCACTCCTTATGGTCTGCCGGGAAGGGCCGGAACAGTTCGCGCACCTCTCCGGCTGCTTGCAGTCGTTATCGCGATGGTCTTTCCCGCCGCATCGTCGGCAGGCTTGTTTTCGGTCGCAGGCGTAGCGGGAGTGATAATCCCAACAGGTGTCGCACTGCGCGGGCCGGGCGGTCTTGGCGATCAGTCGGGCTAGTCGGCTGGTGCCGAAGAGCCGCCATCTCCTCTGTATCGCCGCCTGAAAGGACACAATCATTGTCACAGTGGGCTGGTCGGAGCTTTCGGGTATCTCTTAGCAATGTGCACATCAATTGGTTCGGCACCTGTCTGGAGCTTGATCTCTTCTTTGATAGCTTGGTCATAGTCCACGGCGGCCCCCCAGATATCCGTGAGCTGCCTGGGGCAGTCGGCCACAGCGTACGTGTGCCACTTCTGGAAGCCTTCAACCGCCACGGCCCCGAGGCGGGCCGCCCAGTCGTCCTGCCGTTCCACAAGCAGGTCCCTCGCCTCCCGGTCTGAGGCCCGTATAGCCCATCCAGTCTTAACCCGGGCGATCTGTGGCATGCGTTCTGTCCCTAGGTTGAGAGTCTTAGCTACGTGAGCTCTGATGGCATGCCCCTGATAGCCCCATGCTGGGGACTTGTCGTCGAGCCGCACGAAGACACGCAGGTCATCTTTAGGCGGCTGGACCGGAGGCGCCTTCCGGGGCTTCGGGCCGAGGCGTGCCGGCAGGGGAGCCCTTGTCTGTGCCATCCCCTTCTGGGCCATAGCGGCGTAGGTCGGTGCGGTCCCGTCTCTGCCGTGGCGGTTGTTGACATTCTGACCGGCGCGTGTGGGCGCGCCGTTGAGCGCGTCGTCCCAGTAGCTAATGAAGCCGCGCGAGAATTCCTTCGCGAAGCTGAGCGCGTGGCCCGAGTTGAACTGGGCAGCCGTCTTGTCGAAGGCGGTGCAGAATGCGCGGAAGACGGCCAGCTTTGCCTGTTGTGCTTCCATCTGGTTGGCGATAAGTCTCTCTGCCGCGTGGGCAACCGTTACTGCTGGGCCTTGAGCCTCGGGCAGGTCGTCCGGCTCGTCGGTCTCGGTTTCGTCTGCTGCGTCTCCCATTACAGCATCTAGCTGGTCGGTGTCGGTGTGGGCATTGTCGCTGTTCGTGGAGCCGAATGGAGAGTCGTCGGGTTGCTGTGCGCGTCGTGGCAACAGTAATTCGGCAAGACCCGCGCGTGGGGCCTGCCGGAGGAGCGCTTCTCTAGCTCCTGGGGCGTTCGTGGGAGTCATCGGCTCTTGTTCCTGGGGCGGCAGTCGCGCCTGGTCCGCGGGGTTGGGTGCCATCGCCGCCCTCAGCTTGCGCTCTGGAGGTAGTAGTAGTAGTAGTATTGATTACCGTCTGGGACATCCCTATGCCAGACATCCCAGTACTCGTCCCACAGACCCACGTAAAGTGGGTCCTCACCACCTGTCTGTGTCAACCACCTGGCTGTGTCACTTCACCGCTTCAAGCCTCTATCTTGACCTCAACAACGGCACATTATGAAGAATAAAGAGCTTACGCTTGAAAGGCGCGTAGCCGAGACTATTAAAGCCATTGAGGCAAATCCCAATATGTCCCTTCGCGCTGCGGCTAAGGAATTTGGGGTTCCACGCGATCGACTCCGCTTGCGATTTCACGGCATCCAACCTCGCAGCGGCCATAAACCAACGCATACGAGGCTATCGCCAGCTCAAGAGGACTCAATCGATCTGTATATCGATCGTCTTGAGCGTATAGGACTTGCGGTGCGGAAGGACTTATTACGCGATGCAGCAAATCGGGTTCTAAGCTCCACGGTCGGCCCTGATGGTACCCGCAACGAACCCTTCGACTCCCAATGCTTTGTTGGCAAAACTGGATATCCCGTTTTATTAAACGCAAGGGATATCATATTATGAACAAAGGCACTCGATAACCAACGCAAGCTTGCCGAATCAGTCCCGCACGTTACCGAGTACTTCAAGAAGCTCCACGAGACGATTGCCTCGTACGGGATTAACCCGGCTGATATCTGGAATATGGACGAGACGGGCTTCCGTATTGGTATTGGCAGGGACCAAGTTGTCGTCACGAAATCAAGGCGATCGCAATACTTTGGTATTGAGGAAAACAGGGAGTCGGCAACAGCCGTTGAAGCGATTTCTGCCGATGGTCGATACATCCCTGCGTTTTTGATCCTATCCGGCAAGGTCCACCTCGAACAGTGGTACGGCATCAAGGAGCTAGATGGCGATACCCTTATTGGTGTTACGGAAACGGGATTTACGAACGATCAGCTCAATCTAGCGTGGATTCAACATTTCGATAAGCATGCAAAGAGCAAAGGTGCTTGGAGGCTATTGCTCCTTGACGGCCACGGCTCCCACCATACCCTTGACCTTATCGAGTACGCTGAAGCCCATAATATTGTGCTCTTTGCATTGCCTCCGCATCTTACGCATCTCCTTCAACCGCTTGACGTCGTGGTATTTCAGCCGTATAAACATTACCACAGTCGGGCAGTCGATTTTGCTATTCGCAGTGGTGCGAGTAAAATCACCAAGCTGGAGTTCCTCGCTATGATCCAATCAATCCGCGTCAAAGCCTTCAAGGAGTCTACAATCCTCTCGGCATTCAAAAACAGGAATCCACCCATTCAATCCAAAGCCAATCCTCGAGAGACTCAAAGAGAGGGCGGGACCAGACGCCGCCGACAGAGCTACCTGCAGAGCCGTATTCATCCCCTTTGGTACCCCCATACCGTACGGAAGTTTGAATCAGTTGGCCAACGTCTCCTTGAGTTTGACCCAATTGATGATATTGAGAAGGAGGTCTTCGTACATAACCTTCAACGCTACGTTAAAGGTGCAATCTCCCAAGGCCACGAGTTAAAGCAAACGATGGTCGATCTGTACAATACCAAGCTTGCCGAGCAGCAACGCCAAGGCCGGAAGAAATACAAGAACCGCCACCTTCAAAGCGGTGGAGTACTGACTGTAGACGAAGGGAGGGCTATTGCGAAGTCAAAGGAAGATATTCGCATTGCAAAAGCAGAAAAGTTGGTACTGGCGAAGCAAAAGAGGGAGAAAAGGGCGATTGAGCTCAAGGAGCGACGGACAGCCCGGGCGGCTAAGAAAGTCGAAAAAGAAGCCCAACGATCAGCTTTATAAGCTACAAAGGTCAAAAATAGGTAGACTATTGCGGCCAGTATTCAATTATCCGTATGCATCAATTTTTAACTTTTTTTGCCGTTTTATTATTAAATTAAGTTGGCGTTGAAGCCGTAAAGTGACACAGCCAGGTGGTTGACACAGACAGGTGGTGAGGACCCACTTTACGTGGGTCTGTGGGACGAGTAGTGGATTTCCCTTTAGACTGAAAATTGGCACTTATGCCCGTTCAGGCTGTAGTCGAGGCGCGATGGCTTTTAACCCATGCTTAGCGCGATAATCCCTGCAATCTGTCTGTCCGAACCTGTCTGTCCGGAGCCATCCCGTTGACACAGACAGGTGGTGAGGACCCACTTTACGTAGGTCTGTGGGACGAGTATAGGCTGCCGTACTCAACTCTCCCCTGTAAAAATTCTTCTCTTCTGCGGGCTGTTAGCAGCCTGTTAGTGATGAAGAAATTTTTCAGGCCACCCGACCATGCTTCTGCCTCTCTAGCCCTAACGGGGCTCTAGCAGGCACCAAAGGCAGACTTTGGAGAGTTCGTCTCCTCTTGGGAAGCTGGTCTCGAATAACGGCACGCCTCGCGCTGCCTCGCCTTCTGCCGCCTCGCGGCATCGCCTTCTTCTGCCGCCTTTACTGGCTGGCCTCGACTTCTGCCGCCTCGCGGCCCTGACTTCTGCTGCCACCTCGCGGCCCCGACCTCTTCTGCCGCCCCGCGGCCCGACTTCTTCTCGCCCTCCCTGGCACGCCTCGCGCTGCCTTGCACCCTCTGCCGCCTTTACTGGCTGGCCTCGCCTTCTGCCGCCTTGCGGCCCTGACTCCTTCTGCCGTCTCGCGGCCCCGAACTTTGCCGCCTTGCGGCCACGACTTCCTCTGGACTGGTGGGCCGCGGGGCCCCGAGGAGCTACAAGAGCCTAGAGCTCAAGGCCTCACCCGGGTGTCCCCCCGGAGCTGCACACCAATCGACAACATCTTCACCACCTGCTTGCTACGAAGAGCAGGCACGGGGACTTCGCCGACTGTCATGACCACGAAGCGGTCCCGGATCGAACGCTCCTGCAGGAGAAGACAATCGCCATCGGGGCGAACCCCGACTAACATTGCTACACTCTCTGCTTCCCTTTTCCCTTCTTTTTCTTTCTGCCCCGTAGGCCCTCCTCGAGGGGGCTTGCGGCCGGCCCATGACTTCGTGGGCTTTCTCAGTCACCCGGCCTCGGCCAAAGACTGACTACTATTACGGCTTCACTGCCGTGCCTGGAACCCGCTGACGGGGAAGGGCCCTGAATTTCCGACCGGCCTCAGAGCCTCAGAATTGCTAGATGGAGTGGTTAGGTGCTACACACGGTCCTTAGTCCAGGTACTCGGGATATTCTATGTATCTAGTCTTCTCTAGCCTAGCACGTCTTTTGCCCTTATAGGGATGTCCCAGACGGTAATCAATACTACTACTACTACTGATGGTAGGCACCTATGTGCCTACAGATACGCATGCGCACAAGCTGTAGGCTGAGTCACAGTCACGACAGGTAGGGTAACCGGTGATGACTTCAATTGTAACTAACTAGGGAAGAGGAAGCTATTCACAAGAAACGGAATGTGCACCTGGTAATGGGGCATGCAGCCGGGGCTGCGTGCCCTGATCGCGGGGTAGGGTGTCACGTGGGAGTCGTGCATGAACCGTGATGGTATCCCGATTGCACGGGTTACTCAGCAGGTTAGTATTCC